CCCCGCCCTCCCAGGCCCCCTTCTGCACCATTTCGGGCCAAGGAGGAGTGAACAGGCGGCGCGAGGAGGGAGAGGGAGGGAGGGCCGGCTGTTAAAATGTCAGTCGCTCCCGGCTGTCACCGGAGACCCCCTCTGAGGATGGCGCCCCTTCCCAGACCACTCGCAGGCCGTCGTAACCCCCCGACACCCACAGACGGGCGCGCTCCCAAGCGCGGGTCCCCACCCCGACCCCGACACGCAGGAGAATTAGAGCCCCCTGCACTTGTCCCCGGCCGAGTCTTCTACACAAACAAGCAGCCCCCCACGTAGTCTCCCACCGACGCCGCACGGAAACAGCCCGCTCCGCGAGTTCCTCCCACCTGGGGGCCACCCCATCCCACCCCTCAGGGGGACGGTCCAGACCACCCTCCACCCCAACCCCAGGACGGGGTGGGGGAGGGGGCCTCTTAAAGCGGCAGGCGCATTATTTTTCCCTACTCACCGGCCCCGCGGGGGGAAGGGGGTGTCACGGCTGGGAGGGGTGGCCCTCGCCCCCGGTCCGGGGGATCTTCAACACCAGGCAGCCGCAGCTCCGGACGGGGGGGAATAACAAATGAGGCCGGCGTCCGCGCGGGCCCTGGGCGGCGCCGGGGGGCCTGGGCCCCCGCCGTGGGCGCGGGGGCGGGCAGGCGCGCGGCGGGCAGAGGGGACCGGGGCCGAGCGCCCGAGACGCCTCGGCGTTGTTGATATTTTGCTTCCTTCCTCCTTTCGGGCTCCAAAGGTAACTCCTCCAGCCCCCGGGAGTCGAGGCCGACGTAGGCACAGCTCAGCCTAGCTTGAGGGGTGGGACCCGGGGCTGATGGACAGGCAGGGGGGCCAATGGGAGGAGCCCGCGCCGGCGGGGCGGGGCCGGAGGGGGCGGGCCTGGCCGCGGCCCCGCCTCGCGCCTCCCGCGGCCGGCCGGGCGGGCCGGGCGCCCCACCCACCGCCCTCCAGGCTAGGCTGCGGCGCCGGGAGCGGCGGATCCCTCCGCCGGCCGGGAGGGGAGGGGAGGGGAGGAAAAAGGAGGGGGGCCGGGCCGGCGGCGCGGAGAGGGGAAGCCAGGAGCCCGCGGAGGGACGGCCCGCGCGAGATGCCCCTCGGTGCCGCTTCCCCCCTGCGCTCCGCGCGGTCCTCCCCGGAGGCTCGGCGGCCGCCGCGCACTGGCACACGCGAGCGCGCCCCCCTTGGCCCCCAAGCCCCCGGGAGAGTTGGATGTGGCAGTCTAAGTAGACAAATTCAGGGTAGACGCTAAATGGCGACAAGACTCCGTCTCCCCCACTTGGTGTGCGCCGAAGCCCCGCGGAGAGGAGCATGTTCGCGGCCGGGGGTTACCTGGGGAGCTCGCTCGCTCCTCTACCTGTGTCGGGCCCCTCCCCTCCCAGGCCCAGCTCGGCAGACGCCCAGCAATTTAAAGCGACAGCTCATAGTTCTGGGGTGACCTAATCCCCAGTGCCTGCGGCCCCAGAGCACTTACAGCCGAGGGGGGCAATTTAAAGGGGCGGGACCTTAATTTCCCCCAGCACAGGAAACGCCCAAAAGCATCTTATTAAAGAAGCCGTAGTAGCTCTTTAAAAAAAATTAAAATTAAAAAATCCTTAGTTGCCCCGGGGCGTGGTGAACCTTTACGTGCCCTACAACAGGAGTGCGGTGCCATGCCTACCCACTGGGCCATCAGACTTCTCCAGCATCCCTGTTAACCTCCAAAGCCTGCTGCTGTCGACCTGGAGCGTGAGGAAATGATGGAATATGGCTTCGATCTCTAAGAACCTTGCAGAACAGAAGGGTACTCAGTTCTTTACACACCCTGATTTGTATGTGGCTGGGTCGGATTTACTGAACAAAGACTAGATTCTGGCTTAAGTGCTGGGTTAAGTTCTGAGTGAAAATACTAATATGCACAGAGAGAAGCAGGAAGTCATGGTGATTAAAAGCATCAACATGGGAGTAGCCAAGCTGCCTTGGTTCAAATCCCCATTCCACCATGTATGACCTGTGAACACGCGGACCTTACTTAACTTCCCTGTACCTCACGATCCTCATGGGTAAAATGAAGATGGTGATAATAGTACCTAGCTCATAAATTTGGTGTGAAGATTATATTAGTTTATGCAGGTAGATTGCTTAGAACAGTGCCTCATGCTACATTATAATACCTTAAGGGCTGGACTGCCAAGACCCCTTTGGGCCCATTATCCCATACAAGCCTCAAAGGAGGCAAGATCAGTGGAACCCCTCTTGCCAATGGTTTGGTGGCTTATCTTGTATGTCCCAAAATGGGAAGCCAGCACGCTCCTATTTCCTTGGCCTCAGTTTCCAACCCTTCCACTTGGCCCCTCCTTCAGGAAACCTGATTTAAACAGTGTCCAGCTTTCTCCCCAAATGTAGCTTCTCAGTTCCCCGTCAGACCTGGGAGATGGGGCCCCAGCACCAGAAGATGTCAGTCTTCCCTGCCAGGCAGGGCTAGCTGGCCCCCAAGTCCTCAGGACAAGAAGGGGAGCCCGTCTGCCCTGTCCCCTAGGACAGTGAGAAGAACAGAGCCTTGTGCCAGGGCTGGGGCTGTGGCAGTAGCAAGATGGGAAAGTGCCCCCCCCACCCCCACCCAGTGGGGAACCTCCCCTCACTTGTGGCCTCTATTTTTAGTGCTTCCCCAGGCTCTAGCTGGAGAAACCGTTTAGTCATCAGGGTGTTTATTTTCCGGCTGTTTCCGACGTCGGGAAAGCAGAATGTTGAGACTGGAGAGACAGGGCTGCTGGAAAAGACTTCTTAGGAACAGGCCTGGGAACGCAGCCTTCAGACCACTGGGTCCCAAGATCACAGGAAAAAAACAAAGTGGGCAGGGGGCAGCTAAGCCCCCAGGGGACCAAGAGAGATGGGTTCTCAGCCTGCCTCCAGTTTTGAGGCTCTCCAAGCCAGAGACGCCTATGGCCCTAGCTCCCCTTGAAGGATTCTCTCCAAGAACATACACAGCCCCAGAACAAATTCTTTCCTATGCCGGATTTCCAGAAACCCCCTCCCCAACCTCTGATAGATCTGGGCCGGTGAGCCTCCCGCCAACCACAGCTCCAGCCAATCTCAAGCCAGAGACAGGCTTGCCAGGGCTGTGATTGGCTGGCTAGTACTCCCTGCCTTGGAATGTTGGGTCCTTAACAAAGAAATGAGGAAGGAAGGTGAGTCACCTGGGAGGGTGTTAAAGGGCCAGGAGCTGGAGAGAGAAAGGAGGGAAGATTTCGGTGGGGGAGATGGAGTATCCTGGACCCTGAGATGCTGAATAATTCACTAGAGAACAGAGGAGGAGAGAGTCGCAGAGGCTGACATTACAAGGGGGATAGAATTTGCATATATTTATATTTATAGAGAGAACTTCATGAAAAGGAAAAGTAACAAATATGAGGTCTTGATTTCCATGGAGGACTAAGAAAGGATCTAGGGAGGGCGCCTGGGTGGCTCAGTTGATTGGGCGACTGCCTTCGGCTCAGGTCATGATCCTGGAGTCCCTGGATCGAGTCCCGCATCGGGCTCCCTGCTCGGCAGGGAGTCTGCTTCTCCCTCTGACCCTCCCCCCTTTCATGTGCTCTCTCTCACTCTCTCTCAAATAAATAAATAAATAAAAATTAAAAAAAAAAAGAAAGGATCTAGGGAGTAACGTTGCTGGAAGTTAGATTATAATAAAGACTTCCTGAAACTGACTCACACCATCTTTTTCTTCTAGCCCCTGCACTACCTATGCCAGAATCCTCTAGGGCGAAAACACCCTCGTAGCTCAGGTGCCTGGGTTTCATTTTTCCTTCTGCCCTTCTGGTTCCCAGCCCATCTTTTGAGAGAAAAGTCATCTTACAGCCCAAAGCTGCTATAAAATCCCTGAGGAATTAGATGGGTGCCCACCAAAGTCCTAAGAAGTGGGTAACTCCTCTGTACAGTATCATCTTCATAGTTTCTACAGCAAAGGGCACCAACAGCTCCCTTTATTCACATCTCCCTGAGCACCCTAGTCCATCTTTACTCGGAAAGGTCTTCCCCACCCCCAAGAGCTGCTTCTCTTCCTGCCTGCTGTTCCAGCCTCTGCCTGGCTGCTCCATTGACCCCTCTAGCTTTCCTCACAGCCCTCTGGACCATCCCCACCCCACCCCCACTCCATCCATCCCATCCCTTATACTGGGCTGATCATTCTTCCTCCCAGTTTTTCAGTCTCTCCCCATGCCTTCCACCTGGTTTGAGGGCAGGTGGTCCCTCTGTGTGCACATTCTCCGGGTGGGCTTCTGCATCATCCTGCACGCCTCTTTATGCAGAGTGCTCTCGACTCCAAATGGCTACCTCATCAGTACACACCAGACTGGCCTGACATTTTTGGTTTCCAGTTTATTCTTCACCAGATCCTGAGCTCCTGGAGGGCACCAGATCCTTGAGGGCAACAGTTCAATCAGCTTTGGGATTTCAGGGCCTTGCTAGGCCTGGAGTGGAATGCACTCCGCAAATGTCTGTTATGTGAATCTGTGCATATCTGTGTATCTTAGTTAACATGATAAAAGCTTTATTGACTACCTCCTCTACTCGTCCATTGATAACTCTGTGTTAGCCCAGGGATGAGGCTCTGATCTGGGGCCTAGACAAGTCCAGCTCTGGGCCAGAAGGGGGGGGGGGCGGGCGGAGTTAAGCAGAGAGCTGTCCTAGGCTGTGCTGGCAGAGCTGTGCCCCAAGCTCAGTGCCAGGGTGCCTGGGGCCAGGCCCGGGGCAAAGGGCAGAGGCCCCACCCTGGATCTGAAGGGGGTAGGAAAGGGGTGCCAAAGCTGGGTCCACTGTCCGTGCCCCCCCCCCCAAGAGGTCCCAGCCCCAGGCTGGGCAGGATGTGGTGGCAGCTGCAAGAGGGTGGGCAGGATGTGGGGGTGGGGGCAGCTGAAACGAAGCCTGACTTTCGCCTCCCAGCTCCTCCCTTCTTCCCTCTCCCCCCCCATCCGCCCCCTCCAGGTCACGTGTTTCCAGCCCGGGCACCGACGGACTATTTCTCCCTTTCCGCGGAAGGACATAATTGACATCGCAAACTCAAGTCACCTTCGGCTTCAGCCGTACCACGCCTTTTTCTTGCCTCGTAGCCCAGGACGGAAAGTTTGCCAGATACACATTTCTTTAGCTCCCTGACCACTGATTCGGGCGTGGCCCCTTTAAATGCAAATGAACCGCCTTCTCGCTCTCGCCCCCCCACCCCCATCCCAACTTCGCTCCTCGTGCCCAGACTCCGCCAGCTGCCATTGACGTCACGCGTGCGTCAGCGTCGCCAGCCCAACCAGACGGCACGTGGGGGGAAGAAGGTGGCCTTAAAGGGCCAGGCGCCTTTGGCTTGCCGGGTTGCTGTTCTGAGTTTGGCCTCGAGAAAGAGGAATGAGATGAGAAGTGGGGAAATCTATTGGAACAGGAAGAAATGCAGGACAGACGTTAGGGAGGACAGGTAGGAGTTCTGCTCCTTCGCAGAGCAGGAGGGCCAGGCCTTTCCTCTAGATTCCCCAGGAGTTTGGGGTTTGCGCCTGGGAGAGCAGAACGACTCTGAAGGTAAAGGAGGCTGGCATTTAAGACTCGCCCGGTTATACCGTCAGCCCTTCCTTCACCCCTGCCCAGCATGCCCACAGTGCACGGACTTCATTCTCTTCGGTATCTCCGGCACCAAGGGGACAGGTATTTGGTATTTGCAGAAGTGGTGGGATCCGGTGCAAAGCCGCCTCTTTCAGGAGGCTTTCCCTGACTGCACCTACCCCCCCCCCAAGACGTCCTCACTCTCTCGAACACCCACAGCGTTTAACGACCCTGCATATTCCTTCCATGCATTAGGGACCGCAGGGCAGTGCTTAAGTGCACGGGCCTCAGAATCACGGAGACATGGGTTCCAGTTCCATTTATACTGTTTTCTAGCTGAAGGATTTGGGACAAGTCTCTTCATCTTAGTTCTGCTTAGTGTCAAATGGGGCTACTGCTGTTCTGACCATAGACTTCTCTGACGAAGCTCTTGTATGGGATCTGTTTCATGTAAGCACTCCATAGTGGTAGGGAGTATGTTTTAGGATGCCCATCTCCCCCACTAAACTGTGCTTCTAGAGAGCGAGGCCCTTGCCATTACTAATTTAGTCCCAGAACCAACACAGTGCAAGGCTTATAGCTGGTGACTTTAAAATGTTTGTTGAATGAGTAAACATGAATGAATGAATGATTTCTGTATTTCCTGAGATCTGACCTCCAAACCCACCCCCGAAGCGCTTACCCAAAGGGAGAAAACTTTACAAATGCCCCCTCTGTGCCCCCAGGTTTTTAGCTCTGTGGCAGAGCCTCAAGGTGGAGTTGGGATGAGGCCCTAGTCACTGTGGTTGAACCAAAAGTATTATGCAAACAAGCCGCAAATGATCGGTCTGCAGTGGAGACCTGAGGGGCCTCCCCACCCCTCCCCAGCCCCAGCTGATAGAACCCTGACCCAGGAAGCCAGGGCCGCTAAAAGGGAGCTGGAGGAGGAGAGTTTCTTGCCCCTTCAGGGTTCCTTAGCCCAGACACAAGTCCGTCTTTGGCCTTTTCCTTTCCGGAGCCAAGGCTAATCCGGCGCCAGTCCCCCTGCCCTGCTCTGAACCCCCATCGCCCACCCCAGCCTTCCTGGGCCCTATGGCTTCCCAGTAGTTCTAGTGAGGGGTGAGGGGGAGGGCACGAGACCTCCTACCACCTGATTCCAGCTCGCTGGCCAGAGGAGCAGTAGCCACCCCATCCTGGTTCAGCCTGTCTCGCAGCTGCTTATCGATCTGATTTTCAACATCTGTCACCATCTCTGAAGTAGAAGGGCCGACTTCCTCCCTGGGGAGGAGCTCTGAGCAGGAGGCACTGGGAGCCCCCTCCTTCCTTGCAGACCAGGGAAGAAGTGATGAGACCCTCCTGTGCTTGAGAGCAACGCTGTCAACTCAGGAACCCTGAGGGACCAGGTGGGTCCCCACAGGAATCTCCCATCAGTCTTGATGCTGGCTCCGCCCCCTGCAGGGGTAGGGTGCTGCCCAGGAGCACTCTGTGTTCCAGAAAACCCCAAAATAACCCAACTTTGCTGTCCAGCTGCTATTTCTGTCCATCTTGTTTAATTATTCAAACCCAAGTTGGGGAGTGAACTATAAAAAGCTCTCCTACTCGGGGACCCAGGAGAGCCGGGAGGCTCGCCAGGTTGCAATAGGAGCAGAGCACATGGTTTGGGTGAGGTCACTTGGTCCGGCCTCCGGCGTGAAAGTTCCATCTGCTGTTGGCCTGATTCCTCTGCTAGAAGGCGGACTCCAGGCCTCCCTCCCTGAGCCTCCCTCCAGCCCTCATCTCTGCACCCCTCCCAGCCTGTCCTGCCTGGGAGCTGGGCCCCACCCGCCTTCCTGTACTCTGGAAGTGTTTCCTCTCAGCCAACCCTTCGCTGACTGCTTCTTAGTCCTGGTTCTTATCCCACAGATCCTATTATCAGACCCCAGCGTCCGGGACTGGGAGGGGGGGGGCAGGAAGTGCAGGTAAAGAGGTCAAGCCAGGTGGACACAGACAGGAAGATGGATACCGTGCCCTCAGAGGGCGCTCCGTCAGTGGGGGCTGGGGGGCGTTTCTGCTTTTCTGGGAGAGGCAGGCTCCTGACTGTCCCAGCGGCTGAGCCTCTTCAGGGCTTCTCTTGGGGACTTTGACATTGTGGCTGAAGGGACAGAGGGAAGGCAGCAGGAAGGACTTTGATTTTCTGGGCCTAATCCTCTTCTGGTTGGCCGCAAGTTCAGCGCTAGTTTCCATTGAAACTGAAGTCCAGGGCGCCTGGGTGGCTCAGTTGGTTAAGCGACTGCCTTCCGCTCAGGTCATGATCCTGGAGTCCCTGGATCGAGTCCCGCATCGGGCTCCCTGCTCGGCGGGGAGCCTGCTTCTGCCTCTGACCCTCCCCCCCCCACCTCATGTGCTCTCTCTCGTTCTCTCTGTCTCAAAAAAAAAAAAAAAAAAATCTAAAAAAAAAAAAAGAAACTGAAGTCCAGGGCAGGTGAATGTGGAAGCTAGGTGCCCCTGGGGGCCTGTTCTGTGACCCTCCCTCCCAGCACAGGCCTTCCCTAGAAAGGTGATAACAGGGGGCGGGGCCACGGTTGCTATAGCAACACAGGGAGCGAGGGGACTGGTGGGGGGCCGGCCTTGCTCCGTCTGCGCAGGAGGGGCCCAAGGAGAGGCTGGGCCGGCGCCTGCGACAGAGGCCAGTGGAGGCGGGGTTACAGGATGGACCCGAGGACAAGGGCTTTGAGCCCCGCGAGAGGAACAGACCACAGGGCCAGACGCAGAGACCCGGGGCAGAATTGGGGCGGGGGGTCGTCCAGTGTGGGAGGGGACGCAGCCGGCGGGCAGGCGCTGGGCCAGGACTTTCCAAGAGTCAGTGCGGGGCCTCAGTGTTCACAGAGGACCCTGGGCTTCACGTTCGGCCTATTTGGGGGCTTGTTCCCACACGTTCCCTGGCGGCGGCTCCGGCGAAGTCCAGGCTGCCCCCCCAGCCCCGCCCCTGCCACGGCTCCGCCCGAGCTCCCGGGGCTGTTGCTGAGCAACCGGAGGCTGTGCACCTGGAGGGCATGGGAGGGGGCCCGGGCGGGGACAGTAGGGGCGGGGAGGCAGGGAGCCGGTGAAGACGCCGGGCGGACCGAGCTCAAGGCTCCTCCTCCCGCCCTCCTCATGCCAGTTGCAGAGGGGGGATGCGCTCGTTACCCAGTAAGTGTGTTGATGAACGTGTGCATGTGCGGTCCTTCTCCGCGATGCTGTGACCACGTAGCCCCCGCGGGACCATCTCTGAGGACAGGCGGGGCGGGGCGGGGCGGGGCAAGAAGGACAGGTTAAGCATCTTTCACTGGCCATGGGAGGGGTGAGGGCTTGCCCTGCCCAGGACAAGGGAGGGGCCCCTGTGGAAGTGAGGGGCGCCAGGGGGCAGCTGGGTGGGGAGAGGACCTCCACCAGCCTCCGGTGAGAGAGGGGCTCCCCAGAGGAGAGACTGCCTGCAAGTCCGAGTGTTCTCAAGGCTGGCGTTCTCCACCGTATTTCATTATTTTTATTCTGTTATTTTCCGTATATTTTAGGTGGACTGGAGTCTGACAGAGGTAGCCATCAATAGGAACGACTCTGTTCTTTGTGCTTGGAGCCCTGATCCCCATCCAGCTGCATCTCTGCCAGGCTGAGGAGGCCGCTCGGGCCGTCCGCAGTGTCGACACGGGGCTGTCACCACTCTTGACCCGTGGCTCTGCCGTCGGCTCAGCTCCCAAGCAGAAAGAGCACCTTCGTGGGGCGAGCGTTTGTGCACCTGTGACGGGGCCCTGGGGAAGTGGCCTGGGGTGGGTACTGCGCATGCTGCACATACTGGTTGGGAACCCTTGCTGTCTGTCCTGGCGTGGTCCCCGAATTCTGCAGGGAACCTCTCGGTAAAGGCTGGGAAGTTGCCAGCCACCCACCTCCCACACCCCAGACTTGCCCCCGAGGGCCGTGTTGCTGGGAAGACACAGGGTCCTCCTGATTGCTGACCCGGGAGAAAGAGAGAAAACGGGGGATAAAGGGTACAAGCTTGGCTTGTTTTCATCTCTGTTTCATGCCAGACACTCTGGAAGGCCCGAGATGCACTCTTGCCATCATCATTCAACGAACTGTCCATTGGTCACAGAATTCTCACCCTCCTTGTACAGATGATGGAACAGAGGCTCAGAGAGGTTAAAGAGCATGTTCGTAGTCACACAGCAAGAAGGGGCTCTGGGTTCAAAGCCAGGCCTGTCTGTTGCCCCGACTATGGGGTCACAGGGACACTGGAGGGGCCCAGGAGTCCACACGGAGGGGAAGCCCCAGAGCACAGTTAGTACCCTCACGGACTCAGTGTTCCAAGTGCTAATAAAGAAGAAGAGGGCCCTCAGAACCCCGTGTGCTCACACAGCGACCTCAGAGTTGCTCAGGCTTAGAGAAAGCCAGCAGAGAAGGCCGGGTCAGGCAGACCTGAGGTCCCGTCCCAGCTCAGCCATTTCTAGCTGTGTGACCTTCGGCAAGCCACTGACCCTCTCTGAGCCTGGCTTTCCGCAGTGATAGTAGGAAGCTGATACTCCTAGTTTACAATAGAAAAGGCAAACAACGTGTGTTTGATACCTTGCAACAAAGCCCCTCTCCTTCCATCCCTCCAGAAGGCGAAGATCCCCGGTGACCAAGGGCAAGTTGCAGGGCCCATGCAAACTTGGCGGAGCACCAGCTGTGCTCTGGGGGAGCCCCGAGCCTCGCCACGGTTTGTGGAAGGTCTCTGAGGTGTCTTCCTCGCTCGTGGCCGAGGGGAAGTCACGCGTGGAGCCAGTTATCAAGAAAGGGCCAAAAAAGCGTCCTCTGCTGGAGAGGTGAGTAATGACAACAAGTGACCAAGGGGACAATTGCTAGGACTTCTTCCTGTTCCTCCCATAAGACAGATATTCAAAGTGGAGACCAGAGAATGGGAGTCCTAGAACAGTTAGAATAGCATCCCCACCCGCTCGTTCATGGCTTCCTGTGTGCACCGTGGGGAGCTCGGCTGCAGACCCCTAGTTTGTAGCCTGTCGCAGTGGCCTTGCCTGGTCTGGGAGGCATTTTGGTTTTTGGGGGGTTTTCTTGTTATTTAAAGATTTTATATATTTGACACAGAGAGAGAGTACAAGCAGGGGGAGCAGCAGGCTCCCCGCTCAACAGGGAGCCCAGTGTGGGGCTCGATCCCAGGACCCCAGGATCATGACCTGAGCCCAAGGCAGACACTTAACTGACTGAGCCACCCAGGTGCCCCCTGGGAGGTATTTTGGAGAAAGAAGTACCAAGACTGAAGGGGAGAACAGGAGGCTCCAGGGGAACTAGGGAAGCTAGATACTCACAGCTCCAGGCTGAGCCTCACCACAGTTTTGGAAGGTCAGAGAAGAAGGCGGGCACCCCCAGCCCCCAACCACTCGGGCACGCGCAGGCCCAGCCAGCAGGCGGCCAGAACCGCCCAGAAGCGCAGCCCGCTGCCAACCTGCTAAGCACGGCTCGCGTTCACCAAATGCACGAGTGATTTGAATGTACATTCGGGACCGAGAAGCACCTCTCATCACCGGGGCGACAGTTAGTAACTGTGGTCATGGCTGGACTACTGGTGGTGAGGATTTCACGGCACACACGAGTATCGAGTTCCTTACGTCCTACACCTGCAGCCGGTATGCGGTTATATGTCAGTTCTATCTCAAATAGAAGGGAAGGGAGGACAGACCGAGCATGGCTGCTGTGCGCTGTGCATGGACCCTGTGCCCAGGAGCGGGATCTTTAAAGGTGTCATCGGGAGCCAGGAGCTCCTCAAGGGCCCTACCTCTAGGAAGGTTAGTGAGGAGCGGGGCGTGCGGGGCCCTGCAGTTCCTTTCGTTTGACACGGTGGGCTTCCACGTAAGCCTTCCTTTGAAGACCCAGCCCCAGACAAAAGAAACCCTCTGTGCTCTGTTACGGGATGTCTGCTGTGGAATGCCGCACAGCAAGACGTGGGGCCGGCCCTGGGACACACAGCGGTCGGAGACATATTGTCCAACGAAAAAGCAAGTCTCTTGGGGCGCCTGGGTGGCTGAGTCGTGAAGCATCTGCCTTCGGCTCAGGTTGTGATCCCAGGGTCCTGGGATCAAGCCCCGCATCGGGCTCCCTGCTCCACGGGAAGCCTGCTTCTCCCTCTCCCACTCCCCCTGCTTCTGTTCCCTCTCTCGCTGTGTCTTTCTGTCAAAAAAAAAAAAATTGGGGCGCCTGGGTGGCTCAGATGGTTAAGCATCTGCCTTTGGCTCAGGTCATGATCTCAGGGTCCTGGGATCGAGTCCCACATCGGGCTTCTGGCTCAGCAGGGAGCCTGCTTCTCCCTCTGCCTCTCCCCCTGCTCATGCTCTCTCTCTCTGTATCTCTGTGTCTCAAATGAATAAATAAAATCTTTAAAAAAAAATCTTTAAAAAAAAAGAAAAGAGGGGCACCTGGGTGGCTCAGTCGTTAAGCACCTGCTTTCGGCTCAGGTCATGATCCCAGGGTTCTGGGATCGAGTCCCACATCGGGCTCCCTGCTCAGCAGTGGGGCACAGCAAGGTGTTGGAAGAGCACGTGGGACAGGACATGTGCCCATCTGTGGAATGTACATTCTGCCACAGTATGTTTGTACACATGAAGGTAAATATATGGAAGAAAGTCCCAGAAGGATCTACACCAAAATACCACGGGCTTCCCTGTGGAGAAGATGGGGTACAGGTGTGTTTTACCTGCTTTTGTATGTATGACTTGAGTCCTTGGAGATGATATATACATTATTTTGTTTAATGAAAAGGGAGAGAAGAAAAAAGGAAGAGAAGCCAAGTAAAACTTTGCTGTAAGCCCTTCATAATAAAAGGTTTGATAGATTGGTATTTCTGGAGAATATCACCCAATGCACCTGCATTTCATGAACCCATTTAATTAGGTTGGTTATATTTTATTTTATTTATTGTTTAATTTTAATTTTTTTAAGTTTACTTTTTTAAGTAATCTCTACACCCTATGTGGGGCTCGAACTCACAACCCCAAGATCAAGAATCGAGTCACATGCTCTTCCAACAGAGACAGCCAGGTGCCCCACGTTGGTTATATTTTAAGTAAGATGCAGAAATGTGGACAGAGTTGTGATTATTTTTCCAAATTTATTGAGATATAACTGACATATAACATTATATAAAATTAAGGTATACAATGTAATGATTTGATATATATGTACATATATCAAATATATATATATAGAGAGAGAGAGAGAGAGAGAAAGAAAGAGAAATGATTACTACGATAGGGTTAGGTAACCCCTCCATCACCTCAGATAGGTACCATGTTCGCACTTGTGTGTGGTGAGGACATTTAGGATCTGCTCTCAGCATCTTTCAAGTATATGATACAGTGTTGATGTAACTATAGTTACCACACTGTGCCAATATTATGTCTCCAGAATGTACGCCTCTTTTTTTTTTTTTTAAGATTTTTTAAATTTATTTATTTGAGAGAGAGAGTGAGAGAGAGAGAGAGCACAAGAGGGGGGAGCAGGAGAGGGAGAAGCAGAGTCCCCGCCAAGCAGGGAGCCCGATGCGGGACTCGATCCAGGGACTCCAGGATCATGACCTGAGCCGAAGGCAGTCGCTTAACCAACTGAGCCACCCAGGCGCCCTCTTTTTTTTTTTTTAAAGATTTTATTTATGCATTTGAGACACAGAGATACAGAGAGAGAGAGCATGAGCAGGGGAGAGGCAGAGGGAGAGGGAGAAGCAGGCTCCCCGCAGAGCAGGGAGCCCGATGTGGGGCTCAATCCCAGGACCCCAGGATCATAACCTGAGCCGAAGGCAGACGCTTAATGACTGAGCCACCCAGGCGCCCTAGAACTTACTCCTCTTATAACTGCAAGTTTGTGACCTTTGACCTACATCCCCCCATTTCCACCCCTGCCCCCCGAGGACAGCATTATTCTTTCATTTAACAAGTATTTCTTGAACACCTGCTGCATGTTAGTTGAACAATTATAGTCAGAACATGTTCATAATCTGAGTCAGCTTTGAGGGACATCTCCGGTAGTGCCATCCATGGCCTTGTCCTGTTTTCACACTTTTATGTAGAAAGAGAAAAGGCGGCCCTGTCAAGGGTCACTATAGTCAAGGAGGTGGCATCACGGTGTGAAAAGACTTCAAGGTATTAGATAAAAATGGGGGCGCCCGGCCGGCTCAGTCACTGGAGCGTGAGACTCTTGATCTCAGGGTTGTGGGTTTGAGCCCACATTGGGTGGAGAGGTTACTTAAAAATAAAATCTTTAAAAATATATAATACATAGAAATAGTGAAGGTGTTCAGCTTTACCCTTACAATTATGTACTGTTACCTAATAAACCACCTTAAAACTTAGTGGCTCAAGGGGCACCTGGGTGGCTTGGTTGGTGAAGCGTCCACTTGTGATTTCGGCTCAGGTTGTGATCTTAGGGTCATGGGATTGAGCCCCGTGTTGGGCTCTGTGCTCAGCGGGGAGTTGGCTTGAGGTTCTCTCTCTTCCTCTGCCCCTCCCCTCCCTCTCTAAAATAAAATATAAATCTAAAAGAACCCACTTATGACTCAAAACAGCAATAACAATGCGATGATTCTGATTGTGGTTCTGGGCCTGGCTGAGCTCAGCGGCTGGAGACCCTGCAGAGCCTCCCTCACCTGGCCAGGTGAGAGTGGGGGCATCAGCTGCATGTCACAAGGACACGGACCCCTGACTTCTCCACGAGACCTGCGCATCCTCACGGCATGAGAGCAGGCTTCCGAAAGCAGACGTCCCAGGACCAGCGGAAGTCCCAGCATTGTCTATGACGTCACTATAGAAGTCATGTAACCTCGGGGCGCCTGGGTGGCTCAGTCGTTGGGCGTCTGCCTTTGGCTCAGGTCCTGGGATCGAGCCCCGTGTCGGGCTCCCTGCTCCACGGAAAGCCTGCTTCTCCCTCTCCCACTCCCCCTGCTTGTGTTCCCTCTCTCGCTGTGTCTCTCTCTCTGTCAAATAAATAAAATCTTAAAAAAGATTCGAGGGGAGGGACATAGACGTCACCTCTCAATGGCGGGAATGCCAATGTCATGATAAGAGCATGGGGAAGGGGGATTGTGTTATGTCCATCTTAGAGAATACAGTCTGCTACATTCATTAATCATCAAACAAATGAAAACTAAACAACGAAAAATACAGTGCAAGTGTTTTTCAAATTTATAATCACGTTAATTTGTATCGCGTCCTTCTGTATCAGGCCAGGAGCTAAGCTGCCCGGATGGGCACCCCCGAACCTCAGAGCAAGAGTCTCAGTGCCGGGGGCACCCCGCTGCCTCAGCCAGAAAAGCGTGCCACTCGATCTCGGGGTCATGAGTTCGAGCCCCATGTTGGGTGTAGAGATTACTAAAAACAAGTAAATAGATCAACTGAGAAAACGAAGTCTCAGTGCTGGACCGAGGCTGTCTGCGTCGGCTGCTAGAAGCGGGTGGCTCAGCTCAGGACGTATGTCGCCCCGGGTTAGTAGGGAAGACTCTGCTGCACAGAGTGACCCCGGGCCCCGGCTGATGGAGGCCCTGCCGTCTCCTCACCTTGCTCCCTCTGGAACAGACAGCACACCAGGGACAGGAAGACTGGGGAACCACATACGGGATTGTTGATGCCCGAGCCTGGAAGCAACGCGCTGTGCTCGTGCTCAGTGCTCACGTTCCCTTGGCCCAGCTGGGCCCGTCTGCCGGCAAGGGTCCGGCAGCCGAGCCAACGGGCTTTGGGCAGTGTTGGGTGGCCTCTGCCCCATCTCGCCGGGCACCTAGAAGGCCATGCACGGGGTGTCCTTCTGCCTTCCCTGTCACACCTTTCTCCAGATAGCAAGACGGCTTCCCACTCCTCCTTCCAAGTCAGGCCTGGGTGTCTTTTCCTCGGGGAAGCCTCTCCTGGTCACACTGATGAAACTGCAGCCCATCCCTCATTCCTCTCCTTCACCCGTGTTGTCCCTGATCCCGCTCTCTCCTTTCTCCGAAGCACTTACTGCTTCTGACAGAGTGAAGTATCCGTCTTCCCCTGCCCGCCGTTGCCCCGGGAGGGCGCTGGTCCTCGGCTGCTCGGCTTCCTGACGGATCCCAGCGCCCGAGACAGGGACCCGCACCTAAAGGGCGCCCGGGGGCTCGTCGGTGAAGCGTCTGCCTTCGGCTCAGGTCGTGATCCCAGGGTCCTGGGACTGAGTCCCTCGTTGGGCTGCCTGCTTGGTGGGGGGGTCTGCTTCTCCCTCCGCCCCTCGCCCTGCTCATGATGTCTCTCTCTCTCAAATAAATAAATAAAATCTTAAAAAAAAAGTATTTGTCGAAGGACTGAGTTTTTTTTATGGGGGAGGGGAGGGGGAGAGAAGGTCTTTTTTTTTTTTTAATTTATTTATTTGACAGAGACACCGTGAGGGGAACACAAGCAGGGGAAGTGGTTGGTACAGATTTTGCTGGATGCCACGCCACATGTAAAAAGATCCTTTATAAAGCACACACCCTTTGATGCAACAACTTCCCTTTTAGAAATAGAGTCCAAGGAGGGGCGCCTGGGTGGCTCAGTCGGTTAAGCGACTGCCTTCGGCTCGGGTCATGAGCCCAGGGTCCTGGGATCGAGCCCCGCATCGGGCTCCCGGCTCAGTGGGGAGCCTGCTTCTCCCTCTGACCCTCTCCTCTCTCATGGTGTTTCTCTCTCGCTTGCTCTCTAATAGATAAATAAATAAAATCTTAAAAAAAAAAAAAAAAGAAATAGAGTCCAAGGAAATACACACGGTCACAAAGGTTTAGGTACAAGGATGAATCAGGAAGTAATCTGTGTAAGCGACAAAGCGTCGGGCTCAGGAACATCAGCAAATGGGGAGCCGTTGGGAGGTGCTGCGTGGCATTCAGGTTTGTCAAGTGTGGGATGACCTGATCTGGGGGAGATGACAGTCTGACCCCTCTGGGGATCCTGGTGCCAGAAGCTGGTGGCTGTCTCCGCAGGGTGCTGTGAGCGGGTGACTCAGACCAACTGGCTTCCCTTCCTGGGTGCCGCCCTCAGAATTCAAGTTCCCACGGCCCAGGGGGAGGAAGTCTGAGTGTCTGCTCTGGAGTCCTGGGCCCACAGTCCTGGGTGGTGGGAGGCAGATCCGCTAACCGTCAGCCCCACGGTTGCGTGGGGGGGGGGGATCAGTTCCCCAGTCAGGAAGAGACCCAGAGAGGACAACACCACTAAAGGTTTGTCACCCAGCATTCTTCTATCAAAACATAAACCTTCTAGATGGTTGGGGTTTTTGTTGTTGTTGTTTTAAGTAGGCTTTATGCCCAACTTGGGGCTTAAACTCAGGTTCCTGAGATCAAGAGTCGCCTGCTCTACCAGCTGAGCCAGGCTGGCGCCCCTGGAATCCCCCATTTAATATGAGAAAGTGTTTACAATGGAAATGGAAATAAACAGGTTTTAAAATAAGATGTATAGCATGATTCTAATTACAAATATGGTTGAAAGAAAAGACATCAAAGTGTTACAAGTGGTTATCATTTTGTAATTGTATCATGAATTATTCTTACCCCTTTTTTGCTTTATAAATATTTCCCAAACTTTCTACGATGAATATATAATTAGGGAAAAAAACCCAATAATTTTTTAAAAGTTCATGCTCGGTGCGCCTGGGTGGCTCAGTCGTTAAGCATCTGCCTTCTGCTCAGGTCATGATCTCGGGGTCCTGGGATCAAGTCCCACATCGGGCTCCCTGCTCCACGGGAAGCCTGCTTCTCCCTCTCCCACTCCCCCTGCTTCTGTTCCCTCTCTCGCTGTGAATCTCTGTCAAATAAATAAATAAAATCTTTTTTTTTTTTAAAGATCATGACCTGAGCTGAAGGCAGACGCCCAACGACCGAGCCACCCAGGCGCCCCTAAATAAAATCTTAAAAAAAATAAAAAAAGTTCATGCTCTTTGGGGAGCCCAGCTGGCTCCATCCAGAGAGCATGGGACTCTTGATCTCGGGTTGTAAGTTTGAGCCCCACATTGGGTGTAGAGATTACTTAAATAAATAAATGAACAAACTTTAAAGAAAAAAAAAAAAAAGAAAAGTTCCTGCTCGTTGATCTAGTTATTTCTGTTCTAGCATTCTATTCTAAGGCGATAAGTTAGAAATAGAAAGCTCTCGGACACAGATGGCCATTCCAGACTTTAATAGTGAAACTGGAAACCAGCAGCTTACCATTGCAGGGATGTTAACTGCATTAAACGTATGAGCTCCATCATAGACGTGAAGAAATTTTTTTTTTAAGATTTTATTTATTTATTTGCGAGAGAGAGAATGAGAGACAGAGAGCATGAGAGGGAGGGGAGTCAGACAGAGAAGCAGATTCCCTGCCGAGCAGGGAGCCCGATGCGGGACTCGATCCTGAGACTCCAGGATCATGACCTGAGCCGAAGGCAGTCGCTTAACCAACTGAGCCAGGCGCCCCGACGTGAAGAAATTTTCTGAAGAAATTTTGAAGACACGGAAAGATGTTTCTGATGGCCGAAGGAACACAGCAGGACGTACAACTGTGCGGACAGCGTGATCTGCGTGGCCGATCAGCACCAGCTCCGACCTGACAGGGCTCCTTTCTCCGGGGCGCCCCCGGGAGCAGCTGTCCTCAGACCGGCTGTGGTGAAAGCCACCTTCCTAAAATTTCCACTGTGACGGACTGATCTGTAGATAGATTTCTGAGTCGGCTCCACGTCCAGCGTGGGGCTCGAACTCACGACCCCGGGATCAAGATTCACCCGCTTCCCCCCCCACACACCAGCCAGCCAGGCGCCCCTGGATGGGTATTTTTGTGAAATGCCGCAAAAATGAGTTACTAGAAAAATGAAATGAGAAAGATCCATAACATACGAATGAGCTCGATCTTTAGTTTTTAGATTCAGTCTTTTTTAGAGTTTTTTAGATTTTTTAGATGTTTTGGTTCACTGCACGCTGGCTGTAGGGGTCGGGTGCTTGCTCCCCGTTTCTGCGCGCATCGCGGCTCTGGGACGGGGGCCTGCCGCCCCTCCGCGTGCTCACACCGCACTTCTAGAGCCCGCGTGCGTGCGTGCTTCCCTTTCCCCGAGAGCGACAGAGGCTCACGGGAATAACAGCGCAGAAAGAGGTGCCGCCTCATCCCTGCTCCCCAAAGGTGACCCCTGCCACGGTTCTCCTGTGTCCCCCCAAACACACACTGGAAACGCTCGCACCCCCGGGCTGCGTGAGGGCCTGTCCTGGGGCCGCTCCCCTGAGCCCACTGCGGCCGCACACGGTCCCGCAACAGACGCTCCCCAGCTCCCCGCCCCGGCCCCGGCCACGGACGTTCATGGGAAGCCCTCCTTGCTGGGTGCGTGCACCTACGGTTTGAAAGCTAACAGCTTGCTTGCTTCTTTTTTAAAAAAGATTTTATTTATTTGCTTATTTTAGAGAGAATGAGAGAGCGAGCGAGCAGGAGGAGGGCCAGAGGGAGAGGGAGAAGCAGGCTCCCCCAGGACTCGGTCCCAGGACCCTGCCTTGTCAGGGGCAGACGCTTACCCGACCGCGACGCCCACACCCGGCAAAGTGACAGTTTTCTTGAAATACAACTCACATACCACAAAATTCAGCCTTTTAAGGTATAAAATGGAGTGTTTTTTACTGTGCTCGGAGTTGTGCAGCCATCACTAAATTACGGAACGTTTCCACCGCCCCGAAACGAAGCCCCACACCCACGCGCTGTCACTCCCTTCTCCCCTGTCCCCAGACCCTGGCGACAGCTAATCTACTCTCCGTTCCTACGAATTTGCCATCCTGGACGTCCGTATAATGGAATCATACACACGTGACGTGTGTCTGACCTGCGTGCTGCATGTTTTCAAGTCTCCTCCATGTTGTCGCGTATGTCCTGCTTCATCCCTTTCCATGGCTGAACAGTATTCCGTTGGAATGGACACACCAGCTTTTGTTGATCCATCACCTGATGGACATTTGTGTATAGACTTTTGGCCGGACACAGGCTTCCAATTTTCTTGGGTATATACCTAGGAAGGGGAACGGCTGACTCACAGGTTTAACGTTCGGAGGAAATACCAAATTGTTTTCCAAAGTGGCTCCACCATTTTACAACCATCCCGGCAAATAGGAGCGCTAATCTCTCCACATCCTCACCAACCCTTTTTATTACTGGTGTTACTTTAGCCATCCTAGTGGGGGATGAAGTGGTTATCTCATTAAAACCTAATTTGCATTTTGCTAGTATCTAATGATGTTGAGCATCTTTTCATGTGCTTATTAGCTATTTGTATGTCTTTTTTTTTTTGAGAAATGGCCATTAAAATTCTTTGCCCATTTAATTGTGTTGTCTTTTTGAGTTCTAGGAGCTCTTTATACATTCTAGAAGCAAGTCCCTTATTAAGATAGATGATTTGCAAGTATCTTCTCCCATTCTGTCGGGTTTTTTTGTTTTCTTGAAGGTGTCCTTTGAAGCGTGAGTTAACTTTGATGGAGTCCGCTTTATCTAGTTTTTGCCTCCTGTGCCTCTGGTGTCCTCAGAAACCACGGCCTGATCAAAGTCATGAAACTTTAGGTTTTCTTCTAAGAGTTTTATGAGTTTTGGGCGCCTGGGTGGCTCAGTTGGTTAAGCAACTGCCTTCAGCTCAGGTCGTGATCCTGGAGTCCGGGGATCGAGTCCCACATCAGGCTCCCTGCTCAGCGGGGAGTCTGCTTCTCCCTCTGACCCTCTCCCCTCTCATGCTCTCTCTCACATAAATAAAATCTTTAAAAAAAAAAAGAGTTTTATGAGTTTTGGCTCTTACATTTTGGTCTATGATCCATTTCCATGTTTGTTTATGGTGCGAGGTAGGGGTCCAGCTTTTTTGTTCCCTATGTGGATATTCAGTTGTCCCAACACACATTTGGTAGATAGACCGCTCTTTCCCCGTTAAATGGGCTTGGCAACCTGCATGTACATTTTTGTTGTCAAATTGTCCTCCAGAGAGATTGCTCTTCCCCCAGAGGAGCTAAGTGCTCGTGTCTCAGATTGGCCATCTATGGTTAGGAAGACCTGATGAACTGACGCTCATCAGGGACCATCAGTAGGTTGAGCAGTGGGCCTGAGAAAGAGAGTGGCATGAGAGTGTGAGCTGAAGGAAGTGGAAATGCTTCTCTCAGAAAAGACAAAAATGTGGGGGAATATCTCAGACCAAGCAGGCCCGAGTTTAAAGCCCTGTTCTGCCCCTTATCGCCTGTTGCATCCTTGGTGGGTCACCCAAACCTCGGGGTCTCAGTTCCAAAGGGAGGGCGACTTACCCTCGTGGGGTTGCTGGGAGGACTAAGTGCATATAAATACACCAGACATGACAGGCCCTCGAGGACAGTGGCTACGGTGACGTTTCAGTATGCCGAGTACATGGCGGAGATCACGAGATCACCAGGGAGCGTCACAGAGGGACGGTCCCGGAGCCATTTGGTGAGTGCGAGATTTTCAATGATGACTGCTGACGTGTAGAAACCTGGATCCACTATGTGTCACCGTCACCCAGAACAAGGCGGTACTTGAAGTCTCTGCCGTGACATGTCACAGGAAAGAGAGAACGTGACAGCGAGACAGATCCTGAGTGACAGGGAGGCAGGCGGCACCAGGCAAACTTGGGGGTGCCCACTAGGGACTTCTTGGGAATTCAGAGGTCAGGGCAGGTGCCTCTGTACCGTCCCCTCCTCCCCAGACTTTGTCCCTGTTCCCTGAGAGCAAGGAGGAAAGGAGGCGGCTTTTGTCATGGAAAGGGGATTTTGACCAGAGTGCAGAAGCTACGATACACTAAGGAGCTTCAGCGAAAGCACATCTGGGGTCACCCGAAGCCCGGGAAGAGAACCTGCTGGAAACGTGTGCAGAGTGGGTGGGGCAGAACTCAGACGGGTTTCTCCTCCTCTCAGCTTTAGTCTTCAGAGTGCGGACACTGGGCATTGAAACCTAAGCATTCCTTCCTCCTCCCTGTCCCCTGGGGGAGCAGCCAGAGGGGGAAAGGCCACATCTCCGGAAGCTTTCGGGAGCGCAGGCAGAGTGGGCCCACATGGGAGGACACCCCAGCGCTCAGAGAAGAGCCGTCCCACAACTCGGGGGCCTTCTCTGCACGAAATGAAGCCAAGGGTTAACAGCAGATGTGGGGTGATAGCTTTTATTCCAATGACATCAGGGGCAGAGGGACAGGAAGGCGGGTGCAGATGGACTGAAACTGCCCAGAAGAGTCGGAGTCCCGAGTGGGAGAGACGCTCCTTGTACCGTAGGAAGTGGACGGACGGGGTCTTCAACACACAGGGGTCCTTCCTGCCCCTGACCCAAGGCGCCCTGACGTTAGTGTGAATGTGGGACACGACAACTCCTCTGAGCTCAAAAAGGTGCATGAATTAAAGCCATGATCAAAGCCGCGCAGTGACGCATGGTGCACGTGCTGGGGGAGAATAAATCCCCGAGGGACCCACAAAGGAATGAAATCTGAGCTTGACGGGGGCCATCCTGACCAAGCCGCCAGGGGGGTGGGCAGCAGGGAGAGGGCAGCCAGCCCTGGCTTGGGGGCATGCAGGGAGAAGGGAGCGGGAGGGAACCCGGGCCCCAGGGCAGTGCGGGTCATACTGGGGTGACCACGGGAGGGCAGCAGCCTCCCCCAGGCAAAGGGCAGGCCCTGGCCTCATGCCCTACTGGAGGGAGGCGAGGGCTCTGGGGCTTATCAGCCACACGGCCAGACTCAGGGCGAGGCTCCCGTTAGCGGAACACCCTGCCTGTGACCAGCTGGGGGGGTGTGGGACTCCAGCACTCAGCCCCGTCCTGAGCCCCGGGGGTCCTAAGCCCCGGGCTGGGGAGCCGCAGGGAAGTGCGGTGGTGAGTGCGGGTCAGACTAGCATCCAGCAGGGAAGAGGGCTCAGGGAGCGCCCATGGCCTCCATCACTGCCGCAGAAGTTTCTTGTTGAGGAGGAAGATGAGAAGGTTGACGTTGACCCTGGCCTTGTTGAAGAGTTTCATGACAGCTACACCTTCGTACTGGAGCTGCAGGAGGTCCTGGGGAGAGGGCAGGGGTGGGCAGGGGTGAGGGCTCTTGGCGGTGGCCCTGCCAGGCTCCGGAATGCTCTCATGCTGGAGCCTCCTGGCCCATCCAGCAGCGCCGGCCACCGAGACCCCACTTCACAGAGGAGGGCACCAAGGCCAACAAAGCACGGTGGCTTAACCAAACGTAAACTCAAGCACGAGGGCTTGAAATATGTTTTATCGTTCAAAAGGCCAAAGAGCAGAACAAAAAAACTTGGGTTTAAAATCACTGCTTCCAGGGGCACCTGGGTGGTTCAGTCGTTGAGCGTCTGCCTTCAGCTCAGGTCACGATCTTGGGGTCCAGGGATCGAGCCCCACATCGGGCTCCCTGCTCTGCAGGGAGTCTGATTCTCCCCCTCCCTCTGCTCCCCCCACTCATGCATGTGTGAACATGCGCACTCTCTCTCTCAAATAAAGAAAATCTTAAAAAAAAAAAAAATCACTGCTTCCCTGAACTCTGGCCTCTGACGGGCCAGCTTCTTCCCCCTCGGCCTCAAAGCCTGTACGATTAGGGTAACGCTGTGGGGCCGTGCGCAGGGTGCATGGGGGAGCATGCGTGGTCATGGGCACGGGCTGGGGCTCCCAGTGCTCGTCCCGCTCTGACATCACTAGCCCGAGCCCCGACCTGCTGCTGCGAGGGGCTGGGGACAGAGGGGCTTGGGCTGCGAGACCCTCAGCCTTCTGTTCAGGAACAGAGAGTACTGACTGGGAGGGGAGTGGAGCTGCTGTCCTCTGAGGCCCAGGGAAAGGACGCGGGCCTACTGTGCTCGGGCCAGCACCCGAGCCCGGCAGGTGGCTGGCGGGCCCACGGGAGGCCCCTCACCTGGTAGTGAAGCTGAAACCGCTCCATGTCCACACCCAGGAACTTGGCGTTTACTTCAAACTTTCCTGCCTCGTCTCCAGGCGTGATGTCAAAGATCACGTTTCTGAAGCTGTCAGGGTCAGGATTCGAAATGGGGACTCGGGTGCCTCTTTCCAGGGCCCCAGCCTTGCTCCTCCACCCACTGAGGTGCGGCCAGACAGCGCTGTGTGTCCCTGAGCCCAGACTTCCCCTGGGTTCCCACGGGCACGGCGGCCTGTCTTCCCTGATCACTACGCCGCGGACCCACCATCTACCCGCCCTTCTCAGCTGTCCGCTCCTCCAGGAAGTGTCCCCAGCGCCCTCTGCCATGGGCCATCTCGGACTGTGCTGGCTCACGTCCCCTGGCCTTAGCTTTCTGCCTGGACGTCCCGTCTCCCTCCCCACCGCCCCCGTCCCCACAGCCCCTCCTCCCTCCCCACGCTGGGACACGGCTGGGGTCTGACACGTACTGAGAGGTGGGAAGATCCTCAATTTCCACCAGGACACCCTTCTCCAGGAGCTGGGCGGCGGTGTAACGGAGCAACGGCTGCTTCTTCCCTTTCCCGGAGCTCCTGATTCAAAAAGGCCGCAGAGGATTCACCTTAGCAAGTCTTCAACTCCAAAGACACTGGTCCTCTGTGTGTCTGCAGGAAGGAGATCAGAGCCCGAGGACCCTCCCTGGTGGAGGACAAGGGGCTGCGCTCGAGCCCAAGGCTCGAAGGCCACACTCAGACGGGGACCATGCGGTCCTGGGATGGGGTCCCTTTCAAAGCTGGTGGAATGGGGCAAAGGCCCCATGGGCGGGGGCGACGGGTCCCAGGTAGCCTTGGGATGCAGGGCAGCACCTACGAGGAGCGGGGGGCCAGGTGGTCCAGGCAGGCCCGGATGTATTGGCCGTAGTAGTCACCCTGCTCCTCGCAGAAGGCCGTCTTGGCGTCCAGGCCCCGCAGCGTGGCCTGCAGCTTCCCCAGCTCTGCCTTCCGCCGCTGCCGCTGCCGGCACTGGCTGCGGATGTCCTGCGGTCAGGGGACCAAGGCAGGGTGAGTTGGCCCCGCTGACAGCAGAGCCTCAGGGCCCGAGCAAGCCCAGGGCACTCCCTGGGAGCGGCTTCAGGAAAGGCAGGAAGAGGCCAAATTCACAGCTGCTTCTCCTAGGAGGAGGGCAAGCTCAAGGACTCCATCCCACACCCTCAAGGGACGTCCTCGCGGCCTGGCCGGCGCCGAGCACGAACTGTTTCGAGCCTCCTTGTTTTTTAGTAAAGGAGAGGTGCAAGAAGAGTCCCCTCCCTGAGACCTTCCCTTCGGAAAGGACCCTGCTGTGTAGGTCTGCTGGCTTCCCTGGCTGGTGACAAGTTTGGGTGGACACCTGCCAGAGGGAGGCCTGCCTTTCAGGCACCTGCCCCGCCGACACACCCGCATGCGCCTGCGGTGCACCCCTGCCCGCCCCCCCCCCCCCCGCCCACACAGGTCCCACGCGCCCCCGCCCCGCCCCCCGCCCACCCAAAGCCCCGCCCCCGCCCCTCGCCCTGGCGCTTGTCTCCGGACCCCAGCCCTGGGCGCTACCTTGGCCAGTCCGTCCACCAGCCCCTGGTAGCCGTCGCGGGCACTGACCAGCCCCAGGCCCTCCAGCCGGCGCAGGTTCCGCAGGACGCGCCGTCGCTTGTCCGCCAGCGGCAGGAGGGCGTGCGCGGTCAGCGAGCGGTGCCGGCGCAGGGGCTCCGGGGTCTGGCTCTCGCAGGCCCGGCGCTGGCATGTCAGCCGCTTGTGGGCCGCTTCCTGGGGGACAGAGGAGCTGGAGGGACCCAGCCGGCGCTGCCATCCAGCCCCCCGGGGCAGCCCCCGAGCTCCCGGGGGTGGGGCCGGGCGGAGCGGGTGGCTCGGGAAGAACAGCCGAGGGCGGCATCAGGGACACAGACGGGCCTGGGGTCAGCGCAGGGGGACCCCAACGGGAGCCGCAGCAGAGCCACCTCCCAACGCGGCTCCGGGACATTCATGCGGGGGTGTTCCTCGCCTTTGTTTGTCCTGTTTGGGACAAGCTTCCACCTGCCCGCCGGCCTCACCTTTTCCCTGGGAAGCCCGTGGCTTAGACCTCCACCCACTCACTACCTTCTCCTGCCTCCAGGCCTCCCAGGCGCCCCCCCCCGCCCCCCGCCCCCCGCCCAGCGCCAGCCCTCCAGCGCCGTCCAGGACAGCTGCCCAGACTGCCGCCCGCAGCGCCCAGCTCGGCCCCCGGGGCAGGTGTCCCTGCGGAGCTCACTCTTGTTGCAGGGGGAGCCCCAGTGTGGCTCTGGGGAGCACAGCTGTCTGCTTGCAGCGGGCTGTGGGCGGGTCCGGGGGAAGGAACGGGCGGGGCTGGTAGGCTGGGGGATGCACACACAGTGCTTGCGAGCGACCAGGCCACTCACCTGCTCTCTGGTCGCGGGGAGGGACAGCATCTCCTCGAGGGAGTCCCCAGGCTGGAACTGCATGATGTCGGCTAGCATCTGCTTGGTGCTGCAGGAGGCCGGGAGGGGCAGGGAGGGGGCTGGACATGGGGCTGGCCGGAAACTGAGAGGGAGCGGACCCTGGCCGCGTCATGGCTGCCAAGGACGCTTGGGAGGTCAGGAGACATCACGGTGGGCTGAGGGGTCTCAGTGTGCACGCACCGTGCTGCCTCACCCCTGCCCTCTGCTGAGAGGGCCCTCCCACAGACTGTCACCGTGAGTCCTGGGGCTGAAGGACACGCTCCCTTGTCTGGGAGACCTTCCCCAGCTCCGATGTCCCTTCTGCTGACGGCCACCTTCCTCCTGGGGGCTCTGGCTGTGTGTTCTCGCCTGGCCCCACCCTGCTAGGAGGCCTTCGGTGGTAAGACAAAGCTGACCACCTGGCTCCCTGGTTTACTGGGTGGATGGGTGCGGGGAGGGGGCTGCCATGCTGGTGCAGGACTGAGGTGGCTACTTGGCTCCTCTTCTGCCCGGATGGCCAGCCGGCCCTGCTGGGCGCCCCCCTCACGCTCACAGAACTGGGGACGGGAAGCTCCAGGCCCCTCTCCTGACCATGACTTCCGGCAGGCCACTTCGCCCCCGTGTCTCTGGACCATACAGCAGGGAAACCATCCCCAACGTCACAGTTGTCCCTCAGGTCAAACAGTAACACGTGAAAAAGCATTTGGTAGACAGCGCGACAGCATGCCAACATCAGGTGCTACCGCATCCCAAGTCTCCCCCGGCCTTCAGCCGAAGCCCAGAGCCAAGGCCAAGGGGACACAGAGGCCCGGCGAGGGCAGCGCCACTGAGGCCTCGGGGAGAACTGCCCGAGGGACAGCAGCTCAGGAAGACGATGGAGGGGCCGAGGCCCCGGCCGAGGCGGCCTCACCCACCTCAGAAGCAGGCTCCGGGCACTGGTGTCGCCCGCGTCCGTCTCTAGCCCTTCAAACTTGTTGGCGAGCGTCAGGGACACCTCCAGCTTGCTCAGGTCCGGGCTCCCATCTGCGGCCACGCCCTCCCCTGAGGTGGGGTGACGGAGGAGACCAGCGTGCGTGGACGTGCCCGGACAGCCATGCTAGCCGCCCGCCCCGTGCACCTCCGGCCCGGGAGAAGCGTGTCCACACTGTCCAAGGCGGCACCCTGGCCCTCGGCCCTCAGCCCTCAGCACCGATGGGAGGGCTGTCGCCCAGAGCTCACCCTCCGACCAACACCTTCGGACCAGGGGCCTGGAGTTTCCGGCTCCCAACCTGTCACCACCCCCACCCTGACCTTCCACCCCTGGACCGTTCCTCTCATTCCACAGCTCCTGTCAGAAACCCTTAGAGACTCAAAACAGACCCGCATCCATCCACGTCTCTCTCACGTGATTTGATCGGCCATTTCCATGACGGCACTGGGTCCCCCTACTGTCTGTCCCCTTTCTCCCTATCAGCCCATGTCCACGTGTCCATCTTAGGACCGGGGAAGAGAGGAGGGGTGCGCGCCGATAGGCTCCCTGGCACGCATCCCCGACTTAACAAGAACTCCAGGCCGGGCGTGCTCACCCGCCTGCCATCCTTCCTGCAGGACCCCCAGCCGGCCCCCCAGCCCAGCACGGCACGCACCGATGAGGTCAGGGATGGTGGGCAGCTCCCCGAGGTCCTCCAGGAGCTCGTGCAGCGGGTCGCAGTGGTCGGGGGCGACCCAGTCCTGGTGCTCCAGCAGCAGCTGCAGGTCAGAGCAGCCCAGCAGATGCAGGCCCGAGTGGGGCATTCCTCCGAGGGCCGGCCCCCCAGCGACCCCCGGCTGCACCCCTCACCCTGTGCGTGTTGACCAGCTCCCCGACGGTGATGTACACTATGGGCTTGGCCACAGCCACCATGTCCGAGTACTCGTCCATCGCAAAGCGCTCTTCTGGCTCCGGGACCTGGCAGGCTCGGCACACGAACCTCCTATCTCCAGAGGAAGGGTATGGGAGGGGTGGGCCAGGCAGCACCCCCCATGCTCTGTTCCCCGCCGCAGTGCCCAACAGGCCCCCCCACCCCCCCAGGGTCCTCTCCAGCCCACTGGGCAGTCCTTCCAACAATCCACCTTCCGGCTCGCTAACTACACGCTTCACCTCCATGCGACGCTTCTTCAAGAACTGCAGAGAGGCAGGTGGGGCACGACAGAAGGCAGGAGGAGGAGGAGAAGGGGACAGACCTGAACTTGAGGTGCGTCTCCTCCAGGTAGTCGTTCAAGGCCTGCAGGTGTCTGCTCTCCCCGGAGAAGGCCTTGCCCGCCGCAGCATGCTGCAGGACTTGAGCCACAGCCCCGAGCGCATGCCGCTGGGAGGTGGCCAGGGCGCCGCCTGCGGCCATGGCCACAATGTCGAAGGCGTCGGGGGCCACGATGGCTGGGTTCAGGAAGCGGTAGTACAGGAGGTTCCCGACCACCTGAGGGCAGAGGAAACCATCCCAGGAGCGCCCTGGGGTCTGCCTTGGTGCCCCTGCCCCACTCCCCAGCTCCCGTGGCTGGGAGGGACCACGTGGGCCAACCCTGTCATGTTCCACAAAACACCCACTTAAGGTCACACCGCAAAACGTGAGCAGGAGCCGGGACCGGAACCCAGACCTCCTGACAAGTCCAGGGCTCCCCGCCCTGTTCGCTCACGGCCCAGCTGCCTTTGCACCTGCCAGCAGAAGGCCTGCTGCTGAGCCGGGACGGAGAAGGCCGTCCCGCTGGGATTTTACAGCACAGGGTTTTCTATCCTTTTGTCTCAGTCCAGGGGTTCACAGGCACCAGGACAAAGGAGAGCTCTGGAATCTGGGGAGGACAGATGGCACTTGCCTTGTAGACCTCGTTTTCCGAGGCATCAGGGAACCTCTCTGCCAGAGTGGTCTTCAGGACCTTGGCCACATACCGCATCCCGTACCTGGGGACAACGTGTGCGTGCGCTGTGGTCCCACCATCCCGCCAGAGCTCAGTGCCCACAAGTGCTGCCTCCTTACTTGCCCGGGCCTGGCGCACTGGCCCCCCACTATCCACAGCCAGTACCCGGGGCTGGTGTGCAGCCTGTGGCCTGGCCTGAGGGCCTCGGCTTTGCCTCTCTCCAGTGTCCCCTGGAGACACCCCAGAGCCCCGGATTTGGCCTGCCTTCCCCCACAGTGGCACCTTCAGCTTGTCCCCTGGGCATGTGACACAGCCAGAACCATGTCTCAGGATGGCCTGGGAGCCTCTGAGGAGGCCAGCCTTGTCTCAGCACAGAGCACCCGGGAGGGTCTGGGAGGGTCTGCAGGCAGGACATGAGGACAAGCAGGGACCGGAGTAGGAGCTCCAGTCCTGCCTCCACCGCGAACCAGATGGTGGCTTACAAGACTCCCTTCCCCTGCAGGTTTGCCCCCTGCTCTGGAAAACTGAGGCCAGCGTTTCTACTCTCTCTAGCTCTGGGTTTTTGTGAGAATCTAGTGAAATGATGTTTGTGGAAGTAGCGTATAATGGTATAGTGATATCCAGACGTGCTAGACTTTATCATCACGATTCCTATTATGGATGTGCCACCGACAAATTCAATCTCCTTCCACCTCCCAGGGTTCAGCTCCCAGGGGCCTGGCTGGGGCGGGGCGGATGCACGTACGGGATCTGCTCCACAGAGGACATGATGGCCACAAGGAACTTGTCGGTCATGGCGAGGAGGCTGCGGAGGGAGATGTCCAATCGTCTCTGGACCTCGGGGTGGCTCAAGGCCTGCTCTGGGGTGACATCGTAGGGGAGGTGGCTGTGGGCAGAGAGCCAAGGTATCAGCCAGAGCCCCTCCCACAGCCTCCCCTCCCGAAGCCCCACCCCCCCGAACTCTTCGCCTAATAGCAGGACCCACCCGACGCACGTGCGCACATGCACACAAACGCACACGTAGACACGTGCACACCCACACTAAGGGCAGCCCAGCGTGCTCAAGGGGACCAGGCCAGACCAAGAGAAAGGTCTCCGAAGGAACGGAGCAACGTGGGTGGAAGGTGAAGAAGAAAGAGTTGCAGGGCCCACGGCGGGTGGGCGAGAGTAGGACGGATGGACAAGCCGCAGTGTATAGAGGACTCCTCAGGGGAGCTGGAGGCCACGGCTGCCCTGCATCTAGTCTTTGGCAGTTGGGGCAATCGGGAAGACGACCTGTAAGCCCATATGCCACAGGAGAAGCCCCCAGAACGGGCTGCTCCTCGGCGGCCCTACTGCCTAGGGACCCACGCACCTGAGCAACGCCCCGTGTCTACAGGCCCGACCCAGCCGCCGCTGCCTTATTGGTCTGCTTATCTGGAAATCTGTTCAGCTATCCCGTCAATAAGGAGTCCAGGTCCCAACTCCTGGCCAAGTGGACGTATCATTTGCAAGCAGGACATGGCACTTAAACACATTTGCATACTCCTCTGTGTTCATTTTGTGTAAAGCACACCAGCTCCACGTAATTACCAGAGGGGGGTCGAAAAGGCTACTTTATTTCATCCGATAGGGCGGCCGGCCGATTTGCGTCCCTCCGCACGCTCACGGATACGCCGCCCGGGAGGCCCCAGAGCAAGCCGGTCCAGGGAGCTCTCCCTGTGCCATTGCTCACCTGCGCTGTCCGGTCTGGGCCTCGCTCTGGTTGATCCAGCTCTTGTACAGGTGAACGGGGTCAGTGTGGATGCTCAGCGTCCTGTCCTCCAGCACGTCCTGGATGACTCTGCCCAGGATCTCCCGCAGGGCACTCTGGCCCCGCTCGTTCCGGTAGAACCTCACCACCAGCCTCACCACCGTGGGGTTGCCGGTCACCATGTCCTGGGGCCTCTCCAACTTTGACCTGCGGTTCAAGAGGTCACGGAAGCTGGTCTCCTGCCTCTGGGTAGGACAAACAGCTGTGCTTCCTTCTTGAGATTTTGGCTCTTCAAAGCCCACTCTGGATGCCTCCTCTGAAGGCAGGTCCCAACAGCTGGATCTTGGCCTGTGCGCTAACCTTCCGCCCCGGCCTCCCTCCATCTGTCCTCGGAGAGGTCCTCCGGGCCTCGGGAGGCTGAGAAAAGAGGTCTTCTGATTCCGTTTCTCCCCGCCAACCTCCGCAAATTCTCACCGGGCGAAGGAGCCCGCAGTGGCAGCCCGGCCGTCCCCCCCGCGTCCCTCTGCACGTGCGGAGCCTACCTGATCTCCTCCTGGAGCGTGGTCTTGAATAGCTGCAGCAGCAGGTAGGCCTCGCGGCGGCTGGAGGCATAATTGTACAGGCTGAAAATCACGGACTCCACGAACTTGGTGGTTTTGTTCTGCGGCATGTGAAAGATCAGCTTGGCCAGGTAGATGGGTTGCGTCTGCAAGCAGTGGGGGAACGGGAGTGGCTTACGAGGCGCCTGGAGGACGAGCGATCGGACAAAGAAAGGCTCTCCTGCCAGGAGCTTCCTCGGAGGACAAACAGGAGGGCACTGTCTCTGTCTCTGGGGTCAAGGCATTAGGGTTGGGAAAGGACACCGTACGTGGAGAGAAAGGCCTCGAGGCCCCAGACCCTTCAGGGATGGTGGGGTCCTCTCCTCACCTGGAGCAGGTAGAAGAGGTGTTGGTAAGCTTCTAGCTTCTGCCTTTTCTCTTTGCTCAGCGACTTCAGTCCCTTCTGCTTGTCCAGAACCATCATGCCCGCCAGGTGCTCCTTGTTCTTCTTGGTCAGCTTCTTGCAGTGGGAGACCACCTCCTGCAGGGGCAGGGGGTGGGGGGTGGGGAGGGTGTGGGGGGAGGGCGGGCCAGCACAGAGCAGAGCGGACGGTCAGCATCAGCATCTCGAAGAGCCGGGACTTTCTGCCATTCAAGGCATTCACGGCACGAGCGAGAGATCAACAGTTCTGGGACGCAGAGGGCCCCCCACCCCAGCCACCCTGACACTCGGTCTAGCTCCTCCGCTCTCACAGGGGGAGTCCCCGCAGAGAACCGGGTCTCCAGGCCCTGACGTCGTGTCTGTGGGTTTTTGCTGTCTTGAGCTGGAGCTCTCACTCCTCCCCATCGCTGCACGTCTGCCTGCCCATTCACTGTCGGAGGAGCTTCGTGTCTACCTCTACGCTGCCCCGGCAAGGTGCGCACTCGGACTCTCCCTGCTTCCCAAGGAGGAAACAGACCTCGAGATCACACGGGCAGCCCACATCCATGACGAAGAAGCAGAGGCAGGCGCTCTCATTTCACAGCAAGGCTCCGTCCACCCGGTCACTGGCCCCCACCGATCACCGGAAGGGCAGGGACTCCTGGAGCGAGTCCCCGGGAGCGGCTGGACGCAGGAGGGGCTGGCCGCTCACCTGCAGGGTGATCCGGTTCTTTACCAGCAGGCCGATCTTGATGTCCATGAGGTTGAGGTCCTGCTGCAGCTGCTGATTGGACCGGATCTTCCGGACCACCTCCTCCTGGAGCTTCAGCAGCTCGGCCTCAGCCAGGAAGTCCTCCTGGCTTTGATTCAAGAGGTGGGCAAATCTGCATACCACGCGGAGAGGGGGATGGGGTGCGTGGACTGGCGTGAAGGGGACAGGCGTCAGGACTGGCGGTGCCCTCCCAGAGGCTTTCTCGCCAGCCCCCTGCCTGTTACTAGCCCTTGGTCCCCATCCTGCTTGAGGCCAACAGGTCCCCAACGCCCAGCACTTTTCTAACTGGTTCTGCTTGTGCCAAGGGGGCAGTGGAATGCCTCAAGCCAGTCCTGTCCCCAAGCTCCCTAGGTGATAGCCAGGTATGATGGATGAGGTCCACCCCTTGCTTGTCCCCAACCAGGGCCCACACCAGAGACCTCCCAGCCCCAGGTCAGAGCCCTAGCTCCCTCTGACGAACCCCTACTCCAATTTGCTCCTCAGATGGGCTGAGTGCCCAGTCAGAGAGGGACTGGCGGCACCCCATGGGCAGGACAGGCTCAGAGTGGTTAAGGACACGTAGCCGGTGCCTTGCATTCTACTTGAAGCCGATGAGTGTCGCCTCAGGCCCAGAAGGGAAAAGGCCCACATCTTACAGAACCCAAGGGCTGGAGGCCAACTTGGAAATGGGCCCTGGGTCCACCTCACAAAGAGGAGGACCTCCAAGGCTGGGCTTCTGGTCTTTAAAAACAGGAGCCGAAAGCAGCCCAGGACCTGTGTGAGGCTTTAGATGCACACCCCACAAAGGGGACTGAGGGACAGGACAAGGGAGTGCCATTTGCTGCTGGCACTGAGGTCCCAGCACCGTATAAGCCTTCACGCATGCGGGCCCACGGAGGGACGGAGCTGGGGGAGCTCTGGGCCACACAAGAAGGCAAAGTGCAAGAAGGCGTGGACTCTAGGGGGAGAAGACCCTTCCCTGTTTGCCTTGGTGGCAGCAATGGGGAGATCACTGAAGCCCGGGACGGCAAGCACCTGCCAAGGGGAGCCTTCCCCGTGACCAGGCTGTTTCTGGGGTGGGCGGGGGCTTTGGCTACAGCCCTTATTCGACGGCGTTCCTGTACAGACGTCTCGTACCTTCTCTTTTCCTGCTGTGCGGCCCCAGGAGGGATATCTAGACCTGCCCGACTCCAGGGAAATTGCTGTCTCTCCCTCCAGCCTGAGGGATCCCCAAAGGCAGAGCACATGTCCTCACTCCCACATGCACCCCGGGTCCAGAGGCTTGCTCAAGGTTGGGGCATCAGCTGTTGATGAGGAAGGAGCTCAAGAAGGACAGACAACTTCTCCAAAGCCCAGTTGTAAGCCATGGAGTGGCATGACCTCTGCCCTGTTGACTATCGAAAGCCATGCACTCGCAGACAGAGGAGGGAGAATGGGCAGTTTACTCACAGTGAAGAGAGGGGCCCAGGCAGCGTACCTAACATCCTGTAGTCATCCCGGGCCTTCTGGGCGCGGAAAAATGCCTGGATCTTCACAATGGACTTAACCTGCCGTGAACGCAGGTGGGGAAAGGCTTACTGGCTGTCCTCGCCTGGTTCTCCCGGGCGAAGGCTGGGCATGGGGACAGGGCAGCAGGATGCACTCACATTCTTCTGGAAGTATCCCAGACGCCTCCGGTATCGCCTCCGAGCTGCCCACATCCGGGCCCAGGCCTGGATCTGAGGACACACGCTGCCTCTGAGCTGCATGCTCAGGCACCGGCCCTCGGACCCGGGCCAGCCATCTCCAGAGGCGGCAAGAGGACTAACGATCGGCTTGGAGGCCCCTCGGGAGACAGGAGCCTCCCCCCTCCCCGCGGCAGCGGCAGCTACCTTGATCACAGCATCCGAGTTTGCTCTGAAATACCGCAGCTGCTCCCGGTACGCCTTCCGTCGCCTGTAACCCCGCCAGTGAGCCTGTGTGTCAGGACAGGAGAGGGGGCGATCTCCGCTGGCCCCCGCCGGCCAGAGGGGCCATCCCGGGGGGCGCGGGGCGGGGGAGGGGGAGGGGAAACCAGCCCCACTCTCAGAGTATGGCTACCCTCACGGGGAGACCGCGCCAGCCAAGCACACTCTGCAGCACCCTCCCTGGTCCCACACACACGCGTGCAAGCACACACACACACACACACGTGCAATCCACCCCACGCACCGTCACGGAACCCAACTGGAAGACCCAAGCTGTAAAGACATTAACGAAGTCTACACTGACTTCAGGGCACGCACCAGGTCCCCCCAGATGCACTCATGTGCAGTCTGGGGAGGCACACGGGGCTCGGACGGAAGGCGTGGGCAGGCACAGAACCTCGCAGCCCACCTCTACTGAGGCCATGTGGGCCACAGGCCATGGAGGCTCCTCTAGCTCACGCTGCTTGCCTCGCCAGCACCCCACCCCCACCAGCCTGCCCCCGACAGCGCCCCGCCCCGGCTGGTCTGCCCTCAGGGGCTGGGATGACCGGCTCCTCTGTAAACGACACCCACTCTGGTCTCTAAAACACAAACCTGGAGGCTCCCCTCCCCCTTAGGGGCCTCTCCCCTTTCACAGCAAGCTCCTGTGAGATCAGTTTTCCTCAAGAACCACCTGGGCTACGTCTCTTAGCCCCAGAGCTTCCCGAAGTTCTCAACCACCTGACCCCACGCGACTCTCCGGTGGTCCCTTCCTTCTTAGTGACTCCAGCCTCTTCAGACGTTGCACTTCCTTCTAAATGTGCGTGGTGACGCTCTGGCCCCGGGCCCTTGTTTATGCCCCTGACCCCTGCAATCCCTCCTATCTTTTCGGGCCCACGTGAAACATCTCCTGGGCACTCAGGCCCTGCACAGTCCTCCACCTCGGACACTGCAGCAGACTGGCGTGTTCAGAGCGTCCCCGTTCACCCAACAGTCCTCCCAGCCCTTCCTAAAGCCGCTCTGCTGGCCACATTCCACTCCATGGCTGACCCCGTCGCTCTGTTGGGACAGGATGTAAGAGGCAGCGTGGCCTGGGATGGCAGCTGTCCACCTAGAGCCTGGAGGCCAGGGAGCCCCCCCGCCCCCACCCGAGCGTTTCCTTAGCACTGCTTCCTCTCCTTGCCCAGGCGTGGCTGTCCCTCTCAGGGGACCCCTCTCAGCTCTTCCCCCTTAGAGAAGAGGCCTCCCAGTCTGGACCGGTCAGAAGTCAGGACCTGATGTGCAGCTCAGCCAGGCTCAGAGCTTCCGGGAGCCCCACTTCTGACTCCTACTTCCCTGAGGCTCCGGGCCTCTGCCAGGACCCAGGCCAGGGCCCGCACAGCCCCAGGGCTGGTGGCACACGTGCCCTCTGACCCCGCGCCCTCTCTCGCTGTGGCATTTCAGCTCTTTAGTTTGCGTGTGAAATTCCAGTCCAAGCTCAGGAGGGAGGCATCTCCATGATCAGACCACTAAATGCTAATTACCAAGGTTCTGTACTGAGTCCTGGGACCCGTGCCCTACAATTTAACACGTTCTAATGGCTGCCACCCACAGAGGGCTCACCGCACTCAGCGCCCCGTGTACTTTCCCGCTGAGCCCGCACAATCCACACGCGAGGTGAGGACTGTCGCTGTGAATAAGAAATGTTGTTGGAGCAGGCTTAGGAGAGGTGCCCAAGGTCGTATGACCCAGAGCGAGAGGACGAGGGGGCACACTCCAGCCTCCGACTCTAAAGCCTGAGCCCCCAGTCCCTGCCCTGCGCCCGCTGGCTCGTCCCTGAGGGCTACACGCCCGCCCGCGCAGCGTCCTCCCCCCCCGGGCTCTTGGGGCCGCCCTCCTGTCCCCACCATCACAGCATCTAACGTCAGCTATGCCCCAGGTCCTGCTGGGGGAGCTGTGGTCACTCATGTGTCCCATCGGTCTCCTGCCCTTGCCCGGCCCAGGGGGCATCCTTGCAGACGTTTAGTCAATAAAGAACCTTTGCGCTGCGCATACGTCCGCGCGGCCTTCAGGTCACATCTACCTGGGGTCTGTTTGCTCAACTCCCATCTTTCCTGGCTTGTAAAGCGGGCGGGCCCGAAGCCCATCTTCCCAGTTACTCGTGGGCTCCACCCGCGGCCACACTGGACCAGCCACAGGGCCAGAGGGAGAGAAGAGGGAGCGCCTCGCCTCGGGCTGGTCCACCCTGTCCTGTTTACCCAGCTCGGGAGGTCCTCGTACCTGGAGCCCGTCGTCGGCTTACTAAACGTCACTCCCACCTCCCCACAGGGAGGCGACGAAGGGCTCTTGCTCTGGGGACAGCGAAGGTGACAGTAAGCACCTGCCAGCCAGGCACTGTTCAGAGGCCCGCACGACAAACCTACACGGAGGTGCTACAATGTTCGCACGCCCATTCTGCAGGTGGGGAAACGGGCCGAGTGAGCGCCTGTCGAGATCACACGGCTGCCTGTGCCGGAGCTGGGACCCAAAGCCAGGCAGTCCAGGCTCTAGACAGCCTACTGCTGAGGCCAGGTCATCCCCCTCCACTCAGCAAAAAGCAAGCAGGAAGGAAGCCCCGAAGCTCAGATAAGCCCGGCCCTGACGACTTCGAAGGCCAGAGCCCGCCACCTGGATCTTGATGACCGCCGGCAGCCAGGTCCTCAGGAAGTGGGAGCGTTCTGCAAACGCCTGCCGGACCAGGAAGCCGCGCAGGCGGGCCTGGAGCTGGATGACAAGGCTGATGTTGGCCTTCCAGAGCTGTTGGCGGTCGTGGGCAGCGGTGACCCTGGTGACAGCCGACTGCAGGCGGGAGAGAGCCTGTGGCACCTGGTGGGTGGGGGCCCCGTCCCCCGCCCCCTCCCCTGCAGGGCCTCTGCCAACCTGGATCTCCTCCCGAGTCAGGTGGGACTTATTCAGGCGGCAGCCAGTGGGCCGCTCCCAGGTCCCCTGGAAGGTCTGCAGGTGCAAGTAGTAGGCTGAGCCATCCTTCATGTCGTGTCGGACCCAGAGCGCGGTGTCTGCTGAGCAGAAGCCAAGTGAGGAGAGAAGGCTTGGAGGCGGCGGCGGGGGCCGGCGGAGACACAGAGGGTGAGGCCGGGCCATTACCTGGGTGCTGCTTCTTTGCCATGGCTTCTTCCAGGACCCGCTGGTAGCTGTCAGCACAGTGGGGAACCACCCCTCGGAGGGCCACGGTGGGGTTCCGTAACACCCGCTCCGTCTGGGCTGCCTTGCCCTCCCTGATGGCCTGATTGATGGCGGCCACACCGAGAGCCACTGACAGGGGCATCGGGAGGGAGTGGTTGGTCCTCACCCGTTCCCCAAGTCCCTCCCCTGGGCCCTGTCCTATCCATGGGGGAGGGATTCAAAAAAGGGGGACACAACCCCCCCATCTGATGGGAAGGGACAGGGCACATCCGAGCATGGGTGCAGACCCAGATGAACACAGCAGCATGCAGCTGTGCCTGGAGGAAAAGGCAGCAGTCGAGGAAGGCTTCCTGGAGGAGGCAGCATGGGGCTGGCTGGGGCTGGGTCAAAGGACAGCCTCAGGTCTCTTGTACAGAAGCTCAAAGGCAGAATGCGGGCAGAGAACCTCAAGGCAGTTTTTTCAGAGGAGAATAAAATCCAAGAAGTGCGACACCTGCCTTCGTGTCACTCAGACAGACAAACAGACAGAGGGACCCCAGACGCTACTAGGACCCACAGAACGCCGGCGTCTGCACTGGTCCTGCCCACTTGTCCTCACAGCCAGTCTTTCCTGCCCCCCACAACCGGAGCTGACAGCGGGACCCCGAACTCCAGGTACCAGCACAGGATGGGGTGGACCTTTGGCCACTGCCTGATTTCCCGTGCTCACGCTTTGGGGCGAGCACCTGGAAGGCGTGGAGTGGGCTCTCAGCCCCTGAGACTTCCCTGCCCAGCTGCAGCTAGGAGACCTAGCGTCCAGGCCAAGCGGTGAGGCCCTGTTCTGATTCTGGCCCACCTCCCCACAGAGGTTGAAAGGGAGAGGGGCTGAGTGTGGAGCCCACACCCCTCCCCACAGCCCTCCCCTGGACTCCTGCGGGGCCCCCAGGCCCATGTACTTCTCTGCACAGCGTCTGTGTCCTGGTTGGCTCTAGCCACCTCCTGGCGGATCTCTTCTAGCCAGAGCATGGCTCCGGGGTCCCCGGTCGCCTAGGAAGTCGAGATGGGAATGATGAGAGCCCGGGCCAGCCGCCCCAGGCCCCAGGCTCGGCTGCACGAGAACCAAAGTACAGGCAGGCTGCGGGAGCCCCAGGGACAGCCATGCCTGCTCCTTCCACCTGCCACATGCAGGTGTGGCCTTGTCGCTTCCCGGGGCTCCTGCCGGCTCAGAAGGTTCTTTCCCGGTCTGCTTTCAGGCTGGCCAAGCATTAGCTTGGCTGGGGTGCAGCACTCCCAGAACCCTTGGAAGCCCTCAATATCCTCCGCCTTCCGAGCAGCTCACTTCCCTGCCCCTGTGCCCCAGCCACAGCCAGGGAACGCCCACACTGGAGGCTCCCGCTTCCTGCTCCTGCTTCCCATTCCCCTGCGCCCCCATGCACACCTTCCCAGGCCGACCTTGACCCCGACCTCCACCCTGTCTGTCCACTCCTGCTCTAAACGTTTCTACCGCACCAGGCAGTGCCTGGGTTATATGCGACCACAGACTCACTCAGCCACATGGTCAGGCAGGGTTCCCCACTCCCGTGCCTCACCCAACCCCAACCCCAGACTCTGCTCCCTCCCGATGCTCCTCATTAGCAGAGGGAATTTCTAAATAGACATTTGCTCGAACACTATGTCCCAGGCAGCATTCTAAAACACTTTCTTGGGGCGCCAGCTCCAGTCATTAAGCGTCTGCCTTCGGCTCAGGTCATGATCCCAGGGTCCTGGGATCGAGTCCTGCATCGGGATCCTTCCTCAGCAGGGAGTCTGCTTCTCCCTCTGCCCCTGCTCAGGCTCTCTCCCTCTCTTTCAAATAAATAAATAAAATCTTAAAAAAAATAAAAATAAAAGTAAAGCACTTTCTTCAGAACCCACATTTGCCAAGGGCGCCTGGGTGGCTCAGTCAGTTGAGCGACTGCCTTCGGCTCAGGTCATGATCCTGGAGTCCCGGGATCGAGTCCCCCCACATCGGGCTCCCTGCTCGGCGGGGAGTCTGCTTCTCCCTCTGACCCTTTCATGCTCTATCTCATTCTCTCTCTCTCAAATAAATAAATAAAATCTTTAAAAAAAAAAAAAAGAACCCACATTCGCCAAGCACACAAACAACGCTCGGCAGAGAAGAGCCCAGTCCGTGTTAGCTAGAACTGCCGCCATCCTGCTCCCGACAGCCCTGACCCGGAGAGAAGTTCGTTACCGGCAAACGCTTGCAGGGGAGTGAACGGTGTGAGACGCATGCAGGGCTGGCCGCCAGGACGCAAACCCAAGCAGCCAGGCCCACAGGCCTAGCCCCCAACTGCTCGGCACCGCCTGGAGCCACACAGAACCCCGCCACGCTCTCCGACGCGGGGGATTCCCCCTTCCGGAAGGTATGGAGGGCCAGGACGCGCAGTATTTTACGGATGAACAAGCAGAACTCAGAGACCTTAGGGATTTGCTAGAGGTCATGTGGTCACTAAGTGTCAGCGCGGAAGTCCAGCCTGGTTGCCTGGCCACCAGGCCTGCGCTCTTGCCACCCACAAGGCCCCACCATTCTCTGCACGCTGACGACGGGAGCTCGGGGCAGGGCCCGGTCCAATGGCCACCTTCCCCCACGGCCCCTCCTGCCCTCCACCCCCAGAAGGGACAGTGTCATCAGACTGGGCTCTCCCAGGGCACATCCTGGGCACAGCTCTACCCACAGGGGATGCTCTTCCTGCTTGGGGGACCAACCCAGCCCACTCAGACCTCACCTGGGCCTTCTGCTTCTTGGCCACCACGAGGAGGAGATGGTACCGAGGGGCGACAGGAAGGCTGACGTCGTCCAGGCCGGCCGAGGGAAGCAGGAGGGCAGACAGGGTCTTCTCGGGGCTGCCCTGGTCCAGAGCCTCGTTGATGAGGCTGACCGCGAGGACCTCTGGGAAAGAGAGATCTAGGTGGGCACTGGGCCCAGACTTACGGTAAGGGATGGGCTGCGCAGGCCCAGCTGCCTCCCCTGCCCTGGATCCACTCACGGTCGGTCTCCTCCTGCACCTGGGCGTTGACCTGGTGCACAGTGGCCTGCAGGTCGTTCCAGCTCAAGACGGCCCCGTCCAGTGCACGTCGCAGCTCCACCAGAGCATCAAAGTAACTGGCAGCAGGGGGAGGAGTGGGTGAGCAGCAGGGGCATCGTCAGCTGGGAGTGAGGGCACTTCTGAACACTGCTCGGCCTCCCGCTCATCACGTGCTCCTGGTGCTCTTCGCACCCTGTGGGTCGTTCTTTCAAAGCCCCTGTGCTGGTCTCCTCCCTGACGTCTACACGCCCGAGCCTCCCACCGCTCAGGCTGTATACCCCTATCCCGACCTCCTGGCTCGAGACACCATATCCTAATGACTCCCCAGAGTACACCTGCAGCCCACTCATGAAGACCAGCTGCCCCCTCATGCCTCCCTGTGAATGCCTGAGGAGCGCCCCAGACCCGACCTGAGCTGAACCCCCGTTCAGCCTATGTCTCCCAGTCCTGCCCACTTTGGCCAACATTCACTCCAACCTCTGAGGACAAAGATCTTGGCGTCAAATCCAACCACACTCTCTCTCACAGCCCATATCCACACACAACCAGATCCCGTCAGATCCCAAACCAGACTCCCCCTCGCCACCTCCACGGCCCCCGCCCTCGGCCAAGTGTCCCTCACACTGGCCTGGAGGCTGCCTGCTTGTCCGGCCAACCTGGGAGCCCGTCCTCGCTGAGCAGCCAGTGAGCCTGGCAAACGTAGCCCGGACCGTCCCTCCGCGCTGAAGCCCCCCCAGCCCCCCGGCTTCCTTCTCGCTCACAGGGAAAGCCAAGGCCACAGCGTGGTCTCTGCTGCTCCACCCTACCACGCCCAGCACCCGTCTGACTCCAAGCCTGTGCCCCGCACGCCCCCGGGCAATCACAGAGGCTCTGAGGTCCCTCCCAAAGCCCCCTTACCAACAGGGCCTTCCCTAACCCCCAGCACATCCCCACCGTTCACCCCCTTGGCCCAGGCTGGTTTGGGCCATGGAATCCTCCCTTCTAGTCCTGCCATGTTGGCTTCTGTCTGTCCCCCTCCACTAGCAAGTCGGTTGGAGGAGAGCAGGAACTTGGTTTTGTTCACTCTGTTCCCCAGCCCCCGGGACAGTATCTAGCACCCAAGGATCTTCTAGGAAGCGTGGAACATGCAGGAAGGGGGGATGACTGAGCCCCGCTCCCAGGACGAGGCACGGGCCGGGCCAAGGAGCTGCGAACAGACCCAGAGAGGGGCCGGGCCCAGCGCAGGGCAGTGCTGAAGGCGGGTCCCCATGCAGAACCGAGTCTTGCCTCCACCGCCCTCCCTCTGGACACGGGGTTAAACCTTCCTCACCGCTGAGCGTTCTCTCCTTCCACCTGGGCCAGGCCCGTGGTGGGGTTCACCAGACTGCTCCAGAAGCTGCCGACGTCCCCGGCCTCCAGTGCCTGGTCGATCAGGACCACGGCCGACAGCATCTCCACGGCGACAAAGAGCTCCTCGTGGCTGAGCCCCTGCAACAGGGGAGCGCCGATTCCCACGGGGCTGGCAATGGGCTTGGGGCCACCGCCATCCTGCCCTGAAGGCGGCCCTACATCCCGGTCTCTAACCCAAGCCCCAGTGGCCTCCTTCACTCACTGGCTAACCATACCTGATACCCGAGAGCGCTCCCTGTGTGCTCAGTGGGTAAGCGCCTCACACACAGTATCATTCGTCTTCCTATCGGGCCGGGGAGGGAGGTGCCATTAAGATTCCCCTTTCCCAGGGGAGCCCATAGTCATGGAAGTTAAACCCACACTGGGTTCCAGGGCCCACACATGACCAGTGAGCCCCGTGGGCTCCTTGCTGGTTCCTAGCACGCACCAGGAAGTGTGCAAGGCCCCGGGGGACAGAGAGGAGGACAAAGAGGCCCCTCTGTGCCACACCACACTCCCGAGGCCCTGGCCCCACTTGGTGGCCCAGGCTTCTCCTTTCCAAACCCCAGTGTGAGCTGCTCCGCATGTCCGGAGCACCGTCCGGTCCCCCCCAGACAGGATCCCGGCAAGGAGAACCCCAGCAGCAGGGCTTACGCGCCAGGCTCACAGCTAATGCGTGCGGTGACTCTAATCCTCACAACGAGCCCATGTGCTAAATACATTACTGCTCCCGCTTCATGAACTGAGGGGCAGACCGGTCACTCACTTGCCTGAGGTCACAGGTCACAGGGCAAGGAGGCAGAGGGCTGGAAGTTACCTCCCAGCACGCGTCCCAGATGGCAGCCGCCCATGTGGAGACCGCGCCCTTCCTCAGGGCCAGGACCAGGGTCATGCTCTAAAATTCCTGCCGTGGGTCTGATTCTGCACGGGGCTCCTCTCTTCCAGGAAGCCTTCCCAGACTTACTCCCAGCTCTGCTCCCTCCATTTCCTAGTCTGAAGTCCTCCAACCCTGACATCATCCCTTCTCCCTCCCTGTGACTATCTGGACCTCGGGTGTATTCCAGCTCCCAGGAGGGCCGCCCCGCTGGCTGGACACGGGGCGGGGGGGACACACAGAGCGGTGAGCAGCGCGGGCTTCCGTGCTTCTGCGTTCGCTCCCAGCACGGCCAGCTACAGCTGTTGGGAGCCGTGTCCGCCTCTGCATCTCACTCTCCTTGTCTCTAAAACGGAAATCTGACTTGCCCGATAACGTTCTTGCAGGGAACATTGAATGATGATTAAAGGAGTGTGTGTAGAGCAGTGCCTGCTGGCTAGGCTTTACCACTCGAAGGGTCTACCCCTGCAGGAGCTCTAGCACCGAGGACCCGCTAAGGACGGCAAGGACGGCGGCCCACGTCCCTCCCCAGGCCCGCCGAGGGTGCTCTGCACTGGGGGTGTGGCCTGGGCTCACCCCTCCCCGCTGCTGCTGGAGCACCGTCAGCTCGTGCTGGTACGCAGCCGGGGCGTGGGGGTACACTGCAGGCAGCCGGGCCTCGGGGCACGCCAGCGCCTTCACGGTAGCAGCGGCCACCCCGCTCTGGATGGCTCTGTTGATCCTGCACACGGCCTGGAGCACTGCAGGGGAGGAGGGAGAGGGCTGCACAGGCTGGGCACCCAGGGCCCGTCCCACTCTCCTGGCTAAATTGGCAACTGCTCTTCAAAATTGTTCTGCCTTGGGGTGCATGGGTGGCCCAGTCACTTGAGCGTCTGACTCTGGGTTTCAGCTCAGGTCATGATCTCAGGGTCCTGAGATGGAGCCTTGGGTCTGTGCTCTGCAGGGGTCTGCTTGGGACTCTCTCCCTCTGCCCCTCCCCCACACCCCGCATGCTCTCTCTCAAATAAACAAATCTTTTTTTTCTTTAAGACTATAGTTTTTCTTTTTTTTAAAAGATTTTATTTATTTGACAGAGAGAGACACAGCAAGAGAGGGAACACAAGCGGGGGGAGTGGGAGAGGGAGAAGCAGGCTCTCCGCGGAGCAGGGAGCCCGATGCGGGGCTCAATCCCAGGACCCTGAGACCACGACCTGAGCCGAAGGCAGACGCTCAACGACTGAGCCACCCAGGCGCCCCTCAAATAAATAAATCTTAAAAAAAAAAAAAAAAAAGAAAGAGGGGTGCCTGAGTGGCTCAGTCGTTAAGCGTCTGCCTTCGGCTCAGGTCATGATCCCAGGGTCCTGGGATCGAGGCCCGCATCGGGCTCCCTGCTCAGCGGGAAGCCTGCTTCTCCCTCTCCCACTCCCCCTGCTTGTGTTCCCACTCTCGCTGTGTCTCTCTCTGTCAAATAAATAAATAAAATCTTAAAAAAAAAAAAATTAAAAAAAAAAAAAGAAAGAAAGAAAGCACAACTGTTCTGCCTTCTGCTAGGTTCAAAAGAAGTTTCTAAGTGCTTAGGAGGAAGAGGTGCTGGGTGGCTTTACAAGGTGCTGGAAGAAGCAACCTGTCAGGCCCAGAGATGGAGCAGCGTGGCAGGTCAGAGTGGCCGCCTGATGGAGGGGACAAGACTGGCAGGACTGTGGAGCGCAGCTGAGAAGGGTCAGTCAAGGGCTCCAGGGGCCAAATCTTGCCGACAGCACAAAGGGACAAGCAACCAGCCCCAAAGTGGAACCATTGGGCCACAAACAGCAGGAGTAAGCTTGAAGGGGCCATGGGGCATCAATGGGGTCTCGAACACCAGGGCTTGGAAAATGCCAGATCTGGGCCCTGGCGTCAAGAAGGTGGATCTACGGGGAGAAATGAGAATATGAAGACCAGTCACCCCATGTCAGCGCTGTCTTCCGTCCCCCAGAGCTCCGGCCGTCAGGGGAGCACGGAAGCAGTGGAGGCCACGCTGGACGCTGTCGCCCGCCCTCCATGGGTGACAGTGTGCAGAAACGAAACCCAGACAACCAGAGGCCCAGCGGTGGGGCAGGCCGGGGAAGAGCAGCCCATTTGGGCAGAGAAGGGAAGGGAGAACCGCAGGTCTCATCTGCCTGGCTGAGTGGATGGGACTGAAGTCTCGGCTGAAGCATGGATGGAGGAGCCCAGGAAGGCCTGCAGACGCTCCACAAAGACGTGAACAGCAGGCCTGTGCACCAGCAACGGGAGAGCCGATGACCTCAAGCGGCCAGCACCGCAGGAAGCGCCCGCGGCTGTGACAGGCCTGGTGGCCATGGGCTCCAGCCCCACACTCAGCCTCGTCTCGCTCCTGCCGTGGGCGGGCTGACCCCCGGGAGGGACACGGTCACTAACACGCTCCTCCAATAAAGAATTATATCTGCACACAGTGTCTTTAAGGGGAACTGAGTGGGATCATGCGTTTCTCTCTCATCTGGAAAATCACTACACTGGAGAAGCCAAAGGCCTCAAGCAGGTTGAAAGCGGCCACACACAGGGGAAGTGCCCTGCAGAGAGCTACCCGCCCCAGAGCCAGCCCCGCAGGATAGACCATCTCGACCCCACGGCCTTCATGAAGCTCACTGTCCTGTGCCTCCAGGCGGCCTGGGCCGGGCAGGGAGGGGGAGAGGCCCCCGCCGGCAGCGGTCCGCACAGCCCTCTGCGGAAGCCCGCCCAGGGCCAGTGGCGGCAGTGACGGCCCGGCCAGGCCTCAGGGGAGACTTACTGGCTTGTTCCTGATCACCCTTCATGTTGGCTACAGCCACACCGGCCTGGACCTCCTCCTTTTCCAGAAGATCCAGCAGGCCCAGCTCCTGGGGAGGGGAAGGGCTGAAGCCGAGCGGAGCCCTGGGCCGTGAACCGGCTCCCAGCACCCCCTGACCACCCCGCCTCGAGCCTCTGCCTTCTTCTCACCAGGCAAGCACTGACAGCTACCCGGACAACAGAGACGCCGCATCAGGGAGGAGACGAGACCGCCGCGCTGAGGCCCCGCTCCGGCAACGGGGGAGTCTGTCACCGCCCATCGGGCTGCCCCCGGCTCCCCCCGTCAGTGTATGCCATTAGGCTTTGGGGTGATGTAATCATTCGCACATGTAGTTGGCACTGCTGAACACCAGCGGGCACCGGAGGTGATGCCCAGGCAGAGGCCCGCCCCCAGCCCTCAACCCCCCAAGCAGGGGGCAGTACCGGAGCCTGACCTGTGCTTTCTGTTCTCTGTCTGAGCTCAGCTGTTCCAAGTACCAGTCAGCAAAGTCCCTCCGGACCCCTCGCAGGGCCAGCACAGGGTCCAGAAGGGCCTCCAGCAGGGCGCCAGGGCTCTGTCTTTCTAGCGCATCATCAATAACTTCTAGAGCCCCATGGACTGCAAAAGACCAAGACTCCAGAGTGGACAACATGTGAAAGCCCAGCCCTATTCTTCCCACCGGCCCAGAGCTCCCCACCCCGCCCCAGCCCCAAACCCTCAGCAGGATCTTCGCAGCCTTCCCACAGCACCGTCCCAGACCCTCAGGACGTCCTGCCCCAAACAGGCCGATGCCTCCTCCATCCTGAGCCTTCCAGCAGCCCCTCCCACCCCCTCCCCCATCCATTCCTCACACCTCCCTCTCAAGAAGGACCCGGTCCGGCTGCCCCTGGCCCCAAGAGCTGGAAGGTCTGTTCTTGCCTCTGCCCTCCCCGTGGATCTCCATCCAAACAGAAACGCCCTCAATGGGGCCACCTCTCTAGACATGGACAGCCATACAGCCCAGCACGTGCTGCTTCTTGACTTGGATCTTTCCCTGAGACATGAGGGCTGGCCCAAGCGAGAGCCACCCCCAAACTGCCCGATATGGGGGCTCACCCCAAGAGCACCCCAAGACCTCATGGCCCACTTCTCTCACCGTTGACGTGGTTGATGTTGCCTTGGATCTCAGCCTGAGTCAGGAAGCTATCATACACATCCCGGCTCTCTCCACCATCCTGCACCGAGAGCAAGGCCTGGGACATGGGCTCCTCCCTGTTTGTCTCTTCTCCCCCCACCCTACCCCCCACTCTGCCCCAGCCAAAGGGCAGTCTGGCCAGGATTCTGGGGAACCCAGGGCTCCAGGCCTGCCTTTGGCATCTCCTGTTGGTCTCATCCAGTCCTACGTCCCTGCCTCAGCCCACCCCGAACATCCAGGCTCCAGAACCCCCTCCTGCCTTCTCCTCTAAATCATCATTATTCTCCCCGGTGCTTTCCTCTTTCTCTACAAGAACCCACAAGTGACACTTTCCCTCAGCAACTCTGGGGCGTGGGACAGGACACACAGGAGTCCCATCCGCTGCAGGTCTTCCGGGCCACCCAGCGCTCAGCGCCCGAGTCTCCTCCTTACGCGGGTCTGGGCACTGGCGGCCTTCTCCGCCTTGGCCTGGGCCAGTAGCTCCTGGTAGATGGCCGCCAGAGGCTCTCGAAGATTCACCAGCAGGGCACTGGGATTCTGCAATGCAGCCAGGGTGTCCTCGACCACCCCTCGCTCCACGGCCTCGTTGATGGCAAGGACAGCTGCGTGGACTGGGAGGGGTGCAAAAACAAGGTCAGGAGGCCAGACAAACCCCAGACTGCTGCAGCACGGCCAGCCGCAGCCTCTCTGATGTCATTCCCTTTTCCCACCCAGGAGGCCTGGCAGCTCTGCCTACTGATGAGAGGCACCCAGAATCCATCTGAGGCCCAGAGTCCTCCCGTTCTCACTGAGCCCACCCCCGCAGGCAGAGCCCAGCCCCTACCTGCAGCCTCGTCCAGCGACAGCTCATTGGCCAGAATGCCCCCGAGCTTGCTGAAGGCAGGCAGCTGGAGGCCGTATTTGGCCAGCTCAGAGGCCATGTTGCTGAGTTCCTCGGCTGCAACAACACCACACGTGCCTTTCCTCAGGGCCAGAGCCCCCGAAACCTACCCACACAAGTGGCAGGGGGAGGAGCTAGGCTCACCTGAGAATTTCACTTTCCCATACAGATCATGTATCTGAGGGGCCAGTCCCAGCCGGAAGAGGAAGAGACTAGAAAAGAAGGGAAGGCATTGGGGCTTATTTATGTTGACGCGCTAGACAAATGGGTCTGCACGAGATGCCACAGGGACCTGGACGTGGGGACCAAGGCCCCCCGATCCACAGGGAGTGGCATTATTGGAAGTGAGCCTGAGAAAAGTGCTACAGGAGAGACAGGATGCTCAAGAGGTCGGGTGACCAGGACCCCCAGAGAAGGACGCACGGCCGTAGCAGCTGTTCAGAGATGGGGCGTCATAAGCAGAGACCCGCAGGACCAGGCACAGGGACGTGGGAAACGAAGTCAGGAGGAGGCGACGTGGCAGACACAGGGACAGTTTGGTCACTTTAAGATTTAGCCACTGGTGGGGCGCCTGGGTGGCTCAGTTGATTAAGCGACTGCCTTCGGCTCAGGTCATGATCCTGGAGTCCCAGGATCAAGTCCCGCATCGGGGTCCCTGCTCTGCAGGGAGTCTGCTCCTCCCTCTGACCCTCCCCCCTCTCATGTGCTCTCTGTCTCTCTCATTCTCTGTCTCAAATAAATAAATAAAATTAAAAAAAAAAAAAGATTTAGCCACTGGTTGCTAATGGCTGGCCGTGGGTAGAACCAGACAGCCATCACCACTCCTACTAAGTGACTTGCACGCGACACTCTTGATGGGGTCTGTTCTGATTCTTCTGTGCCCAGTCACAAGTGGAAGACCCTTCCCTGCTGCCCCTTTCTTCACCCCCATGAATCCCCCCCACACACACACATGTCCACAAACATGCACACGAGGGGCGCCTGGGCAGCTCCATTGGTGAAGCGTCTGCCTTCGGCTCAGGTCGTGATCTCAGGGTCCTGGGATCGAGTCCCCAGTTGGCGGGGGGTGGGGGGGTGGGGGGTGGTTCCTGCTCAGCAGGGAGTCCGCTTCTCCCTCTCCCTCTGCCCCTCCCGCCAGCGTGCACACGCTCTCTTTCTTTCAAATAAAATCTTTAAAAACACACACATGAATCTAGACACAACTATAAAAATCTAAAGTCTCCCTCTCCTAAGAAGTGCTCCTGGTGGCCTACCCGCCCTCCTTCCTGCTCCAACATCTGTTGCCAACTGTTGGTTGCATCCACCAAGAGGAAACTGGAGGACAAAAGTTTGGGGTCTCTCACCTGAGCGCGTGGATGCAGTAGATCACCCGGGGCATGTTCTTCTTGTCGTAGATGTCTGTGGTCTCCGGGAAAAAGGTCTGGAGGGGAAGCCAGCAGGTCACTGCCATTGGAAAGTTGCAGCACCAGCCATAGAGAGAGGGGCTGAGGCACGGTCTTCCTCTCCCACCTGGGTGGGTGTGTGCCCCTTTGTTGCCTGGGGCTTCTCGGTCAGTCTCCCCAGCCATTTACAGCCGGCACATTTAGGAAGGAAGGCACCCACACACTCAGTGTTAAAGCAAGGCCCTGGGGCCACATACTGAACCAAAGCCCAGCCAAACACACAGGCAGGGCGGTTGAGGTTATAGGACGCAGGCTGTATCCTCCAGGAGAAAGAGGCCCCCCGTCCATCCTAGAGACACAGCGAGCCTGTGCCCCTCGCCTTGGACTCTCACCGGACAGGTGGCCATGCTCCCACGGAGGCCCAACGAGGCACACGCTATCCGGGACCACGAAGGGGGCAGCGCACTCATCCCTGCCTCTAAGCCAGAGGCCTCTGAGCAGCGGGGGCCCTCGGAGGCATGGCCGTGCCCCCCGGTGACTAGTGAGGTCTAACCTCAAAACCTCTTGGCTACCTCAGATTCCTAGGAGATGTCACAGGGTTCCCGCCTCACTGAGGACAGACACCTCTGTTGCCCCTGCCTCCCACCAAGCCTTTCTTTACTGCCGCCTCCTCTCTCAGTTCCCCGGAAGAGACACACTGTAGAGTCCTAGTGTGCCCTAATGCGGCCCGTTCTCTACAATTTGCAGAGGGAACCGTGCAGATCATCCGGTCCTCCTGACAAACTGTCCGTGGATCACCATGCCCCTTTTACAGTGAAGAAACACGTAAGGTCCAAAGAGCCAGGTGACATGCAGGACGTGTGCAGCAGGGCTCCGGGGCCCAGGCTTCCGAGTCCACCCCCGGGGGACGTGGCCTGCGTGCCCTTGCTTCACGCCCTGAAACTGGCGGGAAGAAGGCGGCTAACGCGAGCCCATCTCCTGGGCCACACAGGGGTCTCGCTCACTAATGTGGACGCTGCAGCTTGGGTGGGGGAGCCTCCATCTCCCTCCACTTGCCCCCCACCCACAGAAGGAGGGGCAGCGCCATCAAAACCCTCCGATTAAGTCTGTTCAGGAGACGCAGGACGGTGAGGGCTGAAGGGTCCCAGGGGGACAAAGCATGTATGCGGGGACTGGGGGCTGGTGGAGAGCAAAGATGAACCCCGATCCTGAGGCCCAGTGTTACCGAAGGCAGGCCGACGTGGGCTATTGCAGACAGCCAAAAGTTGATGTTGTCCGTGTGCCGGAAGTGCAAGCCGGTTGCCTGAAAGGGAAGGGAAGAGATGAGAATCTATTTCTATGGTTCTCAGGGTTCCCTGTGGGCAGAGCCCAGACCACAGCTTGGAGGCCTGAGGGCAGAGGGAGCCAGAGGACACTGGCCTATTGGTTTCTCATATTCCATCCCCTGGCCCTCCAGGACAGATGGAAACCGCCAGGAATGGCTGAGCTGGCAGGACATTTAGGAAGGAAGGCACAGATGTGGGATTAACAACCCAGGAAGTGTTCCGAGGAAAGGGGAGTCCGGAGGTGAGGCGGGAAGGAGACAAGGGCTGGACCGGGCTGGCCAAGGTGCAGGGAAGGGGCAGTGGGCCCGGGAGTACCGTTATGGTGGCAAAGCCCACAAGCCTCTGAGTGTCAACTTGCTTAGAAGTCTCCTACCTGGGGCATCTCAGGGCCCACCTAGCGAGAGTCCCTTGCTGCTAAAGCCCGCACGCAGTGTCTGGCCAGGGACCCCAGCCACTCCTGTTGGCCCCGTGCAGTGATTGATAGGGCCCCCTTTCATCCTCAACTGTGTCCAGGTCTGGACAGTAAATTACACGGTCACCCTACTGCCACAGCCTTGAGGAGAAGGGGGAGTTTGAGAGGAAGCGGCTAGAAGGTAGAGACCGCCCTTCCCCACCTGGTACCGCAGCTGCTCCACATCATAGATCTTCTTCAAGGGAACCACGGCAGGCGCAAAGCAGTGGCCCAGCTTGGCCAGCAGCACTCCATTCCGGAGGCTCTCCTCCAGCTGCACCGGGGAAGGAAGCTCCTCCTTCAGGCAGGCCTCCATCCAGCTGAAAACACAAGAGCAGGACAGCGCCTACCACCCACTCCGGCACCTGCCCCCACCCCGACAGAGGGGCCTCCTGTGGGGACGCTGCAGCTTCGGTCAGGGAGCTGTCCCTGTCGCTGTCCCTGCCCCCACTCCCGGCTCCCCTCTCTGCCCGCGGTCTGGCTGCTACCACCTGACCCCAAGCCGCCCCAGCACTGGAATGGCCAGTCCTCAGCCCCTGCTCACCCCTGGAAATCTTCCCTGACAGATCCTAAACCTGTGCATCCACGGGGAGGCCTTTACCCGCTGCACGTAGACCGTCTCTCAGTGTGGTCAGAGCACGGCTCTCACTCTGCGTGTTTTCTGAGAACCCAGGCCTGAAGGTCACGTCTACACAGCTCAGAGCCCAGCTCTGATGACGATGGGGGTCGTGGGGGCCCCCGGGGTTGATGGGAGGGAGCAGCACAAAGGGACAGAAAGGCCAGAGCCCTTGGAATCGGCGGAGCAGCTTTGCACACCATCTGCCCCCCAACCCCTCTCGAAGCCTCACTGTGTAACCTGCGAACTGAAGAGAGCGCGGCCACACAGGGGGTGCGCGAGCTGACGAGTGGGAGCACGCCGGGGGGTGGGGGGGGGGACACGTGAAGCATACTGTTACTGATGGTGGCCCGGGGCCTCCAAACTTCTCCCCGCACAGACGCCTACAGGAAAGCCTCCATCCTCAGAGAGAGCCGGTCACACCTCGCTCTATGCCTTCCCGGCCACACACACCTGCTGTCCTGTCTCCCCACGCTGCCTGCTTTTCTGGAGACCGTTAAAAATATACTATGGATTACAAGGAAAGAATGAAGCATTTTATGCTGCCTTAGAGGCGGAAACACGGGGTACAGAGGAGCAAGCCGGCGGACACAAGGAAGCAAACAGACAAACCCAGAACGGAAGGCGTCTACATGGCAGACAAGCTGGTTTCTTCACCAAGTCGGTGACATAAAGAACTGCAATGGGGAGGTGGGGCTATTCTGGATTAAAGAAGATTTAAGAGACACAACAACCAAATGTAGTATGTGAGCTTTGTTAGATCCTTATTTGAATAAGCCAACTGAAAAATAGACTATTTTTCCAGACAATCAGGAAAATTTGAAAATGGCCAGGTGTTGATCTTCCAAGGATTAACGAATAACTTCTCTGGGTATTAGGATGGTGCTGTGGTTATTACGTGAGCAGACGTTCATACATTTAGAGATAGGCGCTGAAGAATATAGGGGGATAGAAGGATGTGGTGCTGTCTTTGCTCACAGATGGCATGACCGTCTAGGTGGAAAATCTGAAAGAAGGCAACACAAAACCTCACACAAGCCTGTGGGACACAAGGGTAACACGCAAAAGTCAGTCACTGTCCTATGCGCTGCAGTGAACAAGTGGGATTTGGAATTAAAAACACCATACGGCTTCCGTTAGCACCCCAAAAATGAAATACTTAGGTATAAATCCAACAAAATACGTACAAGATCTCTGAGGAAAACTATGAAACCCTGATGAGTAAGATCAAAGGGAAACCAAACTAAGTGGAAAGATACCCCACACTCGTGGGCGGGAAGGGTCTATGGATTCAGTGCAATCCCAAGCAGACTGCCATTTTGTGGATATCAAGATACTGATTCGAAGGTTTGTATGGAGAGCCAAAAGATCCAGAATGGCCAACACCATACTGCAGGCAGAGAACAAAGTTGGAGGACTGACAACGCCCACCTTAGCCACAGTAATCAAGAGTGTGCTTTCAGTGAAAGTTAGACCAGTGGAACAGAATGAAGAGAAACAGACCCACAGAACAACAGTCAACTGATCTTTGACGAAGGAGCAGAACAATCCAATGGAGCAGAGCGTCTCTTCAACAAATGGCGCTGAACACCCAGACATCCACATGCAAAAGAAATAAATCTAGACGTAGACTTTACACCCTTCACAGAAATCAACTCAAAATGGATCAGCTTAAAGGTAAAATGCCAAACTATAAAACTCCTAGAACACAGGGGAAAACCTAGGTGACCTTCAGTGCGGTGATGACTTTTTATTTTTTAATTTAAAGTTTATTTTTTTTTAGTAATCTCTCTGCTCAATTTGGGGCTTGAACTCATAACCCCAAGATCAAGAGTTGCACGCTCTACTGACTGAGCCAGCTGGGTGCCGCTGGCAACGACTCCCTGCCCACCCCCACCCCGGGCAATGACATTTGAGACACAAACCAAAGACACGATCGCTGACAGAAATAAGTGAAAAGCTGGACTTAATTAAAATGAAAAATTTCTGGGGCACCTGCGTGGCTCAGTTGGCTAAGTCTCTGCCTTTGTGGGGTGCCTGGGTGGCTCAGTCGTTAAGTGTCTGCCTTGGGCTCAGGTCATGATCCCCGGGTCCTGGGATCGAGCCCCACATCAGGCTCCCTGCTCAGTGGGGAGTCTGCTTCTCCCTCTGCCCCTTGCCCACCCTGCTCATGTGCTCTCTTGCTCTCTCTCAAGTAAATAAATAAAATCTTAAAAATAAATAAATAAATGAAATTAAAAACTTCTGTTCTAGAAAAGAGAATGAGAAGACAAGACACACTCTGGGAGAAAATATTTGCAAAACATACATCTGGTAAAAGACGAGTATCTGAAATACACAAAGAATGGGGTACCTGGCTGGCTCAGTCAGTGAGGTCATGCAACTCTTGATCTCAGGGTCATGAATTTGAGCCCCACGTTGGGCGCAGAGATTACTAAAACAGACACAGACACAGACACACACACACACACACACACACAACTCAAAACTCAACAAAAAAAGAACAAACAACTGACTAAAATATGGGCCACAGACACCTTGCCAAAGAAGATGCACAGATGGGAACTAAGCATCTGGAAAGATGCTCCCCACTATATGTCATCAGGGAAGTGCAAATGAAAGCAATGAGATTCCACCGCACACCTATTAGAATGACCGAAATCTGGACCCCTAACAACACCGGATGCTGACAAGGACGTGCAGCAACAGGAGTTCTCGGTCACAGCTCCTGGGAATGCGAGATGATGCAGCCACTTTGGAAGAAGTTTAGTGATTTCTTTCTTTTTTTTCTTTTAAGATTTTATTTATTTATTTGACAAAGAGAAGAGAGAGCAGGAACACAAGCAGGGGGAGTGGGAGAGGGAGAAGCAGGCTTCCCGCCAAGCAGGGAGCCTGATTCGGGACTCGATCCCAGGACTCTGGGACCATGACCTGAGCCGAAGGCAGACGCCCAACGACTGAGCCACCTGGGCGCCCCAGTTTAGTGATTTCTTACAAAACTAAACATATTCCTGCCGTACGATGCAGCAATCATGCTCCTTGCTAATTACCCAAAGGAGTTAAAACACATGTCCACACAAAAACCTGCACACAGATATTTACAGCAGCTTCATTCATAACTGCCAAAACTTGGAAGCAACCAAGATGTCCTTCAGTAGGTGACAGATTAATAAACTGCGGTACATCCAGACAATGGAAAATCCTCCAGCACTAAAAAGAAATGAGCTGTCGAGCCCTGAGAAGACATGGAGGAACTTCAAATGCACACAACTAAGTGAAAGAAGCCGGTCTGCAAAGGCTCGTACTGTATGATTCCAACCGTGGAGAAACTATGGAGATAGGAGAGAGGAGTGACTGCCAAGGGGTGGGATGGGGGACAAAGAGGCAGAGCATAGAGGATTTTTAGGGCAGTGAAATTACTCTAAGATACCATAATGGTGGATACATATCATTCACCATTTGTCCAAACCCACAGAATGTACACCACCAAGAGTGATCCCTAAGGTCAACCACGGACTTGGGGAGAGTACGTGTCCAGGTGAGTTCATCAGTTGTAACAAATGTGCCATGCTTACGGATGTTGACAGTGGGGGCTGGAGGTACCTGGGAAATCTCTATCTTCCTCTTGTTGCTGAACCTGAAACTGTTCTAACAAAATAAAGTCTTAAAAAAAAAAAAAAAAAAAAAAAAAGAACGGACTCCTCTCCTTCTGTATCGGCTAGGGGGCAGGTGCCTGGGGTGGGCAGGGTGGGAAAGCAGAAGGGGGGGACCAGAAGGGGCAGGCCCCCCACTCACCGCTTGGCTTCCTCCAGCCGACACAGGTACTGATAGGCAACAGTCTGCCGCCTCTGCTCATCCATCTCCTCAGCTGTGAGGCGCTCATCTGAGGAGTGAAGGGGGACAAGGTCGAGGAGAGGAGCGTTAGACAAAGGGCCATGGCACCAAAGCTTCTTCTCAGCAGACTTTCTTGGGCAACTCTGCCCAGAGACCTGAAGCACCTCTCGTACATCCGTCCCCCCCTTCCTGACACCCCTGGCTCCAATCTCTGGCCTGCATCCCATAAAGCTGCCCTGGTCGGCACCCCTTAACAGGGGGCTCCCCTGTGTCAGAGGCACTCCCTTCTCTTTCCCTCCAGCCATCTCCTGACCCCTCCTTCCCATCTATTTCAAGTCCTTCCCTCAGGGCTCCCAGCACAGATGTCCAGACTCCTCCACGGCTGGGAACGTAGCCCCTTATTTTATCCCTAACAGCCCCTGAGTTCTCCATGACCTGGACCCCTCCCAGAGGCTAGGCTAACAGGACCAACTGGGAATCATCATTCAAGAACCATTCATTCATGCACTACCTTCTATCTGTCAGGGCCTGGGCTAGTGGATCCTTATTCTCAAGAAACACAGATTAGCATTAGAGAAGAAAAACATATAAGGGAAAAATTCCAGTTCCTAAAGTGACAGGTTTGATTATAATCACAGATCATGCAAGCAGCAGACGAAACAAAGGGTTCTACCCATGAGTAGGATCTTAAAGAATGAACAGGTGGAAAGGGGGAAAGGTAGTTCAACAAAGGGAACCATGTGGAAAAGGGCACTCACTTGGGATTAAGTGGAAGGACAGAGAATCTTAAAAGATCACAAAGATACCTTTACTCTCCGCTTTGGTATAAGTCACCTGAGCAGGAAAATAATCTCCAAGCTAAATAAAATACAGACAGTCCTCTGATCCCCAAATCCGTTAGATGAGACAGCACACATATTCCGCCTTAGCCTCAGCCTCCTTTTCTCCTCCCCTTTCACGGTCCCCCACCTTTCGAGTCTCCTTAGAGAAAACAATACAAAATCAGACAGGGAGAGAAAAAGTTGTACACATACACACACAAGAAATAAACAGAAGGGGCTGAAGAGAGACAAGTCTGTCTTTGACCCAACACTTAATGTTAATCCTACTCTTTATCTTATGTTCTTATATTGCATATCCTGCAACATGATTTGGACGAGGGGCAGGGCTTACTGGAACTGGCAGTTAAGCAAGTTAACACACACACACACACACACACACACACACACCCCGTCCACGTTCAGATCCGAAAGCACCAGCCAACTGTAGAAAATCCATCAGTTCCTATAAGGGTGTGTACAAGGAACAAGCGCTGGTTGCTAAGCACGGAAAATAAACCAGTAAGCGAATGACATCACCTCAGAGTTATGAACTGAGGGCTGTGTGAGACGGGCAGGGCTTTGTACACACACACACACACACACAAACACACACACACGAGCCTTGGAAAAAGTTGGTCCTCCTGTGCTTCCCGGGTCTGGAACTAGCTTTCCCTCAACAGATGCGAGAACACGGACTCTGTGTTTTGAACCCTACTGGCAAGAAAGGGGAAGGGCGGGAAGAAGGAGACTTTGCCTTTCATTCAGAAGGTCGGACAGCAGCCCCAGTCTCTTTCTAAAGCAGTGCTTTTGCAAGTGCGGTCCGTGGACCACCTGCATGATGACCTGGGGCGAGGGAAGAAGCCCACAGTGCTTGTTACAAATGCAGACAAGGGCGGGGCGCCTGGGAGGCTCAGTCGTTAAGCGTCTGCCTTCGGCTCAGGTCACGATCCCGGGGTCCTGGGATCGAGCCCCGCCTCAGGCTCCCTGCTCAGCGAGAAGCCTGCTTCTCCCTCTCCCGCTCCCCCTGCTTGTGTTCCCTCTCTCGCTCTCTCTCTCTCTGTCAAATAAATAAATAAAATCTTTAAAAAAATAAAAAACAAAAAACAAATGCAGACAAGGGCGGGGCGCCTGGGTGCCTCAGTCGTTAAGCTCAGGTCATGACCCCGGGGTCCTGGGATGGAGCCCCGCATCGGGCTCCCTGCTCCCTCCCCCACTCCCCCTGCTTGTGTTCTCTCTCTCGCTGTGTCTCTGTCTGTCAAATAAATAAAATCTTTAAAAAAACAAAAAACAAATGCAGACAAGGGCGGGGCGCCTGAGTGGCTCAGTCGTTAAGCGTCTGCCCTGGGCTCAGGTCGTGATCCCAGGGTCCTGGGATCGAGCCCCGCATCGGGCTCCCTGCTCCGCGGGAGCCTCCTTCTCCCTCTCCCACTCCCCCTGCTCGTGTTCCCTCTCTCGCTCTCTCTCTCTCTGTCAAATAAATAAATAAAATCTTTAAAAAAATAAAAAACAAAAAACAAATGCAGACAAGGGCGGGGCGCCTGGGTGCCTCAGTCGTTAAGCTCAGGTCATGACCCCGGGGTCCTGGGATGGAGCCCCGCATCGGGCTCCCTGCTCCCTCCCCCACTCCCCCTGCTTGTGTTCTCTCTCTCGCTGTGTCTCTGTCTGTCAAATAAATAAATAAAATCTTTAAAAAAACAAAAAACAAATGCAGACAAGGGCGGGGCGCCTGAGTGGCTCAGTCGTTAAGCGTCTGCCCTGGGCTCAGGTCGTGATCCCAGGGTCCTGGGATCGAGCCCCGCATCGGGCTCCCTGCTCCGCGGGAGCCTCCTTCTCCCTCTCCCACTCCCCCTGCTTGTGTTCCCTCTCTCGCTGTGTCTCTCTCTGTCAAATAAATAAATAAAATCTTTAAAAAAATAAAAAACAAAAAACAAATGCAGACAAGGGCGGGGCGCCTGGGTGCCTCAGTCGTTAAGCTCAGGTCATGACCCCGGGGTCCTGGGATGGAGCCCCGCATCGGGCTCCCTGCTCCCTCCCCCACTCCCCCTGCTTGTGTTCTCTCTCTCGCTGTGTCTCTGTCTGTCAAATAAATAAAATCTTTAAAAAAACAAAAAACAAATGCAGACAAGGGCGGGGCGCCTGAGTGGCTCAGTCGTTAAGCGTCTGCCTTCGGCTCAGGTCACGATCCCGGGGTCCTGGGATCGAGCCCCGCCTCAAGCTCCCTGCTCAGCGAGAAGCCTGCTTCTCCCTCTCCCGCTCCCCCTGCTTGTGTTCTCTCTCTCGCTGTGTCTCTGTCTGTCAAATAAATAAAATCTTTAAAAAAACAAAAAACAAATGCAGACAAGGGCGGGGCGCCTGAGTGGCTCAGTCGTTAAGCGTCTGCCCTGGGCTCAGGTCGTGATCCCAGGGTCCTGGGATCGAGCCCCGCATCGGGCTCCCTGCTCCGCGGGAGCCTCCTTCTCCCTCTCCCACTCCCCCTGCTCGTGTTCCCTCTCTCGCTCTGTCTCTCTCTGTCAAATAAATAAATAAAATCTTTAAAAAGACAAAGAACAAAAGCAGACAAGGGCCTCGGCCCGCTGCAGCGGACGCCGCGGGGCAGGGCTGAGCAGTGCGCCCTGGAAACAAGCTTCCCGGCTCATTCCCACTGCGGCTGGAGACGCGGCCTCGAAAGCCAAGCTCCGCGGGCGTCCCGTCCCCTGGAGGCGCCTGGCAAGCGTGCCTGCCATGCGCAACTGCTGCCTTCCTATGGGGCCATCCAGACCACCCACATTCGCCCAGCCCCAGAATCTGGCGACGAGGGAGAAAGCTCTGGAAGCTCTGAAGCGCGGCGGAGTCGGGGGGCGTCTCGCCGCTCCCGGTCCCCCCCGAGCGCGCCGGAGACCCGACCGGGGCTCCCTCCCCGCGGGGCGCAGGCCCGCCGCCCTCCTCGGCCCCTCGGCACTCACACAGCGCGGGGCCCGCGCCCGCTCTCCGCCGCTCCATGGTCCTCCTCCTTCCAGGTTTGAATCTCCCGCCGCCGGGCCGCCGCCCTCACCGTCGCCGCAGCCGGACAGAACTTCCGGCCCGGGCCGCGGGGGCCGCTGGGATTTGTAGTTCCAGGCCGCGCAGGCGCCACGGCAGGAGCGCCGCCAGGGGCGGAGGAGGAGGCCCTCGGGGGCGGTGGGAGCAGCCTTCCGCTCCCCGCCCAGCGGTCTCCTGTTCCCCTAGGGCTCCTCGGCTGCCCTTGCCGCCATCATGTCCCCCTAGTGTTCCCACGAACGCCGCTCCGCCTCCTGCTAGCTTGCAGGCCCCCTTGCACTGAACTAGATGGTGCGGATGCGGAGAGAAAGCCGCATAATTAGGGGCCCCTGGCTGGGTCAGTCGGTAGAGCATGCTACTCTTGATCTGCGGGCTGTAGGTTCGAGCGCCACGTTGGGTGTAGAGATTACTGAAAAAATAAAAATAAAAAAGTCAGCATAATTAATGCCCTAAAGCCTGCTGTTCTGGAATGAATGACAGACATAAAGTCAAATACGTTGGAGGTCAGCGATATTCAGAGGGATGAGGTCACTGCTGCAAAGAGGTTAAGGGCGGTGAAGGGCAGGAAGACTTCCTAGTGGAGGTGACAGCTGATCTGGGTTGGGGAGGGAGCAAGAATTCATCAGCCTGAAGGAGAGGCATTTCGGTCAGCGAAAGAGCACGTGTGAGAGCAAGGAGGGGGTTCAGGAAATGAAAATCAGTGCAGTCGCACAGACAGACAGAGCTCAGGCAGGGAGAGGCGGGACGAGAGCCTGGAGGGGCACGGGCAGCGGGCTGAGGAGCAGCCACAGCCCAAGGACACCTTCCACATAGGTCAAGGGCAGGTTTGTATGTTAGGAGGACTCCTTTTGCAGCAGGGGCTTGGAGCAGGGTGAGGCTAGGGGCAGAGACCTACAGTAGCAGCACAAGCAAAAGACAGTCAGGTCTGAACTAGTAAAAACATGATGACACTTGCCCTAAAATTTTTTTTGCTATGTTATCTAATAGGCCTCCCCCATCCGGTATTTCTCCTTTTGCCCTCCCTCCCACCCACCAATGCCCCAGTCAAGCGGCAAAGCAGCCTAGGCTCCTAGCCTCAGGGGAGAGATTTGAAAGGGTAGAAAACCGAAAATATCCAAACCTTCAGAGGAGCAGAGGAGACTCAGGGCTGAGACAAAATGGAAGGAGATGTGGGGTTTGAAGAGGGTGGGCGTTCCCTGAGACCAGAAGGGTCTCCTTTGCTCACCATGCAGGAAAGTAGAGAGAATCTAGACTCCTGGTGACAGAGGTCCCACTCCCTGCTTTCTGGGAAGGACCTGGGCAGTCCAGGACAGGAAACAGTTGTGTAATGAGGCCCTTATGTGCAGAAACCCCCAACCCAGCCAGAAAGGAAGGACCTGGATGAGCTACCCCCCTTCTACTTGGATTGAGGGCCCCTGGGCCTGAGAGGGCCAGGTGGATTGTAAATAGGTGGCTAAGTCTTAGCATCTCATACTCCCTCCAACTTGGCCTCCACCGTGGGAGAAAGGAGGGGGCAATCCCAGCTGACTCACACTGTGTTCACCATCCAGGGCAACAGGGGCTGGAAACAGGGCCTGCGGAGATGTATTTCTCGCAAACAGGCCGCATTGGGCACCAATCCTGTCCTGCAGTGACAGGCGCTGAGTGTTCATTGTACGCTGGAGCCTCATTTAGCCTCATCTTGTTTGATCTTCGTAATACAGATGAGGGAACTGAGGCTCAGGAATGTCACACAGCTAAAAATCAGTGGGGCCAGGACACAGACTCAGAGTGCAGCTCCAGGCTTCAGTTCCCACAGCTGTGCCTCCTCCACGGCTGGGGCTGCGACACCGCAGGGATGGGTGGGTGCTCTGCGGAGAGGGCTCAGGGGCTGACCCGGCGGGCAGGGCTAAGCCCAGGAGCAGAGAGGGTCACGGACCTCCCGCCGTGCCAGCTGACAGACCGGGTTCCTGGTGGACCGGCTAACACCGGGGACAGGGGATGGGTAGATGGGGGGAGACGGGAACTTCGTGTGGACAAGCCAAGGCTAGAATCTACATTTAGAAATGACTGGTGGGAAAATAAGAGCAGCGAATGGAAGGTTCGTGGAAGTGTCTATACAGTAAGAGAGTGAAGGGCAGAGGGGTGGGGACTGTTTGCGTTCAAGGGGTGGACAGAGGGCCCAGCAAAGGAGACAGGGAAGAAATGGAGCCAGGACACAGTGGAGCCTGGAAGCCAAGTGAGGAGACAGTAGCAAGAATACATCACCTAAAGTGGGAATCAGGGGCGCCTGGGGGGCTCAGTCATTAAGCGTCTGCCTTAGGCTCAGGTCATGATCCCAGGGTCCTGGGATGGAGCCCCGCATCGGGCTCCCTGCGAGGCGGGGAGCCTACTTCTCCCCTCCCACTCCCCCTGCTTGTGTTCCCCTCTCGCTGTGTCTCTCTCTGTCAAATAAATAAAATCTTTTTTTTTAAATATTATTTATTTATTTATTTGAGAGAGAGCATGAGAGGGGGGAGGGTCAGAGGGAGAAGCAGACTCCCTGCCAAGCAGGGAGCCCGATGCGGGACTCAATCCCGGGACTCCAGGATCATGACCTGAGCCGAAGGCAGTCGCTTAACCAACTGAGCCACCCAGGTGTCCCAAATAAATAAAATCTTTAAACAAAAATGAATAAAGTGGAAATCAAACAAGCAGATGATTCAGAAACGATCCCTAGGTCATTGAGAGGTCAGCGGAACTTGGCTAGCGTAGTTTCAGTCCCTGCCCCCTCCCCAAATCTCTCCCTTTAAGGGAAGCCTGCTGAGTGGCCATGGGCTGAGCTGCCCGGCGCTGGCCAGGCTCTGGTGGTGTCCTGGAGGCCGGCCCGTGGGCAGCTGAGAAGGCCCGCCTCGGCCGTGGGCCCCGCCGGTGGCACCCAGCGCAGTATGGACCCACAGCAGGCCCTCAGCAAAGGCTGCCCAGTGCAGGGGGGCCTAGCGACTTCCCTGTAATTTTTTTTTATTATTATTTATTCATTGGAGACACAGAGACACTGAGAGAGAGAGAGCATGCGGAGGGGGAGAGGCAGAGGGAGAGGGAGAAGCAGGCTTCCTGCTGAGCAAGGAGCCTGACACGGGGCTCGATCCCAGGACCCCGGGATCATGGCCTGAGCTGAAGGCAGATGCTTAACCATCTGAGCCACCCAGGCGCCCCCTTCCTTGTAATTTTGTTTCTGGCAAAGGCCTCCTTACTTAAAAGAGACCTCTCTGCCGGCAAATGAGGACATTTGCTCTGTGCTGCAGGCCACCCTGCGTGAGTTAGCGCCGTAGGTGCCCGTCGTCCTGGGGCCTGCTCTCCTCTCATCAAGCAGAACGTGGAGGTTGTAGATCAGCAGAGCTGGGAAAAGGATTCGGGGGCCGAGAGACTCTTCTGATGACCACCAGCCTTTAACCCTGCTCCCGAATGTGAAACGTACCCCACAGAAGCACAGTGCGTAGGTGTGTGTCTGGGTGTGTGTGAAAGCGTTCACATCTAGGACCACCCAGGCCCCATTAAAGCTTGCAATCACAGTGCAGTGGAAGGAACCCCGGGCTAATTAGCCCGGAATCAGAAAACCAGGGGCCTGATCCCAGCTACACAGCTGCTCTGTGCCCTCAGGCAGGTCCCACCTGCTTTCTGAGCCCGGGCCCCTCCTCCCTAGAATGAGAGTGTGGGACAGACGATCCCTGAGGTTGTAACGGGTAACAAGCCATCACACTTTGATTCCTTGCTTTCGGTGGGAGATTGAGAGGTGTGTGCAGGGGTGAAGGGGGAAGTAGGGGGCAGGAAGGGGAATGGGATCCAGGTAACTGCCCGACCACGGTCAGTGATGCAGCACTAAGATAGGGCGCCTGAGCTGTCCATCAAAAAACTCCTAGGAGTGGAGGGCGGTGCCTGGTTGTCTAGTAACCCCAGGGCTCTGAGCTCAGAGCTTGGCGAGGTAACCCAAGCCAGAGGGACCATTCCAGAAAGCCAGCCGCAGAGAAGATCGAGGGAGGTAAGGCATCCTGTGGCTGGGGCCCCAAGGCCTGGTGGGGGTAGCTAGGAATGCCCCAGGGATGAGGGCCTTGAAGGCAAGATTCCTAGGTGTTCTTAGTTGCAGGGGGAATTTCTTTAAAAAGAGAATCACCGGGTGCCTGGGTGGCTCAGTTGGTTAAGCGACTACCTTCGGCTCAGGTCATGATCCTGGAGTCCCGGGATCGAGTCCCGCATCGGGCTCCCTGCTCGACAGGGAGTCTGCTTCTCCCTCTGACCCTCCCCCCTCTCGTGTGCTCTCTCTCATTCTCTCTCTCAAATAAATAAATAAAATCTTTAAAAAAAAAAAAATGCACTGGGTGGCTCAGTCAGTTAAGCATCTGCCTTCGGCTCAGGTCATGATCCTGGAGTCCCGGGATCGAGTCCCCCATCGGGCTCCCTGCTCGGCGGGAGGTCTGCTTCTCCCTCTGACCCTCTTCCCTCTCGTGTTCTCTGTCTCTCATTCTCTCTCTCAAATAAATAAATAAAATCTTTAATAAATAAATAAATAAATAAATAAATAAATAAATAAATAAATAAATAAAAATAAAAAGAGAATCACCTCTTCCTGCCTCTCCTAAAAAAGAGGGGGAAGGGTGAAGGAAAGGGGAGGGGCTGAGAGCCCAGGCCTGAGTCTTTGCCACCCCTTTCCCCAGCTCCTGGGAGGAGAGTTCAGGAAAAGGCTTTGCCTTTCCAGGGGAGAGATCCTAATGGGGAAAAGCATATTGGAGACTAGAGCAGGGTGCTGGGGGACCAGAACTAGCCAGCCATGGAGAAAGAGGTCCCCTGAGATAGGGCGTGGGCAGTGAATGGAGAGACAGCACCCTCCCTGCCAAGCTGACTCCTTGCCAATTCAATAGCCTGTTCAGCTCTGTGTCCCTAGTGCCCTGTGGCTCCTGGTACACAGCAGGTGCTCACCGAGTGTCTGCTCAACTGCCTTGATCTACACCTTGGCATCAGGTAGCAGGAGCACCCGTCCTTGTGAGCCGAAGGGTGTCTGTGGAACAGTGTGAAGGAGGTGATGGAGAGAGGCCCTGCATACTCTGGTCATCTGTCTGTCCATTTATTCCTTCAGTGAGGATTTTTTAAACTGTGGTAACATATATATAATATGACTTTTACTTTGCTAAGCCATTTCTAAGTGCACAGCTCAGTGGCTTTAGGGACACTTGCATCACTGGATGAACATTTGTGGGGACCTACTATGTGCCAGCCCCTTCACGCTGCTCCAGATCTAGTAGAGGAGATAGACCAGAAAGTCGGCAACCTTAACCCAGCATGGTCAGTGCTGCGAGAGACACGGGCGCAGGTTCTCTGGGAGTCCAGGAGGACCAGGAGCTTGGGGGAGCAGGCTTTCTGGAGGGCGCTCTTACTTGAACTGGGTCCCGAAGGACTAAGAATGAGCCGGGACATTGGAGTAAGGGTTGATACGGCCCCAGGAGGATTGATGAAGCAAAGTAAGATGGCAGAGAGAAGTCCTTGAGACCCTGAGGTCACAACAGGGCAGGGGTGGAGCTGAATTACGCTGGAGGGATCCTGCTTTGGAGGAAGCCAAGGGTGACATACTGACCCCTCTGCTCCCCATTGTCAGCACTATGTCTTTCTCCAACCCTGAGGATGCCCCCCAAGAGCCTGAGCCGGAGCCCTCAACCTCCAAGAAGAAAAAGAAGAGAAAGCAGCCACAACAAGAGGCCAGCATCCAAGCCCTCACCAGGGCTGGCCACGGAGCCCTACTGGCTGGCCGGAACCACGAAGCTTTGACCAGCTTCCAGAGGGCCTTCATCCTGGCCTCTGAGGCCCCACAAACTCGGGACACCCCTGTTCTCCGGGCCTGTGCCTTCAACCTGGGGGCCGCCTACGTGGAGACTGGGGACCCAGCCAGAGGCCTTGAGCTGCTCCTGCGAGCCCAACCTCAAGAGAAGGCACAGGGCGGGTGTCCTGGCGACCAGTGTTTCAACGTGGCTTTGGCCTACCAGGCCCTGGGCAAGCTGCCTCAAGCTTTGGCTTGGTACCACAGGGCCTTGGGTCACTACCGGCCACTCGGTGACCAGGGGCAAGCCCAGGCAAAAATGGGAGCCTGCTACCAGGCTCTGGGACAGCCTGAGCTAGCAGCCCGCTGTCTGCAGGAGGCCAGCCGGGCCTATGCCCAAGCAGGGCAGCCCCAGGCTGCAGCCCTGGCCGCAGGGGCTGTGGCAGGGTGCATGCTGGAGAGCGGGCGGCACGGGGTGGTTGAGGTGGTGCAGGTGCTGGAGGAGAGCCAGAGGCTTGCCGAAAGGAGCCCCGAGCGGGGACTGCTGGGTGAGGCCCTTGGGCAGAGGAGGCGTGGGGTGTGGGAACATTCAGACCAGGTGATGCTCTGAGAGGTGGGGTGCAGGCAGAGGCTGCTCTGAGGGCAGGGGAGAGGGGTGGAGGACCCCAGGAGAGTGGGACAGGGGCTATACCAATCAGCATCACCCAGCATCTGACCTGGCTACTGGTGACCCTGGCCATGCCCTCCAGGGCAGCTCTATAACGACCTCGGCCTGAGCTACTCCCAGCTCCGACTGTTCCCGCTAGCAGCAGAGGCCTTCCTGCGGGCCCTGCCCCTGTGCCGGGGGCCAGGAGAGGAGGCCACAGTGCTGAGAAACCTCGGGGAGGCCCACAGTGCCCTCGGCAACTATCAGGAAGCCCGGGACTTTCACCAGAAGGCCGCTGACCTGCACGGTGGGTACCAGGGCCTGGGGAATGGGATAGGGACTCACAGGGGCTCCAGCTGGGGCTCAAGGCGGAAGAGTGGACAGACCTTTAGGACAGGGTATGGGGCCGGGAAGCCTAGAACCAGGGGGTGAGGGCTGGGGGTGCAGGAGAGGGGTAGGCAGACAGGACAGGGGGGTGAGGGCCCGGAGGCCGAGGCCTGGGGTTGGGAAGGCGGCAGTGGGCAGTGGGAAGAGCCCCAGCCGGGAGAGCAGGCCTCCTCCGACTGAATGGTTGTGTGATATTCAGCGAGTGGTGTCGGCTTTCCGAGCTTCAGTTTCCACCCAGGTAAGAAGGGAGCCACTGATACCTGCCCTGCCTGCCTCACCAGGTTGTCGCATGGCTCCAGCCAGCCGTGGGTGGGGGTGGGGGTGGGGGTGGGGGAGATGCATTCACGCCCAAACTCAGGCCTGAGGAGAGGCTGGTTATCGAGAGCTGAGGTCTCCGGGGTGCATCTGGAGGCGTGCTGGGGCGGAGCACCAGGACTCCTGGGCGCCCGCCCTGGTTGCTGGGGGACGCCTCAGCAGCCAAGGTCCCCTCTGTCATCAGGCTCTGTGGGGCAGCGGCGGGAGCAGGGCCGGAGCTTCGGCAGCCTAGCATTTGCACTGAGCCAGCTGGGGGACCACAGAGCAGCCCGAGACAGCTACCTGCATGCCCTGCAGGCTGCCCGGGACACCGGTGAGGGCTTAGCAGGTGGCTTGGCAAGGGGGCCAGGCCGAGGGTCCCGGGGACTGGTGGCGAGACCTCTGGAAGGGAGGGTCAGCGGTGCGGGGACCCATGAGAGGACCTCCCGGGCTCCCTTCCCCAGGGGACACGAAGGGGCAGTGGCAGGCCTGCGAGGGGCTGGGGGCTGCGGCAGCCAGACTGGGGCAGCACGACCAGGCCTTGCGGTACTATAAGGAAGCTCTGGCCCGGAGTCAGGTGAGACCCCCCCATCCCAGAACCTAACTCTTCCTACTACGCTTCGTCTGCTGACCGTCCTGCCTCTTCTCCTTGCCATCCGTCCACTCACCAAACGCGCATCGGGCACACTGTGAGCTAGGTCCCAGGACACTGCTGTGAGGAAGAGCTTGTCTCTTCACGGTTCTGGGCAGGTGGTAACAGGATCCTGGCAAGGGTGCGGGGATGGGGTAGAAAAGAAAGGAAGACAAAGCCCCCTTCCCTCTTCCCTCTCCAGTTTCTTGCTTCCCCAATCCCAGAGGACTGCGTAGCCCAGACCTTCCCCATCCCCCCATTATCCACCCTCTCCCCAGAAGGAGCCAGACTCTGTGCGGGATCGGCTGGTGGCCAAGCTGGCAGACGCCATGAGGACCCACTTGGCCCAGGCTGGGCTTGTCCCCACGTACACCCTGGTGAGGTGACCCCTCAGACAGGGAGCTTGGGGTGCAGAGAGGTGACCCCGAGAAGGAGGTGGTGGCAAGCAGAGCTGACCCCTCAGGGATGCTGCACTGGCCCGTGTGTTCATCTGCCCCGGAGCCCGCGTAGGGGACACAGATCACTTTTCCCAGGACACCTGGGGGTGGGGAGGTGGGCAGGGGATTCTGGCCTGTCTCCCAGCACTAGGCTGTGCCAGGCCTTTGCCTGGGTGGTAACAAGCCCAGCAGTTGAGCACAGAGATGCAATCAGGAATGCTGAGCCCTACTGCCCGGAGGAGGCGGAAACCGGCCAGTCCTTGGCTGCAGTTCTCCAAAAGGCCACAGGGTGGGGGCAGTGCTCCAGCGAGGTTCCCCTTCTGGCTGCCCTGGCTGGGGGCGCTTCTCCGTGGGTCTCCACTGCCCCTCCCTCTCTGGCTCCCCCCAACCTCTCTCTGCCTCCCAGCCTCCCTGCAGGTCCTGTGTCTCACACCCTGAGATACCTTCAGGCAACCAACCTCCCACCTAGGAATTAAAATTATACTTTAATATTTATTCTACTTATTTAATGGGGTTTATGTCTTCTCTTAAAGACCAGGACACTGTATTTATAATTTGTGAGCAAAATTAAATTAATCTGGTCCGAGCAGAGGACTGGCAGCCACCAACTTTCTGGGACTTTGCCCGTGGAGACCCCAGGCAGGTGGGGTGGAGGCCGGGCTCTGGCCAGGCCTGAGAGTCGGGAGCCTGGTTCTGACTTGAGAGTCACTAGCAGAATCCTCACCACGGATTTCCACTCTCAGATGGGTGGCACGCCCCAGGCTGCCCATAGCACGTCTGTGTCTCTGTGGGGCCGTGGCCTGTGCAGAGAACGCACACTCGCGGATACACCCCTAGCCGGTTCCCTTTGCTCCCCACCATTCCCAGACTTCGGCGCTGGGGAGGCCCCAGGCTCCAGGTGCAGCCAGGCCCCCAGCCAGGGCGGGAAGGGGCAGAGCAGAAGTGCTGCACAGGTGAGTGGGGCGGGGCTGGGGCTCCAGGGTTGCGGGGGGACACACTGGAGGTGTGCAGCCACCGGGTGGGGGGGTTGGGGCCTGCACGTACCCCAGGGAGGAGGGGCTGGCCCAGTGCCGCTCTGCCCCCTGCTCCCCGCCCCTCTAGGTCTTCGGGTGGGTGGGAAGAAGAAGAGTGCGTGGAGGGCCAGGAGGAGAGAGAGGACCAGCCACCACCCGATGTCCCCGTGGAGTCTTGGGCACAGAGACTGGAGTGTGAGTGGGAGCAGGCCGACCCCAACTGTGCATCTCCTCCCTGAAAATGGGAGCGCTCCCCCAACACCTTCCGTTCCCAGAGGCCCCTGCCCTGGTCTGCCACTGAGGCCGACCAGTCCTCTCCCCTGTCCCGTTCATGTCTCGAGACCCTGGCCAGTTTCCCTGAACCCTTCCACCGTCACCTCTCCTCCTGGCTTGCGTGGCTTTCTTAGCCTCTAGAACTGTGCATCTTAGAGCACCAAGTTTTATTGAAAGCCTACTGCCAGGTGCTGGGTGCTGATCTTGCCCTAGCTCACTGTTTACCAGCTCCCCCGAGACTTCAACCTCTGGGGGCAGAGCCCCTGGCTACTTGCTATACGGACTGGAATTCCCTGTTTGGTTTATAGTGTGTTTGCCTCCAGGCAGCAGAGAGTTGCAGTTAAACACTTGTCCTGAACAGACTGTTGGCTTTGGTGCAACCTCCGTGTCAACGACCAGGGCACGCATCCCAGCACCCACCGTCCTTGCTCTTCTCCCAAGCTTTCTCTTTCCACCATGTGATTCTTGGTGCAGAGAGGCCTGTGATAAATGTGCCTGTCTCTCTCCATCCAGGTCCAGGACCTGGGGCCCATCTCCTGCTTGGAGGCCAAGGCCCCCTCCAAATGGAGCAGCCTGGCATTCTGGTACCCAGTGGCCCCCAAGCCAATAGGTGGGTCCCTGGGGGAGGGGAAGAGGCCTGGAGAATGGATAAAAGGAGTAGGAGAGGATGTGGCTTTGGATGGTTTTAATGGAACACGATCATGATCACCGTTCAAACCGGGGCAAGATGTGGTCCAGTGCTTGTGGGTCTAGTGTTTGGAGTCTCTCTGTGTTTGGCCTTGAACAATATGAACAATGCTCACCCAGCTCTGGAAGCCTGGGGCGTCCCCTGTCTCCTGCACAGCCTGACTGGAGGCCTCCCAGAGAGGGAGAATCCTGCTGAACTGAACAGGGTCAGGGGTGGGAGCGTGTGCTCAAGCCTCCCTCTCCTGCCCTGGGGCCCAGCAGCCGAGATGCGGGCCAGGGGGGTCAAAAGGACCTTCAGCGAGATCAGGCTGCCCTCTGCTCTCTCCCCAGCCACCCCACGGGCAAGCCCCTCCCTGCCTCCCACAGGTCGTCCAGATGGCCCAGGGAAACCCCCTGCAGAAACCCTCAGAGGAGACCCACGGAGTCTGGCTTCTGTGTGATAACGTGACCCCACTCTGCTGGCCCTGAATGTGGCCTCTGTGTGACCCCCCCCAACACACAAACATTAGGGGTTTCTGGGATCAAGCCTCTTCCCGGTTGTTCAGGGCCCTATGGACACAGAATGGAACACCACCGGCACGTGGGGTCCTGTGTCCGCTGAACAGGGCCTTTGCAGTCTGGGCGCTGAGGTGTTCAGTTTGCTCCTTGTTGGCAGTTTTGGACTCAACAGGCAAAAGAAAAAAGGGAAACCAGACAGTGAATTTCCCCTTCTTCCTTCTGGATCCAGACCTCATGATTGCTGAGGCCCTTTCCAGTTCTAAAAGCTGTGACATCTTGGTCAGGAGGCTGCTGTCACGGACTGTCTCCAGACCTCCATCTTCTCGAAGAGGAAATGGGGATCTAAACTACAGAGGACAGGGCGCCTGGGTGGCTCAGTTGGTTGGGCGACTGCCTTCGGCTCAGGTCATGATCCTGGAGTCCCAGGGTCGAGTCCCGCATCAGGCTCCTTGCTCAGCGGGGAGTCTGCTTCTCCCATTGACCCTCCCCCCTCTCATGCTCTCTCTCTCATTCTCTCTCGGATAGATAAATAAAATCTTTAAAAATAAAAAAAATTAAAAAAAATAAACTACAGAGGACACATCTTAGCCCACTGACGGACTCCACCGCCTCCATGACAGTCGCGGGTTGGGGGGGCAGCTCAGGCCTGTCGGACGCCACATTTTGTAAGATGTGCTAATCACTCAGCACACACCACACTCTGCTCTGAGCGCTTCCCAAGTGTTTTCTCCTGCAGTCCTCACGGCAGATGAGCCCCTTTCACAGCCGAGGAAACGAGTGTGTCCTCCCCGGCCACACAACTACTAAGTGGGGAAGCCGGGATTCAAACCCGGGCAGGGAGCACCTTCTAGAATGCCGTACAGTCCTGCTACCCCACTTACACTAATGCTTACCAGGAGTCGATTGTGTTGGTACCAAATGTGCTTATGCTGGGTGTACGCGTTCTTGTAACTCGTGATTTGATTAAATATTACATAAATTGATGAACTAAGTGTGAAAACAGGCACTGTTTGTATGAAAACGAAGTTGAATCCTTGGAAGTCTTGATTAAGGTGAGTCAATTCAAAAACTGTTGAATTAGATGTGAGCAAGGCGATTATCACATTTTGGGGCAAAATAGTAAAAATCTAGATGAATTTTTGCACTTGGATTGCTTCAAACACGCCATTAACTGTTCCACCTCAAGGAAGCAAACTGGACATTGCAGGTGGCCCGTAATGAGGTTCATGAGGAAGGATGGAGAGCTCCAGCCCCGGGCTCAAGGAGAAGACCCTGGCCGCACTTTGACAGATGGCAAACGGATGCATTTTTAAGTTGAAATAAAATAGCCCATTCCCCATAGTAGAAGAGGGCTTCCACTCCACTGTGAACCACTTCAGCCTGAGATCTTGAGGACCTAGCACGTGCCGAGCATGCAACTGGCAGCCCGGGACGCAGCCGCTCACCTTCCTTATTAGCATCTTGTCAGGCATTCAAGATGTCTTGACTGGGATGCAGGCTCACCCGCTGCAAGAGAGGCAACGCACCCCTGCCTTTAAGCTCCTCTCTCATGAAAGCAGCCCCGGCTCACGGAGCCCGGGGAGTCCGCAGGGCGCTCTGCCGTCCTCGACACGGGACTCCCACGCCCTGGCCTAAAATGGCTGCCCGGCCGCGGCAGGGAGCCTTCCTCCCAGCCGGGAGGGGAGAAAGGAAGGACAGGAAAACAGGCCTTTTTTCAAAGGGAGGACCAGGCAGTTGCACGTCACCTCTGCTCAGCCCTCATTGGCCAGCGTGTAGTCACATGTAGGCGCCTTGCTGCTGCAAGGGAGAGTGGGAAATGTAGTGTTTGGCTGGGCAGCCACGTGGCCAGATACAACTCAGGGGTTCTGTTGCCAAAGGAAGAGAAGAGAATGGATTTTGAGGAACAGGTAGCAGCACCTACCACATGGGAATACTGCCACTGGGTCAGGCCAACTCCGTATCAACCGTCCCTGGCTCTACCACTTAATAGCTGTTTGATCTTAGGAAAATTACCACTCTGTGCTATAATGTGAGGATAAAACTCCGTCAGAGGATTGACAGGATGAAATATGTAAGCATCTGGAACTCAGCAGGGGCTCGATCCCTATGTCCCTCCTAAATTGGTTTTAAAGGCATTTCCCAAAGAAACTCTACAAGTCTGAAAGGCAGTGATAAGATGGAGTAGGTCTTCGGCTCCACCTTCCTGGGGACAGCCCTCCGGTGGTTGTCTTATAAATTCTGGGGGCATGTGGTGGGGTATGTGTGTGTCACTATTTTATTCTTACATCTCATCAGAAGGAAGTCAGCAGTGACCATGCTTTACCTATTTCCACACTGGCGGAGGGCAGTGCCTTACGGAATGCTGCTTTCTAGCTCAAGCTGCTTGGATCCTAGTTCCACAGACAGCTATCACGGTATCATTGGGCATGCCAGTCAACATTTTGGAGCCTTAGTTTACTCACCTGTAAAATGAGAATAGTAACAGGGTTGCCGCAAGGATAAAATGAGCTGATTCATGTTAGCATGTGGCACGTGCTCAAAAGAACATGCTTCACCTTGTGTTTTAGAAATGAATCTTCAGGGGGTGCCTGGATGGCTCAGTCAGAAGAGTGTATGACTCTTGATCTCAGGGTCGTGAGTTCAAGCCTCATGTCGGGTGTAGAGATTGCTTAAATAAAGGTTAAAAAAAAAAAGAATTCAGAATCTCTCCAAATTAATAGGTCTATAGAGAGTCTTGACTTGACTAATAAATATATACAAGTAAAGCTAACTAGGGGCGCCTGGCTGGTTCAGTCCAAAGAGCGTGTGACTCTTGATCTCGGGGTTGTGAGTTAAAAGTAAAATCTTTTAAAAAATAAATAAAATAGGGCGCCTGGGTGGCTCAGTCGGTTAAGCGACTGCCTTCGGCTCAGGTCATGATCCTGGAGTCCCGGGATCGAGTCCCGCATCGGGCTCCCTGCTTGGCGGGGAGTCTGCTTCTCCCTCTGACCCTCCTCCCTCTCATGCTCTCTCTCATTCTCTCTCTCTCAAATAAATAAATAAAAATCTTTAAAAATAAATAAATAAATAAACAAAATAAAAGTAATCTCTACACCCAAGGCGGGGCTCAAACTCATGACCTGGAGATCACCAGCTGCATGCTCCTCCCGCTGAGCCAGCCAGGCGCCCCACCATAGGTATGATCTTGATAAAGGGGGGGTAAATATTATGATCAGGGAAATGCAGCATGCTACCCTGGTAAGCAGAGGTAGGTGGAGGCAGCTAATGTACTTGGGACAGGGGTCCTAAATTACACTGTAAACAGCAGTCCAACCGGCCTTAGGGTTAACTTATTTCAAGCTTCTGCGCTCCTTGCTTGCTGACCTGAATTCCTTAGTCTGTAGCAGAATACCTCCTTTCCTTGAGGAGCGAAGGACCAGACTCTCCGGAACACTAAGCCTGCTCAGGGTCATGTGCACAAACGATTAACCGCCTGGGCACCAGCTTCTCCCTCACCGAGCCCCCACATTTCTGGCGCCCTCCCCTTCAAAACGCTCAGGCCTCGCCCGGATCGAAGATGGGCTTTGGGGTGTTCGTCCACCCTGTTCCCAGGTCGCCCGCTTCCGGACTAAAGCCACCCCTGCTGCCCCCCCACCCCCCGCGCTCGTCCCTCTAGTATGGACCGTGCACCGGAGCGCCCCAGCCCGAGCGCGGAACGGCCGGCAGCGTAAACGAGGACGCGAGCTCCGTTCCCCGCGCGTTGCTCGCGGGCGCCGGGCCGGCTCCGCAAGCGCGGGCACCCGTGAATCGCGTGCTCGCAGGACGCCGAGACCAGGGGTGCCCCCGTCCACTCAGCCGCGAAGTGCCAGGGCAGGAACCCCGGCTGCCTGCCCCGCCACCAGGCCCACGAAGGGGTCAACCGCGCCCGTGGTGCTCCACCCACGTGACCGGCAGCGAGCGACCCCGACCCCCCCCGAATGCGCGGCCCGGCGTCCGCGCTCTCGCGAAGGGGCGGGGCGAGCCCGCGGCCCCGCCCTCAGGGGGCGGAGCGGGCGCCGCACATGCGCCGGGCGAGCTCCATGTCCGCGCTGCGGGCGGTGCTGGGGTTCGGGCTGCTGGCCGCGGGCTCGCAGCTGCGGCGCGTCCCGGGCCAGGCGGGCGCCTGCCGCGCGGGGCCCGCGTGGTGGGGGACGCGGCGGCCGCACTCGGGCGGCCCCGGGGAGCCGGCGGGCATGGCGAGCCCGGCAGTGAAGTACCTGAGGTAGGCGAGGCTTGGGCGGGCTCGCTCGGGGGCGGGAGCCGGGGCGGGCCGCGCGCAGGGCGCCCGGACTGAGCCTGCGGGTGTCCGCAGCCAGGAGGAGGCCCAGGCCGTGGACGAGGAGCTGTTTAACGAGTACCAGTTCAGCGTGGATCAACTAATGGAGCTGGCTGGGCTGAGCTGCGCCACAGCCATTGCCAAGGTCAGTGGCCTGGGCACAGCCGAGTGGCGGGGCCAGCGGGCCAGGGTGGCCCGGGGCCTCCCAGAGCCCCTCTGACTGCCCTCTGACCCCGCCTCCAGGCCTATCCCCCCACGTCCATGTCCCGGAGCCCCCCCGCGGTCCTGGTCATCTGCGGGCCCGGGAATAACGGAGGAGACGGCCTGGTGTGTGCGCGGCACCTCAAACTCTTCGTGAGTATGTGGGCGGGGGCGGCGGGGCTTCCGGATCCGGGCTTGGACGACCGACCCCTCTCCTTTCCTCTAGGGCTACCAGCCAACCATTTATTATCCCAAAAGGCCGAACAAGCCACTCTTCACCGCACTGGTGACCCAGTGTCAGAAAATGGACATCCCTTTCCTTGGTGAAATGCCCCCCGAGGTAGGTGGCTCCAGTGGGGTGCCCTCCTCCTCCCCCAACCACCGCCTGTGTCCTGCTCTTCCTCGTGTTCCCAGGCCGAGCCCACTTGCTGATCTTCCTCTCTGGAGGGTGGGCTCTTCACAGTTACCGGGGTGGGGTGGGCGGGGTGGGTGGGTGTGTGTGTGCCTGAACTGTGCTGTATGAGTAGGGGGGAGCCCCTGCCCCCTTCACTTCCATGTCACTCCTTTCTCCCTGAGGTCAGGACCTGTCCTGTAGGCAGTAAACACGCTGGCCATTCCTTTCAGGGGCTGAAGTGACTGCCTCATCCTAAACCCTTTCTGCAGGGACAGGGACTTAAGGATGGGAAATGAGAACTTTGTTTTTAAGTGTAACACATTCTACACAGAGAGAGACTGGGATGGTACAGAGAAGGCAAGTGGCTTGTCCTAACTCCCAGCCTTAGGCGGGAGTCCCACACTGTACCGCCCCCGTGGCAGGCAGACCCTCACAACAGAAAGCGTGTCTGGACTCAGCTTGCCTAAATCAGTGACCAACCTGCATTGACGTCTAGGCCCCAGAATGCCTAGACATTTCATCTGAATGAGATGAAATGATGTTTGTGCCTCTGTGAGTGGCGCGTGCAAAGGATCGTCATCTCTCATTAAGGGCTGTCTGTGCAGCTGCTGACTCTGACATGCTTTCCCCTCCTTCTGCCCCACCACAGCCCATGCTGATCGACGAACTGTACGAGCTGGTCGTGGATGCCATCTTTGGCTTCAGCTTCAAAGGCGATGTTCGGGAGCCGTTCCGTGGCATCCTGGGTGTCCTGAATGGGCTCACCGTGCCCATTGCGAGCATCGACATTCCCTCAGGTGCTGGGTCCAAGGAAGTTGGGGGGTGGGGGGGGATTGGGGCTGGGACCCTGCCCTGTCTTGAGACAGGTACCTAGGAGTCCTCGTTGTTGACCCAAGGCTCAGACCACGCTTAAAGTAAGTTGAGTCAGGACTGCCCTTATATGTTGGATCCAAGAGACCAAAGCCCAGGAGTACACGGAGCTTCGAGGATGCAGGTTCCTTGGGAGGGGACACAGAGTGCCTCCCACTCCTTCAGGACTAGGGTAGAGCAGGGTGTGGAAGAGGAGTAGACCTCTTCCTCTCTTCCTGAAAACCACCCTCTTTCCAGGATGGGATGTGGAGAAGGGGAACTCTGAAGGGATCCAGCCAGACTTGCTCATCTCCCTGACAGCACCCAAAAAGTCTGCCACCCAGTTCACTGGTCGCTACCACTACCTAGGAGGTCGTTTTGTGCCACCTGCTCTGGAACAGAAGTACCAGCTGAATCTGCCGCCCTACCCGGACACTGAGTGTGTCTACCGTCTGCAGTGAGGGAAGACGGGTGGGCTTTCCTCCCAATAAAGACTTAGTGCTCCTCCCCCAAGCTGTGGAGTCCTGGGAGCTTTCCTGGCAGTAAAGGTTAAGGGGTGGCAGAAGCCAGGGAGCGACATGGTGCTACCTCTCCGGGGGAACAAAACGGGCAAGGGGGGTGGCTGTGGCATTTGGGCAAATGAAAACGATTTTCAGATACAGAAAAAAGCTCCCAAGTGAGGTTCTCTGAGCTTTCCCCTTTCCCTCAACAGGGTAGCAAGACTATGGGAGGTTAACTGAAGGAATTTCTTTGGAGGCATCCAAGGAAACTAAGTTGTATTTGGGATGTTCCCAGGCCGGGAGTGGAGATGCCAGTCAGGACTTACACACAGGCTGGGAGCCCGAGCTGATGTTGAATCGTTGACTCTAAGGCTGGGGCTGGTGGCCTGTGGGCTGGATGCCACCTCACACCGGCCACGTTTGCAGGTGGCGTGTCCCTCCAGAGGGTGTCTGCATCCTGCCACTGCCTGGCTCCCATGGGCACCTGAACCCTCGCTCTCTGTCCACACCGTCTGCACCCAACTCTGCGCAGCTGGAGTTCAGGGGTCAGCTTCCTCCTTGGGAGGGGCTCCTCACTGCGAGGGCGCAGGAGACCCTGTCAACTCAGGTCTCAAGCATCAGCTCCTCAAAAGGAGTCCGTGGAGCCCTACCTTGACCTGACCTTCAGGCTCTCTTGTTTCTTCCTTCTTGCTCTCTGGTCGGGGCTGACTCCAGCTCTTTCCTGCTGCCTCCTACCTCTGCTGCTTAAGCCAGTGTGCGCCCCGCTCTCTGCCCCCCTAGTCCTGCCCCCCTCCTCATCCCCTTCACCCCTCACATCCTTCTCTTCCTGGGACCTCCGTCTTTTCTTGCTTTTCCCCTCACGGTGCGCCCTGCTTGCTGCTTCCCCGGCCCCACCATCTGCAGCAGCCCCCTCCACTGCTACTTCTGTGTTTAAGGCCCCCTCCTCCGGCTGCCGCCGCCTCTTGTGTCTGCGGCAGGGCTCAGCGCATGCCTGACTCTCCACCTGCTCTGTCCCCGCACTGGCTGCAGCCTCCTGGCCTCCTGCCCCTCCGTCTGGGACCGCCATCTCCTCTGCACGGTGCTGCCTCTTCTTCATCTTCCTGCGGGGCGGGTCAGCTTGCTCCCTGCTCTCCCACTCTCCAGATCCACTCGTTCCTGCGGCCTCTCCGTCCGCGTTCCCGACAGCCGCTCCCTCCCACTCATCTGCCACCACTGCTTCTGGCTTCTGTCTTTTCTTCTTCCTGCTTCTCCCGCCGGCCTGGCCCGCATCTTCCGGGCACTCCTCTTCTGCACTCCCGGTGGTTGCTGCAGGCTTTCTCTCCTCTCTCTGCTTCCTTTTCTTTTTCTTTTTTTTGGGGAGCTTGCTCTCAGACTGCAATTGAGGGGTCCCAGGGTCCTGTCCTTTCAGACGAGCCAGGAAGGCCTGCTCCTGGGCCTCCAGCCGGGCAAGCTTGGCCTTCATCGTGATCCCAAGACGAGCAGCCCTGAAACAGGGGGCCCAGGTCAGAGCGAGGTACGGGGAAAACAGGCCTAGTCCTCGCGGTTGCAGGCAACACTGTTGTGTGTGTGGCAGGGAATCCTTCCCCTGGCGGGAGAAGCGCACGGAAGGGGCACAGACCATCCTCAAGGGCTGGTGATGGGGAGGAGAGCCCAAGGAGCTAACCACTACTTACTTGTGTGCCGTGCGCCCCTCACAGGCTCGAAGCAGCATCTCATCAGCCAGACTGCTGGGGGGAGATCAGGGATCACAAACAGCTCGTGCGCAGGCCTGACCTCTCCTGCTCTCTAACACATCCCTTCAACACTGAGCTCCCTTTCAGGACCTGGCACTTTATAGGTGCAGGAGAAGCAAAGATTAGTACAACACGGTTCCACCTGAAGAAGCCCAGTCAGGCCTGAGGCTTGGTCCCTTCTCTTGAGATTCAAAGGCCTCTCCTCCCACACACCGCCAGCACTAAAATGAGATCTCACATCTTTGGAGGCTTGGGCCCCTGGTTGTCGTCATCACTGTGGCTCTCCAAGTCCTTGTCTGGCTTCTCCCCACCTGCAGTCAGTGTGGCCGTCTAGAAGGAGCAATCATGGGGGTAGACAAAGCCCATTCAACACCACTGCCAACCCCTCTTCCCCTCCCGGAAGCCCTGGGGAACTGGTAGCCACAGGCAGAAACTTGCCGCCCCCGACACAGCTCCCTGCCGACCCACAGAGGTGGGCTGCCGCTGGGGGGCGGGGGGGAGGGGGGAGCCATCAGTGGGCAGACCAAGAAGGGAGGGGGAGTGCTCCGGGTCATCAGGTCCTCCTGGTGTCCCCTGGGGGTCATCCGTGGTGCTTCTCCCCACCCTCCCCCACACCTCCCGCAGTGCTTGTATCTAAGCAGACTGAGAACCTACTACGGGCCAATGGATTGGGATACAGAGTAGAACGGGAACAAGACCGGTCAGCCCAGATGGATCTACACGTGGGGCGAAGGGAGGATGACAGAACACGGACAATCATAAAGTGTCGCCTGTGCTGGAAGAGGGATACTGATCAGACTTCAGGGTTTGGGGACGTTTCAGGAACTCTGCTCTGGAAGGCCACCAAAAGTGGACAGGTAAAAGGAGAAAGGCAGCAGAATGCTGCAGGCAGGCAGTGGGAAAAGCACGTGCAAAAACTTGCAGGTGAAAAACAGTGGTACCTTCAAAAGAACCCGATCCCATCTGGCTACAAGTGTAGAGGCCCCGAGAGGGGTGAGTGCAGGCCAAGGCCTCAGGGCCCTGTGAGCCAGTCTGACATATCAGGATGGTCATCCTCGGTCGGGGCGAGCCAGAGCCCCAGTGAAATGTGTCAGAGAGCACTCTGGCCACCGTGGCGGTGAAGTGACGGGGAGTGAGACAGGGTAGGAGACTGTGAAGGAAATCCAGCAGGAGAGGGCGATGGCCACAGAGGTGAGGAGAAATGGGAAAGGCTTGCTACAGGACACAGAGAGCCCTCAGCACATAACAGATGGTCACTGAATGTGAGCTCCCTTCTACTGTTGTGCTAGAGGGCGCGAGTCTGAAGATGGATTCTAGTCCTGCCTGCAAGCCACTTTTCCCTGCTTGTGGCCACAACTGCAAAATAGAGGATGGGTCAGAGAATCTGTCAGGTCTCCTCTGGATTCTAAGTCCTTTGCACTGGACCTCCCCTCCCACTCTGCTCTGGCAGTGCCTGCCCATGCCCTACCACCCACGCCCCATCCCCAGACCCATGGGACCTGAAGGTCTAATTCTGGCCAAGGGTCTGGACAGTCTAAGCAAGCGACAGCAAAGTTGCTCACGGGATCTGACAATGTTAGAACAGTTCTAGAATAGGTAAGAATGGGTAAGGCATATGAAACAAATGTTCAGGCCCTGGGAGAGGCCAGAGAAGGAAAAAGGATGGACCCTCTCACCCCCAGCCCCTAATACCTTCACAAACTTCTGATACAGCATGTTGGGCTTGGGATGATTATGACGGGTGGTCTCCTTAGAAAGATGCCTTATCCGTACTCCATCCTGTGGGGAGGTATCAGTGAGTGGGTGACGTGGGTGTGCCCTTCACCCCCCACACGTCCCAGGCCCTCGTGGTCCACATGCCCATCAATTAGCACCCCATACCTGCCCAGTTTCCACAACCAAGCTGGCCGCAGTCTTGTTGAAGAGCTCACTCCACCAGTGGTCTGTGAACTCCCTGGCAGGGTCATGTCCCACCTGCCAGAGGAAGAAGTATGAACTCCAAGGACCTGTCCCTGCCCTGTCTCTGGGGTCCCCCTCTCCATCCACACTGACCTCCCTCAGCCTGCCCAGTCTTACCCCGTGAGTGTCCTGCTTCAGTGTCACCTTGAGGGCCTGGGTGATGCCATTCTCCTTCCGGCCCAGACCTTTGCCTGGAGGACAGTGAGCGACGTGGTTTATCCTCCTGCCTGCCCCGAGACCTCACAGGCACCAGCCTGTGCCACTCCTTGCCACACCACACACCGAGCGTTGGGCCTACACCGTCCCTGGGGGTGCCCTCCAGCCCCCTCTTTCTGGTGCCTGTCCATGCAGCGTCCCTGCCTTTGTCTGAGCCTGAGCCATCTTCTCCTTCATGATTCTTTGAGGACAGAAGTCATGACCCTTCCTCCCTCCCCTAGTCCTCCCAAACACTTCTTTCTCACGACCCACTATCAAATTTCTTCCACTTGCCCATTTTCTGGAAAAGTCAGAAATTTTCTTCCACAAATTTCCCTTTAAACTGGCTTTTCCTCCTCCAGCTGAATGGGCTACATACTGGTAGCCCAGGATGAACGTTACTCCCCTGGGCACGAGGTGGGCAGGGAGCTGGGGGGATGTGGAAGGGGCCCCCCAGGGATGACCTTGCGTCCATCCATGCTTTAGCAGCTGCTCCTCAGCAAACTTCATCCCACGACTCTTGACCTCTGGGGTGATGCTCATGGTGAGAGAGGAGTCCCGATCCGCAGGCCCTCACCACAGAAGGTGACGTTGTTGTCGTCCTTTTAAGAGAAAAGGAGAAAGTGCCTAAATCACCCATCAGATCCATCCTGACTGCTCTCGTAAAAATTCTTTTCTGAACCTGGGGCAGAGACAAAGGAAGGAGGTTTGTCTTTGGGGGAGCTCCCTGTCTGACCATAGAGAGATCATCAGCATGTCCAAAAGTCAAGGAGGACTGGTGTTATTAATAACACCTAAATTTACGGAGAGCTCACCACATGATTATTTCGTTTAATTCTCCCAGCTCAGGAGGAGTTCCTAACGTTCCACTCAGGAAAGCATTATCATCCCTCCTTTACAAATGAGCAAACGTGACTTGCTCTGGGTCACACAGCTAATATGTGTAAGAACGCAACCAGACGGCTTGTCTGTAGAGTCCCACTCTTTACCACCACGTGGTAACAGCTCCCGAGATTCACTGCCACGTAAAAACAAAGAGGTAAGGGGTTTTTAACCTGAGTTATGAGAATACTCAACGGAGCCCATGTCTTACACCCACGCTCCAGCACTCTATCCTCTCAAGTGTGGGGGTTCCACACCTCTTCCCCACTGCCGCTCGCTCTTCAGGCTTGCAGGAACAACACCCCTTTTGAAACTGTCCCACCCTCACTGAGCATTTCGTGCATAACAGGTAGATTACACATACTGTTGTATTGTCTTATTTAATCCTGATCGTCCTGTGGATAGCTATTATCTTTAATTTACAAACAAAGAAAACAAAGCCTGGGTCACGTAGCTAATAAGAGATGGAACTGAAATACAAGCCCAGGCTGCCTGCCTCCGACGTGGCCTCTTTCTATCCTATCACAGTTACTACTTGCATTTCTTTATAGTCATGTAGGTGCTCCGCCTTTTGGAGCCCAGAATGGCATTATCCAACTTATATACAAATCTGCCTCTGAAATGGTTAAGCTGCCTTATCACACAAGACACACAAAACTAAGACCACCACTGCTGACTTAACTCACTAAAGTTAACTTGTATTAAGATAATTTATTATAAGGCGCCTGGGTGGCTCAGTCCGTTAAGCGTCTGCCTTCGGCTCGGGTCACGATACCGGGCTCTGAGACTGAAGAGTGGCAAATTCAGGGTGACTTACATTTCTGTTCACGTTTCTACTATGAGGGATGATTACCTGAAAACGTGATACCTTGAGAGTCCTGACACAAAAGCACTAAGTGATGAAATGGCTCTATCTTGCTTCTTGAATTTGTAAGAAAAGTAAAATTCAGACACTGGGGCCTTTAAGACCACCTCAAAACCCGGCCTCCTCCCGGAAGTTACCTCTGATCCATCAGCCCCCAGATTTTAATAACAACAACAACAACATCTAACACTAAGTCTTTCCTCGATGCCGGCCTGCTAATTGCTTTACACAGATCATCTTATTTCATCCTCCCGACAGCCTATGAGGAAGAGTTATCACGACGTTTGCAAACAAATCGCAGAGAAGTTTATTCCCTGCCCAAACCCAACAGCTGGCAAGCAGCGGACCCAGGCTCTCGGGCGTCCCGGCACTGCTGTTCTTCATGACCCCTCGGCCTCTTACAGCGCGTTGTGTTTCCTGACCTAGGGCTTACCACCGCACTCATTCGAAACCACACGCCCTGGAAATCGGACCCCACGCACTTAATGCAGGAGTGAGAACGCGCTCAGTCGCTGGGACACGGGTGCTTTCACCTACTGACAACGGTAACTGTGGACAGAAGCAACGAGGCCCCCGGCTGTGCGCCGCAGTCTCGTGAAGGCTGCAGCGCGCTTTCTGGAACCACCTCCTCGCCGGCCAACCCGAGCCTTCTAATTAAAGCGGCCCGGGGCCGCTCCTCGGACAGCGGTCCCAAAGGGCCGCTCTGTCCCTGGCCTCCTTCCCCGTGAGGTCTAAATGCAGCCCTCCTGCCGCAGTTCCCCCCTGTAAGGCTACTGTGCTGCTCCCACCTTCACTCCTGAGCCCGGCCTCCGAGCGCCACCGTCCGGGGCGCGGTGGCCGCTGACCGTCACCGCGGGGCCCTCTCCGCGCGAACACGTGCGTCCTCCGGCCTGCGCGCCGCCATCTTCCCGGAAGTTCGGGGTCGGTCCCTCTAGGCTGCCGATACCATAGAGGCGCATGCGCGCCCGGGACTCCAGGTGTGGGGAGGCTCCCTTGATTGCGCTGTTGCGGCGGAAACTCGCCCGCGCGCGCCCGTTTCCGGGGCTCCGGGGGTGTTCTACTTCCGGCCGGGCTCCAGCCCCCGGGCGGCCGAGGGGCTCGTCCTGACCGCCCTCGGGACGCCGAGCACGGCTTTGGCTGCGATGCTGCTCTAGTCCCGGACCCCGAGATGGGGAAGGAAGCCCCGGGCAGCGCGCAGCGGCGGGCCGAGCGGGGCGGGGCGGCGAGGGAGGAGCCCCTCGGGGGTGGTTTGCGGGGATGAATACTCAGCCGCGGGCACAGTCGTTGGGAGGTTTCAGTAGGTTCACCAAACACTGTGCGGGCACCTGCCCCGTTGGAACTGTTGATGCGAAGATGCGGAAGACGCGCGCCCTGACTCCGGGAGCACCTGCTCTGGCCGGGGCCGTAGAGACGCTGCGTGGGGCTGGAGCGGGAGGCGGGGGGGGCACGGGGCTAGATGCGGATCCCGGATCGCGCGCGGGGCTGGGGACCTTGCACTTGCCTGGTAGGTGTGAGGCTCCTCTGAGCAAACTTCGCTAACTGCAGAGAAGTTGCACGTGCCCCATCCACACAAACTGTGCCTAGGCCTGCCTCGCCCACCCACCCAAGAACTAAAACCTGAACCCCCCCCCCGCCCACCTCCCTATCTCAGTATTTAGGGTAACTCAAGCGCGCACCTCCCCCAGGAACCACAAAAAGGAAAACCAACATTTCCAGGTAAAGCTTTGTCGCATTGCTCAGTTTATCACACTCATCTTCATCAAATTTTCCCGTAAAATTAACTTTACTTTTTATTAATTATTGGGGAGGGGAGCAGAGGGAGGGAGAGAATCTCAAGCGGATTCCACGACCTGTGCCGGCAGCCTGGGGCTCCCATCTCCCCACTCTGAGCCCAGATCAAGAGTTTGAGGCTTAAACCAACTGAGCCACCCAGGCATCCCTAACTTTACTTTTTAAAATATGCTACATGGGGACACTGGTTTAAATGATGGATCTTGCTTAGTGGAATTCTAGAGGCATCAGCGATGTGGGATGCTTGGAAGGTACTCCTCAGAGGCTACTTCAGTAGGGGAACATTCTGTGAATGGGAGTCACATCTGAGTCCTTTTCCCATTCCGCCACTGATTGTGAGACCTTGAACAAGTCACTTCTCAAGAGCACCCTTTCCCTGGTCTGTAAAATTGGACTATTGGACTAGTTCAATCATTTTTACAAACTTGGACTTACTGTGCTATTTCGGGCTGCTGAGGGTATTCCACAGACCGGGCTTCAGCTTCCACCATGTCCCCTTCCATCTCTCTGTCCCCTCCACCTGTCCAAGGCCATGTATCATACTGTGGTCATGGCAGAGGTTTGGAAGCTCCGGAATGAGGCAACCTCAAGGGCCCTTTCCAGCTAACAGTTTGTGTTTGGCACACTTTGCAGCCACGCCACAAGCCTAGTGGCCACAGTTCTCTGACTCAAGGTTCCTAGTCTGACGTAGGGGCGTGAGCTCCTTGTTCTGCCTGACTCACTCATCCAGAAGCATTTATTAAGGGTCTTCTGTAGACCAAGGGCTGGAGGTATAAAAATGTCCAGCCCTTGTCCTGTTGGGCCTCACAATCTTGTGGGGATATAACAAGTTACCAAGCATTTATGTCACTGAGAGCTCTGGGCCCCTGGGAGGAGCCTTCTGAAGGAGCCCCCTTGAGGGTGGAGGCCTGGCCCTGGGGATTGTGTGGGATTGCAAGAGAAATGGGCCTCAAGGAGTTCCAAGTTGCATGGGTCTCACGCCTCCTCACAAGAGTGGGAATAAAGGCCGTTAGGACAGAACAAGCGTACATGACTATGTACATGATCTGATATGCAGACAGCAAGATGCATAGAAATTACAGTAATATTTAAAAATGGAGAAATTGTAAAGAACCTAAATATCCCACAAAAGGAGAAAGGCTAAATAAATTAGTGTAATTGTACAATGGACTAATACGTAGCCTTAAAAAAGGATGCTGAAGAAGGACTCAATAATTTGGGGGAAGTATCTACGATATAATTAAAGTGAAAAAAGCAGATACAAAATGGTACCTATATAGTAAGGGCTCATCTGTGTTAGAAATCCATACGTAATAGCATCAGAAGGAATAAAACACTTAAGAATTTGATAAAGGAGGGCGCCTGGGTGGCTCAGTTGGTTAAGCGACTGCCTTCGGCTCAGGTCATGATCCTGGAGTCCCGGGATCGAATCCCGCATCGGGCTCCCTGCTCGGCAGGGAGTCTGCTTCTCCCTCTGACCCTCCTCCCTCTCATGCTCTCTGTCTCTCATTCTCTCTGTCTCAAATAAATAAATAAAATCTTTAAAAAAAAAAAAAGAATTTGATAAAGGAAATGTAAGACTTGTACATGAAAACTACAAACTGAAAGAAATTAAGGAAGATATATATAAATGGAAAGATGCCTGTGTTCATGGATGGGAAGACTTGCTGATGTTTTAGGTCACATTACTGTCCAAATTGGTCTCCAGATTCCATACAATCTCCATCAAAATCCCAGCTGGATTTTTTGCATAAATTGACAAGCCAATCCTAAAATTCATATGGAAATTCAGGGGGCCCAGAATAGCCAAAAAATATTCAAGAAAGAACAAAATTGAAGGACAAATTCTTCACTATTTCAAAATTAACTACAAAGCTACAGTCATCAAGAGTGTGGTTCTGGCATGGGATAGATATATAGATCAATGGAATAGAATTCAGAGTCCAGAAATAAACCCATACATTTATGGGCAATTAATTTGCAACAAGAATGCCAGGACAATTCAGTGGGGAGAGAATACTCTTTTTTTCTTAAAGATTTTATTTATTTATTTGTTTGACACAGAGAGACACAGTGAGAGGGAACACAGCAGGGGGAATGGGAGAAGCAGGCTTCCTGCAGAGCAGGGAGCCAGATGTGGGGCTCGATCCCAGGACCCCGGGATCATGACCTGAGCTGAAGGCAGACGCTTAACGACTGAGCCACCCAGGCACCCCGAGAATACTCTTTTTAACAAATGGTGCTGGGACAACTGGATAGCCAGATGCAAAAACTAAATAAAATAAATAAATAAATAAATAAATAAATAAAGTTGGAGCCCTCCCTCTATCATATGCAAAAACTAACTCAGAATGGATCAAAGAACTAAAGTTCTTAAAATTAAAACTTCTGTGCTCCAAAGGACACTATCAAGAAATTCAAAGACAGGGACACTTGGGTGGCTCAGTCGGTTAAGCGTCTGCCTTCGGCTCAGGTCGTGATCTTGGGGTCCTGGGATCGAGTCCTGCATCAGGCTCCCTACTCAGCGGGGAGCCTGCTTCTCCCTCTGCCTGCCACTCCCCCTGCTTGTGCTCGCTCTCTCTCCCTGACAAATAAATAAATAAATAAATAAAATATTTTTAAAAATTCAAAGAATCACAGAATAGGAGAAAATATTTGCAAATCATATGTCTGACAAGGCTCTAATATCCGGAATATATAAAGAACTCTTACAAGTCAACAATAAAAAGACAACACAATTTAAAAATGGACAGAAGAGGGGTGCCTGGGTGGCTCAGTCCATTAAGCGTCTGCCTTCGGCTCAGGTCATGATCCTGGGGTCTTGGGATCGAGCCGCACATCCGGCTCCCTGCTCAGCAGAGAGCCTGTTTCTCCCTCTCCATCTGCCTGCCACTCTGCCTACTCGTGCTCTCTCTCTCTCTCTCTCTCCCTGTCAAATAAATAAATAAAATCTTTAAAAAAAAATAAAAATGGACAGAAGATTTGAAAACCCATTTCTCCAAAGATCTACAAATGGCAAATAAGCTGATGAAAAGATGCCCAACCTTATTAGTCACCAGGGAAATGCAAATGAAAACCACAATGGGACAGCATTTCACACCTACTAGGATAACTGTAATTTTTTTTTTTATAGGGTAATAGCACATGTTGGAGAGGATGTGGAGAAACTGGAACACTCATGTCTTGCTGGTGGGAATGTAAAATGGAGCAGCTGTCTTGAAAAACAGTTTGAAAGTTCCTGAGAAAGTTAAATATAGAATTACCATAGGACTCAGGGATCCCACTCCTGGGTATGTGCCCAAAGAGAACTGAAAACAAAACTTGTATGTTAATAGAAGCATTATTTATAATACTGAAACAGTGGAAACAACCCAAATGTCTATCAACTGAGGAATGGATAAAAGAAACACAGTAGACCCACAAAATGGAATATTACTTGGCCATCTAAAGGAGTGGGGCACTGGGACACTCCACAACATGGAGAAAACTTGGAAACACGTCAAATTTAAAGAACCAGAGACAAAGGCCACATACATGCCATGTCCAGAATAGGCAAATCCATAGACACAGTCCGGTTTGGGAGGGGGCGATGGGGAGTGGCTGATACGGGTACAGGGCTTCTTTTTGGATTGATGAATTGTTCTGGAATTAGTGGTGGCAGTTAAATTCATGAATATCCTAAAAATGACTGAATTGTACTTTAAAAGGTGAATTTTACGATATGTGAATTTTATCTTTAAAAAATGCATAGGCACACTAGAGCAAGGGAAGAACACTAACCTGTTACGTGCAGTGAATCCTAGGTAAAGGGATTACAGGTAAGCCTTTCCTCCTCTTTGTACCTTTCCCCTGAGTTAAAAAAAAAAATAAGATCCATTTATTTATTTGAGAGAGAGAGAGAACATGAGCTGGAGGGGCAGAGGGAGAGGGAGAGAGACTCTGGAGCCGACTCCGCACTGAGCGCGGAGCCCAACGCGGGGCTGGATCCCAGGACCCTGAGATCGTGACCTCAGCCGAAACCAAGAGTTTGAGGCTTAACCACCTGAGCCGCCCAGGCGCCCTCAGTTTTTCTGCAATGAGCATATATTATTTTATCAGGAAAAAGAATAAAACAGCAAATGTGTACAACTCAGAGCTAGTGCTGAGGGACTGGGGATGGAGAAGGGGAGAAATATTATCCGCGGCAGAAGGGCAGGAGGAATTGAGCGCCGCCCGGGGATTACCAACTCCAACTCCTTTCCGGGCTTCTGGGGTGGAATTAAATGCTCCAGGTGCCAGGTTCACTTTCCGTGAGGGGTTTAAGCCCCGGGCGGCTTCTCACAATCACACGGCGGCGCCAACAAGGCCTGTGGCTCGGGGACCGCCGGGTCGCTCCTGTCCCTCCGCCTCTTGCCGGGCCTGTTTTTCTGCTGGTGAAACGTGACGCTGCGCGCGCAGAACTAGCTTGTGGTCACACCTACAACGTGGGATTTTTTTTTTCTAGATTTTATTTATTTATTTGACAGAAAGAGAGAAAGCGCACAATCAGGGTGAGTGGGAGAGGGAGAAGCAGACTCCTCGCCGAGCAGGGAGCCCGATGCGGGGCTCGATCCCAGGACCCTGAGATCACGACCTGAGCCGAAGGCAGACGCTTAACGACTGAGCCACCCAGGCGCCCCCAACGTGGGATTTTTAAGAGCCTGTGTCAGGAGCACTGGTCACGGAACAGACCACTTTTCTTTCCGTGTAGAGAAGAAGGGGTCCTGCTCTCAGACTGTTTCTGAGACCGATTCTACTTCCCGATCCTCCGCCCAGGCCGCCGCTGGCTTTTCCGCTTCGTTGACGGAGTTCACGGTAATAAAAATACTACAACCCTTCGGGTGCGGTCTTTAGAATGGTGGTTTACGGTTTAACTAACATCCTCCTATGATCGTCACCGAGATCCCACGTCCTATGTAGTTGTCCCTATTCGTAGGGACGCCCGCCGCGGGCCCCACGGCGCCCAGCGGGGACGGATGCGGGGAACGGGTGCGGGGACGGATGCGGGGACGGATGTGGGGGACCGGTGCGGGGACGGATGCGGGGAACGGGTGCGCGGACGGGTGCGGGGAACGGGTGCGGGGAGTGGTGCGGGACCGGTGCGGGGACGGGTGCGCGGACGGGTGCGGGGACGGATGTGCGGGACGGGTGCGCGGACGGGTGCGGGGACGGCTGTGGGGGACGGGTGCAGGGATGGATGCGGGGACCAATGCGGGGAACGGGTGCGGGCACGGCTGTGGGGGACGAGTGCAGGGACGGATGCGGGGAACGGGTGCGGGGACTGGTGCGGGGACGGATGTGCGGGACCGGTGCGGGGACGGATGCGGGGAACGGGTGCGGGGACGGATGCGGGGAACGGGTGCGGGGACGGCTGTGGGGGACGGGTGTGCGGGACCGGTGCGGGGACGGATGCGGGGAACGGATGCGGGGAACGGGTGCGGGGACGGATGTGCGGGACGGGTGCGCGGACGGGTGCGGGGACGGCTGTGGGGGACGGGTGCGGGGACGGATGCGGGGAACGGGTGCGGGGACGGATGTGAGGGACGGGTGCGGGGACGGGTGCGCGGACGGGTGCGGGGACGGCTGTGGGGGACGGGTGCAGGGATGGATGCGGGGACCGATGCGGGGAACGGGTGAGGGCACGGCTGTGGGGGACGAGTGCAGGGACGGATGCGGGGAACGGGTGCGGGGACTGGTGCGGGGACGGATGTGAGGGACGGGTGCGGGGACGGGTGCGCGGACGGGTGCGGGGACGGCTGTGGGGGACGGGTGCAGGGATGGATGCGGGGACCAATGCGGGGAACGGGTGCGGGCACGGCTGTGGGGGACGAGTGCAGGGACGGATGCGGGGAACGGGTGCGGGGACTGGTGCGGGGACGGATGTGCGGGACCGGTGCGGGGACGGATGCGGGGAACGGGTGCGGGGACGGATGCGGGGAACGGGTGCGGGGACGGCTGTGGGGGACGGGTGTGCGGGACCGGTGCGGGGACGGATGCGGGGAACGGATGCGGGGAACGGGTGCGGGGACGGATGTACGGGACGGGTGCGCGGACGGGTGCGGGGACGGCTGTGGGGGACGGGTGCGGGGACGGATGCGGGGAACGGGTGCGGGGACGGATGCGGGGAACGGGTGCGGGGACGGATGTGAGGGACGGGTGCGGGGACGGGTGCGCGGACGGGTGCGGGGACGGCTGTGGGGGACGGGTGCAGGGATGGATGCGGGGACCGATGCGGGGAACGGGTGAGGGCACGGCTGTGGGGGACGGGTGCAGGGACGGATGTGGGGAACGGGTGCGGGGACTGGTGCGGGGACGGATGTGCGGGACCGGTGCGGGGACGGATGCGGGGAACGGGTGCGGGGACGGCTGTGGGGGACGGGTGCGGGGACGGGTGCGGGGAACGGGTGCGGGGAACGGGTGCGGGGACGGGTGCGGGGACGGCTGTGGGGGACGGGTGCGGGGAACGGGTGCGGGGACGGATGTGCGGGACGGGTGCGCGGACGGGTGCGGGGACGGCTGTGGGGGACGGGTGCGGGGACGGATGTGCGGGACCGGTGCGGGGACGGGTGCGGGGACGCGGTCCCAGCTACGGCCCGTGTGCGGGTTCGGCCCACCCCACGCGTGTTCCTCTGAGGCTCCGTCGCCACCTGCGCTTGCTGCCCCCCTCCGCTCCCTTCCGGGTCAAGGCCTGAGCCTCAGTCTCTGTCCCTCCAGCGCTTGTGTCCGCCTCTCTCCGGCCTCGGTGTCCCCCTTGAAGGGGCTTGGAGCCCGCGGGTGGGGATGCTGGCCGCGGGCGTGGGGCGGGGAGAGCGGGCGGAGGGTGGGCGGCAGGGGGCCCGCTGCCCCCGCAGCTCTCCGGCCACCTCTGGAGTCACCTGGAGGAGGACAGTCCTCAGGGTAGCAGACGCGTCCATTTGGGTTGCTTCTTTTCTGTCTTTAAAGGGCAGTACTTGCGGACACGTCAGTAGAATCGCCGTGGGACCGTCTGCACCGACGCGAGTGGAGGCGGAGGAGCGCGCTCGAAGGAACCGCCAGGACCCCGGCCTCGCCTTTCTCCACGCACCTGCCGCCCCGGAACCCGAGAAAGAGGCTTCGAGAGGGCGGGACTCCGCGCCCTCCGAACTAGAGCCCAGCCGAGCACGCGAGGGCTGCCCGGGGTTCCCGCAGCCCCGCGCGGGCCTCTCTGAGCCGCAGCCTCAGCCCCGCCCCGCGCCCCCTGCTGGGCCTCGGGCGCATTGCACGTCGCCGCCGCAGTCAAGGCTCCAGACTTCGCGCACGTTGTAAGGTTCTTTTCCTTTCCTTTCCTTTCCTTTTTTTTTTCTAAGATTTTTATTTATTCACTTGACAGACAGCGAGAGAGGGAGCACAAGCAGGGGGAGTGGGAGAGGGAGAAGCACAATCCCGGCAGAGCAGGGAGCCCGATGCGGGGCTTGATCCCAGGATCCCGGGATTGTGACCCGAGCCGAAGGCGGGCGCTTAACCAACCGTGCCACCCGTTTTTTGTAGCCCCCCCCAACATGTCTAACTAGTTGTCCCAACCTCTGGCACCCTGAATATCTCACAACAGGCATCTGGTTACCTGAGGTGCTTGGAAGCCAGACTCGGGAATGCTATGCAGATGCAGGAGGGAATGAGCAAGCTGTACATCATGTGCTCACGGGACAGAGGCTCACCACATATTATTAGGTGAGAAGAGCAAAGTAGGGAACAGCTTGTATGATATGATCTCTGTTGGATTAAAAAAAAACATGGAGCGCCTGGGTGGCTCAGTCAGTTAAGCATAAGATTCTTGATTTCAGCTCAGGTCATGATCTTAGGGTGCCCTAAGATGCCCTAAGGACCCCTGCCCCCAACCATGCCCTCAGAATAGAGATGGTTGATGAACCTGCACATTGGCCCGCTTGAGATGAGGACAAGGTGACCCCCCCCCCATTCCATTCCTTTGAGACTTTGCAGAGCCAGGAGGAAGCTGCCCACATAGCCAGCCAATGCCTCCCTCTGGACATGTTCAGCTCCAGTTTTGAGGTCCTGGACAGTCCTGAAGTGGGCACCGTGACGCCCACTTCTCAGGAGCCCCAAGTAAAGGGGCTGAAGTGAAGGCCAGGAGACGGAGCTCTGTCCAGGACCTCCAGGCAGGGCAGGGCCCCCCAGATGAGGTACAGTCTCCTGCCGAGGCTCCACAGGGCATCTGAGGCAGGGGGTGAGTCCTGATGCTCCGCACAGAGATGGAAATAGAGGGAGTGAGAGGGAGTGGTCCTGAGTGGAAAACGTGCCTTCCCTAAAGGCTGACTTTACCCGCTTCACCCCCACATCCTCCTGCAGTGACGCTGGGATCCAGCCCCACAGGGCACCTCAGCCTGGGCCAGAAAGAAGCATGGCCTGGGGCTTCCAGGGAGGAGGAGAAGGTGAGGGACCTCTGCCTCGGGGAGGCAGGGAGGTGGCTGAGTCAGCTGTGTGTGAACTTCATGAGAAGGAGAGGAGGTCCTGCCAGTCACCCTCAGCCTCTCCCTGCAACCCCCTAAAGTGCCATCTTGCCAACGCTCCCCATCCCTCACGCAAAATCCCGATAGTAAACTGGGACCGGCTTGCCATCGGCAGGGATCAAGAAGGTGGGTCAGCTGATGCTGCCTGGAGGCCGAGTCTGGGTGCTAGAGGAAGAGAAGTCAGGACTCCATGCTTGGACCGGATCATCCCCGTACCCCCCCCCCGCCCCCCATCTCAGTTGGTAGAGGCAGTGGCAAAGACCTCCACTCAGGAGGGCAAGCCCAGCACCTGCCCTCCTGCTGAACTGAGTCTGGTGGCAGGGGTGGGGGGGAACGAAAGCGCCCTTGAGCAAAGTGAGTGCCGTCTGGCTGTCCAACACACATTTTTTCCTGGTCCTGGTCTGGTCCTTCCCCACTCCGTCCTCTCAGGGTCCTTTCTGCCTCCATCAAAGAGCTCCAGGCCTTCCTCCCTGCCACACTCAGCCTTTTATCAGTTCACATACCTGTGGCTTCCAAACCCTCATTCAGAAGTGATCTGGGGAGAAAGGAGGGTGGGAGTGAGCCCGGGGTGGTGGCAGAGCCTCTGTGTCCCCCTCTCTGTGGGAGGCTGTTTGTCTGAGTTGGGTGGAGGCCAATGAGATGCACAGGATCAGGGTGTCCTGGCCCTGAGACAGGGGCTGTTTGTCTTCTCTGCTCTGGGAGGAGGAGGGACGGCCCAGGAACAGTGATGGAGGAGAGGGAAGACACTCCATCAAACCCCAGAGGAGTGCATGCAGGTGGGGTGGGCTCCCTGTTGTGAGATGTGGCCCTGGCGAAAAGCCCTGCAGCTCCCTGACTTGGAGAATCCGGGAGAGACAACGAAGAGGGATGAGCGGGAACCCCAGCAAGTCCCAGGCTTGACTCCACAGCTGCCTTCCGTGCTGGTTTGTCCCTCTCCCAGCCGGCGCCTCCTCTTTGTCAGGTGCCCGAAGAAGCTAGGTGTCCTGAGGTCCCCTCCAGTTCCAAAAGCACATGATCTTAGTAATGCGAAGCTACTGATGTAGGGCTGCCGGGCGGAGAGAAATGAAGGCTGCGAGGCGATTGGAAGCTGGAACCGTTTCTAAATGGTTATTCCTGGAGGGAGTCCTCCTTCTGCACTGACAGCAAACAAAAAAGAAACAGGCTTATCCTGGGTGTTGAAATGTTCTGTATAAGGAGTACCTGGGTGGCTCAGCCAGTTAAGCATCTGACTGTTGGTTTCAGTTCAGGTCCTGATCTCATGGGTTGTGGGATCAAGCCCCATGTGGGGCTCTGTGCTCAGTAGGGGTCTGCTTGAATATTCTCTCCCTCTGAGCCTTCCCCCACTCCTGCTCTCTCTCTCTCTCAAATAAATAAAAATTCTTTTTTTTAAAGATTTTATTTATTTATTTGACAGAGAAAGACACAGCGAGAGAGGGAACACAAATGGGGAGTGGGAGAGGGAGAAGCAGACTCCCTGCCGAGCAGGGAGCCCGATGCGGGACTTGATCACGGGACTCCAGGATCATGACCTGAGCCGAAGGCAGTCGTTTAACCAACTGAGCCACCCAGGCGCCCCAATAAAAATTCTTTTAAAAAAGAATATTTATTTATCTGACAGAGAGAGAGAGAGAGAGAGAGAAAGCACAAGCAGGGGGGAGGGCCAGAGGGAGAAGCAGACTCCCCGCTGCGCAGGGAGCCCAATGCGGGTGGATCCCAGGACCCTGGGATCATGAACTGAGCCGAAGGCAGACGCTTCACCGACTGAGCCACCAAGGTGCCCCAATAAAAAAATCTTTAGAAATGTTCCGTATGTTGATCTGGAGGTTAGTTCCACGGCGTGTACCATGTAAACGTTACTGAGCTGTCTGCATAAGATCTGTGCCCCTCGCACGTACATGTACACTGTACCTCGACAGAAAGTTTTGAACAGTGAGCGTGGACTCCAGCAAGAGCTTAGACTCCAGGGGAGACTGTGGAGATGTGTGTTCCCACCCAGGGAGGTTAAGGACCTCCCTTTTCTTGAGAATTTACACTAAGAGCTGGTGGGACAAATGAGCTGACCTCTTTTGGAGAGCTTTCCAAAATCCTTCTCAGGAATTCCCATTTTCCTCCCAGGCACAGAGACCCCTCCTTGTTGCCAAGCTGCCTGCTGTCTCTCCCACTGCAATTCCAAGCACACACTCTGCCCTCCGTGGAGCCAGGCCATCCCTGGCCTCACACCACATCTCTCCCGAGGCTTGAAGCTTGAGGATGGAAGGGGCCCCATTTCAACCTTCTCACCAACCAGGGCCCCCCCTTTCCCTGGGGATGTCCATCCTGTTCAGAGCCTGCCCCCACCTAGGCCCTTTTTCCGGTGGTGTGTGCCAGCCGGTCCTGCATCCCACATCCCCAGCTGTTGACATTTCGTTGCCTTTGCCCACAGGATAAAGAAAGGGCCCCTGTTATTCAACAATAGGGGGAAAGACAGAGACAATGAGAAATTGTGCTTCCAATGGGGTGGGGCCAGAAAAGGAAAGTACAGACAGACGGACAGACAGGGGGCTGGACAGAAGGGGTCCGGTTTCTTGAAGCTGCTGGAGGTCCTGGAAGTCTGGTTCCCACCTTGAGAGCCTCTTCCCACAGGCAATGCACACCCAGTCTCCGGAGGAAAGAGGTGAGGACTCTGTGGGGCGAGGGGAGGGGGTGCTGCTTGGATGAGGCCCATGTGGAAACGCAGAGACCACAGGAGCCTGACCATGGGTCTGTGAGCTCATCCGCAGTCATCCTCACGCACAGCGGCCCAACGTCTTCATACCCACCAGTCCGTCTGCTCCTTCTCTGGGCCAAGAACATCTAGAAGAAGCGAGGCACCCCACCTTCCACATTCCTCCAGGTAATCTTTCCCCGGTGCCTCCTTCACTCCATCCCCTCGGGGGTCCCCACCCCGGCCCCAAGCGCCACATCTTCCCCAGGCCCAGGACAGTGAGCAGTGCAGACTAGTGCTGGGTCAGAGGCTGGACACCAGTCACTTAGCCTGGCTTGGTGGACTGACAGGTGGAAAAGTTTTCTCAGCGCCTTGGCTGCTTCTGTGAGCTCAGGGCAGAAGCCTCTCCTCAAAGGTGCAAAAGGAGAGACCCCACTGATCAGGTGCCCAAGTCCCAGGGCTCTAAGGTGCTTGGACCTGCCTGGGGCCCAGGCACCTCCTTCACTGGAACCTCTTCCTGGAGCAGGGCAAAAGGCAGCCAGTCCCTGTCGCTCCCATCTCTGTGAAGAGACCGGCTTCTAACAGGTAGGCACTGGGGGCTGTTGGCTTTCTCATTCTCTGCAAGGGCTACAAAGAGGGTATGTGTGTGTCTGCTTTGAAATGCAGAAATACAGCCCAGCGGTTAAGAAGGAGCTTGAGCCTTCAGTCAAATCCGGGTTCAAATCCCAGCAAACCTTCCTCTTACTAGCTGTGTGACCTTACTCAAGTCTCCTATAATTTGTACAACTTTAAGCGGGAGTAAAAGGGACGCGTAATCATTCCCACCTCACGTCCTTGCTGAGAGGAGTAAATACCAGATACACGTGGGAAGTGCTGGGGCGGTCTCACGCAGGTCTCATGCAGGTCTCCTGGTGGGTGTCCCCCCCACCCCCCGCTGCCACTCTTCTCACCAGGCCGGCGGGCACAGGTGCACAGGGCATGTCCCCACCCAGGTACCTTCCCTCTAGCGGCTGGGAAGCCCTCGGAGCCCAGCCCCCATTTCTCCTGGGGCAAGCGGGGCGTGGCCTTCAGTTGCAGGAAGAGGGGCTCAGCCCCTTGGCTTCCGACTCTCCCCACGTCCCAGCTCACCTTCCCAGAATCCTTAGTGTGGGCTCATTCATTAACATGCACACACATTTATTTAGCACCTACTGTGTGCCAGAAACTATGCTGGGTGCTGCAGATAATAGCTAACACATACATGGCACTTACTACATACCATACACGATTTTAAGCATTTTACGTGTGTTCCTTCGGTGAGATAGGTGGGAATTATTATCCACATGTTTACTGATGAGGACACTGAGGAAGAGAGAAGTAAATAACTCGTTCAAAGCCATGCAATTAGCACTTGGAAGAATCAGGGTTAGAAAACGAGTAAAGCTAGGTTAAGGTGTCCTCAGCCCTATTTTTAAAAAATGGTCAAGTTGATAAAGAACAGATAACAATAAAGAAGGGAAAAATCGGGGGGCGCCTGGTTGAATCAGTCTGCAGAGCCTGTGACTCTTGATTTCAGGGTCGTGAGTTCGAGCCCCACATTGGGCATGGAGTCTACTTAATAAAATAAAGAAAAGATGGGCGCCTGGGTGGCTCAGTTGGTTAAGCGACTGCCTTCGGCTCAGGTCATGATCCTGGAGTCCCGGGATCGAATCCCACATCGGGCTCCCTGCTCGGCGGGGAGTCTGCTTCTCCCTCTGACCCTCCTCCCTCTCATGCTCTCTGTCTCTCATTCTCTCTCTCGCAAATAAATAAAATCTTTAAAATAAAAGAAAAGAAAGAAAAGAAAAAGAAGGGGAAAATACACTACTGGAATAGAAAACTGTGTTTGGAATTAGTTCCATAACTGAAATCACGGGATACCTCCCTGATGCAGTCAACAGGGCATAGGTATTACTTTCAAATCCGCACTGCTAGTTCAGCTGCTAACAAAAGCACTTCCGAGAACGAGTGCCCAGGCCGGTGCAGCCCGGGACCCAGAAGAGCAGGTCACGGCGCACTCCAGTGTGGCCAGCCAGGGAAGAGGAGGGGTTTCCCAGAGGAGGTGAGGCCGACAGTGATGCCTGGGAGAAGGAGGTGAGAGTGAATTCGGACTCTTCTGGAGCCAGAAGTCCAAGGTGTCTGGAACACCGTGCTGAGGGCGCAGCTGGTGGGAGGCAATGTGGAAGGCGCAGGGAGAGGCGGGATCCCAGAGGGCCCTGCAAGCCGCGGTTAGGAGACCAGACTTTATCCTCCGGGCAAAGGGAGCCAGTGCTTTAAGCAGGAGAGGGACAAGTGTTTGCTCTGGCTCCCCTGGAGGACGGAGTTGGGAGAGGTGAGGGACTGCGGCGGCGGGCCGGGTGGCAGGACTCCGGAAGCTGCACCTGTGATGGGCGGGGCGGGGAGGCTGCGCCAACTCTGGACCTGGCGTCTGAAGGGAGGGGCGGAAGGGGGACGGCCCGGGAGGCCTGGGGGAAGGGAGTTTGTTACTGCCCCTTCCCCCATCACCTTCTTTTAGCCTCTTCCAGCCCCCTGCTCTGCCCCCACGCTTTCCAGCTGGACAGTCCCCTCTAAGGGATCCCTGCTGGATGGGAGTTCATCTCCAATCCTGCTCCCTCCCCGCATTCCTAGTCTCAAGAAATGCCCACTCTTTGTGCCCTGCAGACGGCGCTGGGCTGACACGCCATCATGCCAGGCCCGCTCAGTCTCCCAACATTCTGCCATTTCCTTCTCCTTTGGGCCTTTGCCATCTTCCACAAAGCCCTGGGGGACACAGGTAAGACCTCAGCCCCGCCCAGAATTTGGGGAACGGTGGGGGAGAGGCTCCGTGTGGGGAAAGTGGGTGGGGCAGCTGTTGGAGGTGCTCAGGGAGGGCCATTGTTGAGTGCGCAATGGAGGAGACGGTTGGAGGAGTCTGGGGAGTAGAGTCTGAATGGGCACTTGCAGTGGGGACCAGGGGGTTCCTGCCACTGTGGCCCCCTCTGCTCAGCACCCCACCCTGGCCCCCACTACCTCCTGCCCCCCATCCACGAGGTCATTCACTCTCGTCGTGGGGCCACGGCCACGCTGCCCTGCGTCCTGGGCGCCCCGCCTCCCAGCTACAAGGTACGCTGGAGCAAAGTGGAGCCGGGGGAGCTCCGGGAAACTCTGATCCTCATCACCAACGGCCTGCAAGCCCGGGGCTACGGGCCCCTGGGGGGTCGCGCCAGGATGCGGAGGGGGCATCGGCTGGACGCCTCCCTGGTCATCGAGGGCGTGCGCCTGGAGGACGAGGGCAGGTACCGCTGTGAGCTTATCAACGGCATCGAGGACGAGAGCGTGGCGCTGACCCTGCGCCTGGAGGGTGAGGCCCTTGGGTTCCCCGCCGCCCCCTCCTCTCCTACGGGGCTTTGGCCGCGCCAGCTCGGGTCTCCCAGGGCTCCCCCCGCCCGCCGCCGGGGTCCCCCAGCCCTCTCCCCGGTCCGCCGGCCCTCTCCAGGATGTGCGCCTCCCGCCAGGTGTGGTGTTTCCGTACCAGCCCAGCCGGGGCCGCTACCAGTTCAATTACTACGAGGCGAAACAAGCGTGCGAGGAGCAGGACGGGCGTCTGGCCACCGACGCCCAGCTGTACCAGGGTGAGCGGCCGCCCCGCGCACCGCCCAGGCCTCTCGGGGATGCACCCGGCCCCGCGGGGGCGAGCTCCGGTCGGGCTTCTGAGGGGACCCCTCTAACCCCGGACCCCGTCTCCCCGTGCCCGCCAGCGTGGACCGAGGGCCTGGACTGGTGCAACGCCGGCTGGCTGCTCGAGGGCTCGGTGCGCTACCCGGTGCTCACGGCGCGCGCCCCGTGCGGCGGCCCGGGGCGGCCGGGGATCCGCAGCTACGGGCCCCGCGACCGGAAGCGCGACCGCTACGACGCCTTCTGCTTCACTTCCATGACCGCAGGTGAGGCCGCGGGGCGGCAGGCGGGCGGCGGAGCGGGGATGAGAGCCCGCGCCCGCGGCTCCGACGGCGACGCGGGGCGGGTCTGGAGAGCGCCGCGCGGGGTGAGACGCGCGCGTCCGGAGGGGGCCCGGCCTCGCCGTCGAGACCGCTCGTGGCGCCCTCCGTCGCGCGCCCGCCAGGCCCCCCTCCCCCGCCCCACTGCGACCCCGCCTCGCTCCTGCGGAGGCTTCGGCCGGCGGGTGGTGACGCGCCCCGCTCCGCAGGCCACGTGTTCTTCGTGCCCGGGCGGCTGACGCTGTCGGAAGCGCACGCGGCGTGCAGGCGGCGCGGGGCCACGGTGGCCAAGGTCGGGCACCTCTACGCCGCCTGGAAGTTCTCGGGGCTGGACCAGTGCGACGGCGGCTGGCTGGCGGACGGCAGCGTGCGCTTCCCCATCACGTCGCCGCGGCCGCGCTGCGGGGGCCTCCCCGACCCGGGCGTGCGCAGCTTCGGCTTCCCGCGAGCCCAGCAGGCGGCCTTCGGGACCTACTGCTACTCGGAGTAGGGCCGCCGCCGTCCGCGTCCCGCAGCGCACCACGGCCCGGGGTCCCGGCGGGCCGGGCGTCGGAGGGGAGGTGGCGACGCCTGGCGGGACCTCGGACGCGCGGATCCCGCCAGGCCGGCGGCCGTCCGCGCGCTCCCGCGGCCGCTGCTGGGGGCGGACGGGCGCCCAGGGCATTAACCGACTTCGGTGCCCAGCAGCCCAGTAACTTGAGGACTTTCTGCGTCTAGTCGGAGGTGGGGGGGGAGGGGGGGTGTCTCGGGCCCAGCCGGCCGGCCGCGCGCCGAGGTAGGCGGTCAGAGGTGGGGCTCCTGCTTCGGGGGGGCTGCCGGACCGTGGGGATTGCGGGGAGGGGGCCCCGCAGGTGGAGGGGGGGACGGCAGGCACCGCGGGCAGCCTAACCCGGCGTGGACGTGGGAGAACGCGGGTGCTATTGCGCCGGGGCCCACGCGGGGGCGCCACGCACCCACCTGAGACTCTGGTTCCAGTCTCCCGGAGCGCACGACAGAACCAACAAAGATGGACCTAAACATATTTAGGAATGTGTTTATATCCTGCCAGTCTCCGGTCCTGTATAGGAGACTCAAACCACTGTTCAGCTGACGGGAGACCGACCCTGCGCAGGGAGGAGGCGACCAGCAGCCCTGCCACCGAGCCCACCGCGTGGCCGGTACCTGATGTGCGCTCGCCACCCCCCCTAGGCGAGAGGGGGACGGACCAGGAGCATTAACATCTGGCTAAAGGAAACGTACCAGTAACTCAAGAGACAAGCTCAAATGCCATTAATTCGTTCTTCTTTAGTATATACGTTATTTTAATTAATTAGTTTGTTTATTCACTTTACTGTTCAAGCAATCTAACTCCACCACAACAAGCTTGGGCTGGTGAATGATTACTGGAGCAAAGGGTACGAACTTCGCTTGATACATGTCGTGAAATTGCTTTCCAGCAGGGCTCTTGCTGTAATTGCTAAAGAGAATTCATCCCGTGGGATTTTATATAAAGGAACGAACGGCATCTTCAGTAACTCTCACACTGCAGATGGAGAATCTGTGGCAGTTCGTAAGCTCTGCTTTCCTCTGCTTGGCTGTGGGATACGAATATCGGCCCCAGAGTTTGCCCCGAGGGGTACCTAAAACAATGTGTGTGCTGGGCGCCAGGTGCCTGGCACACAATAGAGGTGCTTGCGAATGGTACCTGTCATAACTGATGATTATTATGGTAACACTAACGATAACAGAACATCAACAATACTTACTGTTGGGGTTCTTCCCAGGCAGCCTGTAGGATTGGTTGCTGTACGGCGCTGTGTTCGTCAGGATACACTCAGCCATGCTGTGGTAACAACCTCCAAGCAGCAGTGGCTTAAAACAAGATCATTTCTCCCTTAGGCTACCTCTGCATCGTGGTCAACAAGGGGCTTCTTCTTATCTTAGTTATTCAGGGACCCAGGCTGATAGAGCAGCCACCATCTTCAACGCTGCCAATCACCACACCGGGAGGGAGAAGTTGAAAGAGCTCTGGGAGGTCTTACACCCGCAGTGAATAGCTGTGGCCCAGAGAGACACCTGTCTGTTCTGTGGACAACAGTTTCTCTAGAACTAATTGCACGGCTTCGCTCAACCACAGAGGGGGCAGGAAAGAGCAACCCTACTCAGGCCTAGAAGTAAACCGGCAACTGGCCCTACAGGACCAGCCCCAGCTCCACCACAGGCACTGAGGGCGGCAGCCTGGATTCTGGAACATGCTGGCAGCCACCTCCTCCTCCACGGCCCTTCTGGGTTTTCTAAGTTCTGGTCTGTCATGGAGTCAGAGCCCCAGGAAGTCAAGATGCTGGGCCCCACAGCTTCCCTGAAGGAAGATGGCTTTCCTTCTGTACGACGCCCTCAACTTTGTCCAGAGACCAGATGGGAAATAGTCACAGGAATTTTCCATTTGCTGCAAAGCCTTGTTTTTCCACCCACGAAAACACATGCCCACTAATTTTTACAACTACTCTCCACACTGCTATTACAATTTATTATTATTATTATTATGGAGAACTTCAAACATATGCAAAAAGAGAGAGACTAGGATAGTGGACCACTTCATCATCCAGCTTGACCATTTCAAAACTCCACCCTTCTGGTTTCATGAATTCCCTCACTTGTGTTCGTTTGTGCTGGAGTATTTTAAAGCAAATCTCAGACAGCCTATTATTTCACCTGTTAATTTTCACTATGTATTTCTAACATATAGTGACTTTTAAAAATAACCATAATTCCATTATCACATCCCCCCTCAACTGACATTATCTAATATATACTTCATGATCAATTTCCCTTGAATGTCTAAAAAATATAATTTTATAGTTGATTTGCCCAAACCAGGATCCAAGTAAGGGCTATACATTGCATTTGATGAATTTTTCTTGGTTAATTTTTATTTATTTATTTTTAAAGATTTTATTTATTCATTTATAGAGAATGAGAGAGAGTGAGCTCACGCAAACAGGTGAGGGGCAAGAGAGAATCTCAAGCGGACTCCTCGCTGAGCGCGGAGCCCCAGGTGGGGCTCGATCTCGGATCCTGAGATCATGACCTGAGCCAAAATCAAGAGTTGGACGCTCAAGTAACTGAGCCACCCAGGCGCCCCTTGGTTAATTTTTAAAAAATATCTTTTAAATTGTAATACTTCTTCCTCCTTCATGTTTTCTATGCCATTTTGTTTGTTTGTTTAGGAAACTGGGTTGTTTTCCTGTCAAGTCTCCCACATTCTAGATTGGGCTGAGTGTAGCCTTGTAGTGTCATTTCACATGTTCCTCTGTCCCCTGTCATCGTAT